GTCCATTTATAAGTAAAATACGGAAAAAATGGAATTTTATTTTTACAAAATTTACTTCTGGATACTATCTTATGATCATACACAAGCTTCTGTCCAAGTTTGGTAGAAATCCAAGGTAGTTTAAAAAAGTTATTAAAATTTCAAAAACTTTAACCACAGAGTGAATATTTGTGGACGCCGCCGACGACGACGACGACGACGACGACGACGACGACGACGACGCCGACGCCGACGGAATGTAGGATCGCTATGTCTCGCTTTTTCGACTAAAGTCGAAGACTCGACAATAAAACCATGTTTTATTGTTGCCCCACTAAATTGGGATATATATCATCAGAGACATATAATACAAATGTATTATATGTCTCTGATATCATTGGCACTGGCTACGGTTACATGGAAATGTAACAATAATATAAAAATGATTGTTACATTGGAGACTAATTGACGGAATGCAGGGTTGGGTAAGGAACCGATTAATTACGAATGTAACAATAATATTTGGGTCTACGGTTACATTGCGTTATTGTTACATTAAAGACTGCAATGTATGATAGATTTATTAAACTTAAACCTTCTATAGATATGTTGCTTAATTCTTCGATATGTACTAGATAATATTAATAATAATAATATTATTCAGCGAATAAGTATTGATTGTTTTGGTGTTGTTAAAAATCATGACTACTACAGTTTAGTTCAATATCACTATTGATGAATACTTAATGAACTGTTCAATAGAGCATGTACTGTCACGACTGATAAGATCACAAAAGATCTGGACTCTGAAAATGAAAACACTGTTTCCACCAATTTCAATCTGTCGGCAAATGTCAACATTTATTGCTTTCACAATTGACTTGTATTTAAACAACCTAACATGCTTCCAAAAAAAATATTGGACGAAAATGTAAACATCGCAAGAGTAACAAAATATTTTTCACCTGAAGCATGGCATTCAGACATTGAAAGTTTCTTAAACTTCATAAAGGGAAAATGCAGAATGGAATTGTACGGTATGCAATATAGAGCGTGCACATTGCCGTATCACTGGTTTGTGATGGCTGCTTAGAGTGGTTTCACCGAAAATGCGTCGGACTAAAACATGCTCCAAAAACAACATACTGGATTTGTACAAACTGTCATTGTAAATAAAAAATCAAAATATTGTATGCAATATTGTAAATATCAAATAAAGTTTTCAAGTTTTATTTTGATACATATTTATTATTATTCCCGTCGTACATTGCAGTGCGTTAATGTAAAAATAACGCAATGTAACCGTAGACCCAAATATTATTGTTACAGTCGTAATTAATCGGTTCCTTACCCAACCCTGCATTCCGGCAATTAGTCTTCAATGTAACAATAATTTTTATATTATTGTTTCATTTCCATGTAACTGTAGCCAGTGCCTATATTATTATCAAAGGTAATTTAGGTGCAAACAGAATGACTTTTTTCATTAGAATAAAGGAAATGTCGGGTAAACGTCTATGACAGAGCAACTCAACGACACAAATAACCAAAAACATGTCTAGTCTAAGAAGTCAACACAGAGTCAAAAATGATGGTTTGCTTTTATCTCTTTCTCAAGCAGTAAATCGTCCAAACTGTTCATTATCTGGACTACCTGGGACAAGCATCTTGAAGAAGTGTGTCACGATTTTTGGTATAAAAACATTGCATCCTATATTCCTTTTGTTTTTGTTAAACTGATGTTGTGCTGTTGTGGGTGAGTTTTCTTTTGAAAATAATTCACGAGTTACGGTCAAAAATACAAAATCTACCTTTAGAAAACTACAAATATTAGTAGTTCAGGATGAAATTTTGTTCACATTGTCTGTATACAAAGTACTTACGTAACATATATATCTAAATATATATCATAGTGTATTATCGCTTTTCTACAGGGCCGTACAATCTTGTCGAAGGTCAATTTAGTCTATAGTCTATTACTCTATAATTCGGTTATCTTTGTATACAAATTCACAGCATGTTTTCTGTTCCTTGTCACGTTGTTTGTTTCCGTTCGGACATAACTGTGGTCAGTCATGCAGACATGGACGTCACATTTCCGTTTTTTGTAATTTGTTGAAAAATTAACCTTAACTGATTACATTTCCAACGGCGACTTCGATTTCCTGACAGCTTCTTAAATGTGAAGAAAAGGCACGCTGTGTCAACCAAAACATAAACAACTTGAATATTTTACTAATTGTAATGAACTTTTTCAAGTATCTTTTTCCACAATAGCTTTTCTTTTACCCTGACTTTTCTTCATCATTCATACCCATAGTTTGAGGTGATCTGTGTTCTTTTTTGTTGTAGATTGATTGATTGATTAATTGTTGGTATTTAACGCTAGTTTTTTTTATTGGCGGAGAGAGCCGAAGTGTCCGGATATAATCACCGAACTGGAAATTTTATAGGCATAGTCAATAAAGTTTGGAGTCCAGCGCACTTGACACGAGCAGGTTTTGAACACTTCAGTGTTGACAGTCTTTTGGTAACTGTAGATGAGCTGCCTTGACCATTTGACTAGCCAACCCCTTTTTGTTGTAGTTCCTTCTGAGGTTTAAAGTTGACTTTCAAGCTTCGATGTGAAATATATATATATATATAGATATAGTTGGTTTCAATTTTTCTAAAACGAATACCTTCTAAAAAAATAAAACAATAACCAAGTTAAGGAGGCTTGAGGGTATAAAAATTTCAGAAAAAAAATAAATATTTTTGTTTTCATTACAAATTTTATTTATTACTTTATTAGTTGTTACTTTATCATAAAGTACAAAAATCATTCAAATAAATCAATTCGTTTTGGCTCCAGATGACTTTTAAAATGTATGTATCATTGAAAAAGCTCCAAATTATCTCCCTTTGGTGCAAAATTGCCATTTTTTGGTATTAAAATTGAAATATCTTTTTTAAATCATCGGTGACCTATATTTTTTATTATTATTTTCAAATAAGCTGTACTTAAACTAAACTATTGTAAAATTTCATCGATTTCTGTAATTTATTTCTTTTTTTATTTCGATATTACCTCTTTTTCTCCTATCAGTTCAACAGGAAATCAGTACTTTTACAAAAATGTATGCTTCTTTCGAAGGCAGATGGTGAGCGTAAATAGACGGTGACCCCATTTTTTTATTTTATTTTTCTATCAAGTATAAGATAAAGTTCATTCATAGAAAAATACAGCGAAATCCTATATTAAGAAAAAAAATTGATTTAGACCCGCGAGCCCCCTTAAATGTGAAGACTGAACGATTTTGGTTGATTGTCTGTTCAGGTCCTGTTGGTTCTGATGCTCCAAAACGTTTATGTTTATTAAACACAAAGTCATGTTGCATTCACAGAACTTACTATATTAAGATATATTTTTTGTCTAAATCTTCAACTCAAAAAGGGCCATAAAACACTATGTAAATTTTTTTTCATAAGTTTCTTATTCTTCTAACTCTTCCAGATTAATGTTATCATCTGTATGATAATGAATTTTCAAATGTATTTTTAAACACATTGTATTGTCTATGTTTGCTCATTTATTCTCTCTCAGTCAAACTGATCCTGATACCTTATACTAGGTTGAAAGAGGATTGTGTAGAATCTATAAACCTCTGATTGATTAATAAAGCATTTCAAAGTTTTATTACTTAGGTCCTATATATATGTCACATATGTACCAGTTTGTTTATTTTATTATTTTAATATGAAAGCCAATACGAGCACATTTCATTGGTACACCCTCCCCTATGAAATTGCTGCTTTTAAAAAAACATTAAACTGATATCAAAATTAATACATAGTTTTTGTTTAAATCTTCAACTATACTAAAAAATAGTTTTCCATAAGAGTACATAAGGGCTAGTTAAAAGGTTGGTGTATTTCAAGATAGGGGAGTGCACTGGATATCTGTGTTAGACCATGCACTATTAAAATAGAATTCCTGCTAATAAACTAGCTGTTTCAAATTACGATTAGTAGGATGTAAAGAGAAACTTATGGCTTCATGAGAACTTTATGACTAACCTATAATAGACTATTATGTATGATCTTATCAGGACAAACCTTATCAATGACATGTTTGACAAAACTCAAGCTATGTATCACTTCCCCATTTTTTGGTCTCTTTATGTATGACATAACTTTTCTGTACACCAAAAAAACTGATACCAAAAGGAAACAAAAACAAAGTGTAATCAACAAAGATCTGACACATCATTGCCAAAAGAACAAAACAATGATCCCAAAAACATTATATAGACATACAGCAATAAAAAACCAACTAAATCTAGGGTTGAACTCAAAAGGGACTTTTTTATTGTGATTGGCAGACCCAAAAATATAACTTTGTTTGTAAGCATAGATAATTTAGATATCTCTAAGAGTGTAGGACGAAGCACATTTTAAAGCACAATTTTATCAAAAGTATGATAAAACAGACATATATTCGTCCAGAATTTCCTCTGTTGTAAGTGTTGTGTGTGTTCATATGGGTTCCTTCCCAAATCCTTTATCACAAAGTTGATATAATGTATTTTAAGGACAATCTAATTAAAAGTATATCTTTTTTTTGCTATACTTATGATGAATTAGCAGGTGAAAATAAATCTGTGAACTTTAATCAGAAGGAAAACTGATATATATCACTATTTTGTTTATACAATAGCTGTAAAAGGCACTTAGATACAATATTTCCATTGAATCTGGTTAGCATAAATGTGTGAGAATGAATATCTTATCATTATCTGAGTTTGTTCAGGCTACAATTTTTGTATATCACTGTGTGTATTATCTGATGGGTTTATCCATAAGCACTCAGGTATACCAATGAGGTTGTATGAGAACCTCCTTGGGTATGCCATGTTTGGTTATTAGACCTGTTTCCTGGAGATGCTCATCGTAGCCATTACTCGATAGAATTCAGCAAATATATTCAGTAAACTAAATCTTAAATCTGTTTAACCATTCTGAGTTATGAGACAAAAAAATATTTTTTCTATACTACTTTATTGCACATCAAATAAATAAATAGTCCTTATCACAGGTTTGCTGGTAGTCATGGTAACAATTTTCTGATGTTTCTATGGTAACAATAATGTCCGGTAATAAATAAGTCAAATTAGGTAGTTTATTTGTCAAATCCTGGTGTAGAGAGATAATTGTCAAGTCCATGAAAGTTGTCAGGGTTGTCAAATTCGGTATTTATAGTTCTATTCCAACTTTGGAAATATTAAATGAGGTTCATCTGATGAAAATTCGTGTTCTGCAGAAGGTCAGAGGGTCGTTGACCTTGTCCAGATCAAGATTAACATATGAAAATAATGCAGTTTCCAAAATTGAATAAGATAATTGTGGTCAAGTTCATGATTGTTTTTGTTTACTTTGTTGGTCTTGCAGGTGTCGCTGATTTCCGATCACCTGAAAAATAAATAAAAACGTGATAAGAAAATTTGGTCAAAACAAGAACTGTAATAGCTTTATAGCTTTAGAGATAAACACCATAAAATCAAACAAATTTGGTTGAAACATGAATTTATGTTAGCCTGTTAACCATATTGTACCTCAGGCTCAGAAAGACACCTAAACTAAGAATTACTTATTTACATAAAAGTAAGGCACAATTATCTAGCACAAGTTTACTGTTAATTCACAAATTACTGTGTGCATTTATAAAATCAATTGTTGACAAAAGATATAATTAAATGCAAGTTTAATTAATTCTGTCACCAAAAAATATAAACATTGCAACAATTTCAGAAATTACAAAAATTACTTAAAAATCAGTTATTTCACTGCATGTTTTAAATCTAGGTTCAATCACAGAAGGAATATTTGTAGTGCAAAAGTTAGCCTCAACTCTGCAAAAAACAGAACCTTCCTATTATCAAGTGAAATAAGTTCTCCAACTGTTTTGTCATTGTTGCTAAAATAACCTTAATCTATGAAAATTGTGCATGCAGTAATTTTTAGTATGTTGAACTCTAGATGTCTTTTGGTGATTTTTTTTGTGTTTTTAGTGTTTTGGAGTTGCAGTTTCACTGACGTGTATCCATGTCTCATTCTATTCCGATCAGTAAAAGGTTTTCCATTTACTCATTACTCATCATATCAGGATTTTACATTTTATCTATACCATTATGATACATACAAAGATGTAGTACTAAACAATTGAGTATTGTGTAAGGTACTTGAAACTGTTATACATGTAAATACAAACAGGAAAACACCTGACTTAAATCAACTTGACAGACATGTTTAATATGTTTCATCTTACAGATAATTCTTTTCCTTCCTCATTTCCCTGAAGAAGGGGCTTTACACAGGTTTCAATTCAAATTCAACATTGAAAATAATTAACCAACAAAAATTCCAGGTTTCAATAATATTGTTCTATACCAGTACACCCAATCACAATTTATTTTTAGGGGGAAAAAATCTTAAAATTTTAGAAATTTTGAAATATTGCTTCCTGCAAGAGGATTTTATAGACATTATTATTATTAGTCAGTTTAAACAATAATGAGAAAATCATTTAAAGATAAGGAAGAGATTATCAATACAGATTTATATCAGTTTCAATATGACAGTGTTTTTAAATTTTGGATGTGAATATGTCCTTTAAGATTTCCCAGAGATAAAGGTTTCCATTCTATTTGGAAAATGGAGTTAACAATTCCTGAAAATCTAAAATGCTAGAGATTGATATTGAATAAAAGTCAGATACATATAAAACACATTCCATCTAAAGGTATTGCTGTGTATTCATGAATGAATATGTAGTTTTGACAAATTCCATCTGCATGCTGAGTCTTGGTTTTTACTATATGTCTCTGTCTATAGGAAAATTGTACTTTGTTGAATGCTTTTCATGGTTCACCAATACTTTCAATATCTACATAAATATAACCCCTCAAATAATAAACAATCCACAATAATTTAATTTTTAATTTTTAAAGTTTTTCCAGAGAAAATTGAAGTAACAAAATCTGTGAATTACATCAAGATCATTTCAGTGGTCATTTTATCAATTATTGTACAGAATCCTTAAACTTATTTAAAAAAAAAATAGTTCAAAACAAGATCTTCACCTGAATACCAGAAGGCCATAAAACACTATCTGAATACATTAATTACATAAATGAAGGATGTTTATATAGAAATGTGAATAATATTTTTTCAATGCATTAAAAAACAAAAATCTGAATACCAGTACCTTATAATTACTAGTTAATATTCTCGGTGTGTTATTATAAATTGATTTAAATTACATAAGTAACTTGGGATCCCGTGCAATACCTCTCGATGTGTATATTCCAAACTGTGCTAATATATTTTCTAATTATAATTTGGTGAGTAATTTGTATTTAGTAGACAGTAATGATACTATCTTATCAATTTGATGATTCATTATTTTTTAAATAGAAACTCATTTAAAAGTCCAGATGCTTTCAAAAGAAACAATTTAAGAAATATTCAATCTACATTTGACAGTAAAGCATGTGACATTCATACTTTAAAAATACTGTGACAATACTATGACAATGAAACAGATAAAAAATCAACACAAAATGTTCTTACATTTCATAACTGATATAACAAATTGTGTATTAGTTAGCCTAACTAATATGACTTCAAACATGGGAATTCTTTCGTAATATTTAGGTCTGAAGTGAATTTTGCTTCATAAATTGAATGATTGTTGGTTGCTTAACGTCCAGTGGCAAATATCTCATGCATATTCAGGACAAGAATAAATTAACAATAAAAACAATAGGAAGTTCCTGTAATAGAGGTCCAGGATGAAGGTCGTGGAAATTTGGTAAAAGCTTCATAAATGAAATGATGGAGAATATTTGAGAATTTAGGTTTGAAATTGTAGTTCAAAAAGAAGTATCAACATCATATGCATTATATTGTTGCCTTAAATAAATCTATGGGTACATCCTGGACAACCCATCAATCAATCTTTACAAAACATGACACCCTATATATCATAATCCCTTAAATAGATAAACCATATATTTATACCAACAAACCATAGGTTTTAAACTTTTAAATAGAATTTAATGTAATTTAAAATATACCTTGTTGATAATTATCTGTGAAGAATGCACATAAATTGCAATTCAAAGTGAGAAAAATTTAAACTATTTAAAGATGCAAATATTTATTGTCTGCTTCTGAATAAAGCTCAAGCATTTCTTTAACCTGTTATTAACATTTATTTTATAGCTTGTCAGCTCAGTTTGAAATATAACATATAATTCTTAAATTTTACTTTTAAGATATAAATCTTCAATTTATTGTCCTTGTGCTTTTAAAATTTTGATAACATAAAATATATCCTTTTATGGATTTTTGAGTCATTTTCCAAATAACAGTCAATAGAGAAGATTCAAAGAATTTGAACACATTCCACTTAATTCAAACTTTTACTGGGTATTTTTCCAAACAATAAACATGGGAAGAGTATATTGATATATTATGTCCCAGAATAAACTGACATTACAAGATATTTCTAATTAATTTAGATTTTTACACCCTCCATAAATAAAATTTGATAACCCTGCTTAACAGAATTCTAGGTTTATATTTAAAAAACCTCAGTTGTGGTCAAAACCTATTTATCTTTTAAATTCAAGTATTTTTACCTTCAATTTATTTTTCACAAAAGCTTTACAAATTTGGTGAAATAAGTCGTTTTATTTGCTTTGATCCCAAGGAGTGTATTCAGGGATGTGTGGTACGTTATAGATTAGAATTGAAAACCACAAACAATTATAAATGTAAGCAACACTAACATTTCTGATAAAAAGCTATTTTACAAAGGCATTCAACATATGAAAGGTTATTAATTCATGTGGCTACATAAGCCACAACTTTTGACACCTATGACTCGTTTTTGATCTTCTAAATAGTTGTATTTGTCCAATTTCTTTATGACCTAACCAAGAGCAATCTTAAAATGTCAGTGCAAAATGACCACATCCTACCATGTTATCATCGATTGTAAAATATTGTATTTCTTTTTGTGATCATTTGGTTTTTTAAGACCTCTATTGATATCAGTTGTGTCACATTTTCCCCATCTTACAAATGTTAATTATGTTCATATTCTCTTTATATTTTTTCCGCTCTTCTAAGACAAGAAGTCAAATTTCTTAATTTTATAACTTTTATTACACCCTTGAAGAGGTCACTTCAATGACATTTTTATTAAATTATACAATAAATTAAAATTATGATATATTTGCACTAAAGTTCATAACAGAACTCCATCAGATTTGTCTGAAGTATGGTGTAGATGACCAGTAAGTCCTTCACACACCCTGGACTCTACTTAATAACATATTATAGTACCTTGTCTGATAGGTGTCATAAAGTCACCTGTAATTTGTTACCAGAACACATACAGATGTACTTATAAATGATGGGTTAATACACAAGGATTACACTATGTTAGGTAATCCCTTTGATGTACCTCAGACAATGTACAAGGTGTTATAATATATTAGGTAATCCTCTGATGGGCCCCAGACAATACACATGATATCATCCTATAATCTCTAACAATACCCACAAGAATGTACTCATACCTGTACCAAGGTGAGAAACCCCTGTTTGAATCCAATAATCGTTCATAAAAGGCAGATTTCATCAACATTGATTATAAAGTGAATATGAACCATTATTTTAATCTATCTAAACCCTTGCACTCAAAGTTATTTCTTGGGATACGGAGCTGGTCCTTATAGTAGCAAATTAGAAAATCTAGCTAGACAACATGGGGGGACAACATGCTTGCATCCAGATCAGAATCAATGCCTTGTATATTTATCACTAAAAACTGACTTTTGAAGAAAAATAATGATGTTTTGAAATGTATGAAGTTGATAAACTAAATTCACTTACAAATGGCATCTGATAAATTTTCAGTGATGATTAACTGTTAATAGAAAGAACCTAATGTAGAGCTTCTCTACGTTTTAAATGATTTAAAAAAAACACAAGCCAGCTTGTACTGTTTACTTTAAGGTGGAGTATCTGTAATTGGAGAGTATTTCAGAATCTTATACAAAAATTCATGCAAATTCACCTTTTTAAAAATCTATTCTTTGTCAACTTTTGCTCTTCTTATTTGATGCAAGAAAATAGTGACAGCCTTAATGAAGGATTTGTATAGTAAGATCCTTGTCTTCAATATAATGACTAATGCATTGAATGGTAATTTAAAAACATCTATTACAGGGTAATTATTTGTGAAAATGTTATCTATGACATCAATTAAATGATGTTTTGTTTAAGGTAGTTAACTCCTACACCTATCAACAAATCATTTCCTTAATATGTTTATTTATGTTTATATTTTGTGTGGTATCTTTGTTTACAATGAAGTGGATGGCTCCTCCTGTCTTTAACTGATAAACTTGTCACTTAGAATTTTAATAGTATAAAAACAATGGGCTTGTTGTGCTTTTGAAAAGGTCTGTTATCTTGTGAGCACTTTGAAATTGGATTTTTAAATTTAGGAATTTTTATTTGGAAAAAATGAGTCATAAAGGAGGACTTAAGTTCTTATTTGTAAAGTAATCAACATATTTTCTTTCTCTTAATGCTTTTTTATAGCATATAGGTTCACTGGGTCACAACTTTGGCATAAACCTGTCTATGTCTTTTTAAGAATAGCCTAAGCCTATAGCTTATGTTTCCTAATGTGACAAAAATGAATAATTAATTAGCTTTATATTTATACAAACTTTGCACATTTATAATTAATAATGACATATTGTACCAGCAGGTAATTTATAATGTGTGTTCAAGGTGACCTGCTTATGCACAACTTTTCGTTTCAAAAAAAATGTTTAAAACTACAAAAAAATCACGAACTTAAAAAGTAATCAAGTAGAGTTTATAAGTTGTTATAAGGAAAATTATCTCAGATCCTGAAAACATTTTCAAAGATTTTCACTAATGTTTGTTTTTTAATTTAGAAAGCCCAAATTGCTGGGTCATGAAGGTAAATTGAGAAATATACATTGTACAAAGCAATAACAGTATTCTTTACTTTGATCTCCAAATAAAGTTCTGTTTCACTATTCATATAGCCAAAGGTGCGGATGAAATAATAAACACAGGGCCAATGTTGACATGCCACCTAGATCACTTAGTTCTCAACATCATATATCATTTGCTAAAACAACAACATATATGTTGAAGTCTGTGTTTCTAGGTAGCACTACTTCAGCCACAGTTTGTATGACCCTAATTGTTTAATTTAATTTACTACAAGTTTTCAAACTTTAAATACCAGCCTTCTATCAAAACGTGACTCCATTGCTAAGGAAGGACTATTTGATTTGAGATAGCAGTGTCAAAATCATGGATATTAACCTGTTTTGTTATCAAGAGTCTGAATTAATAAAATATGTCTTACTGCTGATCTTTGAGTTTGTGCTGGAATTATATCCATAACCTATCTTTTATATCACTTCATTGAGAACTATTTTGAAATTTAATTTTCATATTGTTTATTGACAAACGGGTCAGCTTGGCATACCAATGTAAAGACCAATATGAGTTTTAATTTGGCATGTATACAATTGAATCAAGCATACTTTTCTACAGACAAAAATTAAAGCCTTTATACTGACATGACTGATCAATGGTAGCAGATAAATAAGTGTTTGTAAAGCACAGGCACTTGTCTCTGAAAAAAAAAAAAAAACTTATATACCTTTACATAACACCTAACATTAAGGTATATAGATTATCATTTTGCAGAGACAAGTGCCTGTGCTGTAAAGTGTTAGTTTCATCTTCAAGCTAGACAGTGACTACCATACGCAGCTTCCATAAGCAATAGCTATTTAAGATATGCCTTAACCAAGTAAGAGATTTAAATATTAAACATTAGTTATAAGTGGATCAATTTGTAGACTGCAATGGCAATCAATTTACAATTTACATTTTTATATACCCCATCTAAATTTCTATTCACTAATCTCAAATGCATGCAAATTGAATTGATTTTAACATTGGTGACAAAAGCCTAACTGATTCACAGCTGTAAGAGTATCACACTTCAATTTACATAAAAACTATCAAGCTCTTTACATATCATATAAAAATCAATCTGATAATTAAAAGATAACATGGCAGGGATTTCAATTAAAGTTGGCCAATTTCCAGACCACACTAGCATTAAAATGTAATTAATTGAGAGAACTAGGCCATACATTTCAAAACTTTTATAAATGAGGAAATAAATATCAACTCCACTTAAGGTTTTATTTGTGATTAATTCACTACACTGGTGATTAACAAAGTAATCTCCCTTTAGTAAACATTCAAGGTGATCAGAGTTATTTCCCTTTAACTGCAGTACCTTTGCCCTATGTTCTAATAATTGTAATGAAAGCTGAACTAATTTTTATCTAATTAACTTGTGATTAATTCACTACACTGGTGATTAACAAAGTAATCTCCCTTTAGTAAACATTCAAGGTGATCAGAGTTATTTCCCTTTAACTGCAGTACCTTTGCCCTATGTTCTAATAGTTGTAATGAAAGCTGAACTAATTTTTATCTAATTAACCAGTAATTATTGGTTTATGTGAAGATAATTCAGCGAAATTCAATTTGCAAACAACTAGAAATCTTCAATGGAATACCCAAAGACCATTTCTTAATTTAGACGTTTTTAATTCTCTTCCTCATTTCATTTCTGTTATTACAAGATGTTCTAAACTTTGTCAAATTTCCAACAATCTAAAGTCCATTAACTCTGGTATATTGCCTTAAGGGATACAAATATTGTGTAAATCTTTAAAAAGAACCATATATATACGTGAGGTTGCTTCAAAAATAACGAACTGATATGTTCTAGGAATTTATAGAATTTTATTTAAATTTGAAAACTGTCAAAATCATAAGTGATTTTGTCTACATGGAAACAAAAACTTAAGTGAAAATTAATTATGATTGATTAAAATATATCTGAGTTGTCATTAAACAGACAAGTATCTTGCATAATATATTTGTCTTTGATAACATATAAAAAGAGAATTCATTAAAACTATTTTAAGAATAAAAAGAAAATATTAGTTCAGCTTTCATCAGGTTAATCTATGACAACATTAAAATATGGTTTCTATGACAGTACAACTATGGAAACGCAATGGCAACATGAATCTTACCACGACTAACACTTGATCCAATGGATGATACAGAGGCTGAGTCAAGGTAAAAAGAGGCAGGGTCTGTCAGAAGGAAGAACAATGATTGGTTAATATATGATAATGAACAGTGATAAACATTTATGAGTATTCTCTGATGGTACCATCATTTCCAAATAAATATTGGTGTGTTTTTATGTCAATAACAGTATAAACCATATACAATTTAGAGGAAGATATATATGAAAATGTTCATGAATATGTTGATTACAGGAATGAATATGTTAATTATATGTTACCAATTCATGAGTATATTAATTATATGAAATCAATTCATGAATATGTTAATTACATGTATATAAAATCAATTTATGGAGGAGAAGCTGGACACAGATATTTACCTTCAACAAGAAGTTGGCATGAGGTAGTTGCTTCCCCTTTCTCACTGACGGCTTTACATGAGTATTTTCCATCATCTTCAGGGAAAACTTCCATAATAATTAATTTACATTTGTCTCCAATGGCACTTATCTGGAAATCCTAAAAAACAAAATTGAACCAATGCATTAGATAAAAAACGACTTGTGATCCATTGATTCTTACTTTTCCTTCTGAGACAATACTACAGACTCCTGTTTCTAGAATTTATCAGGTAAAATAAATATTAAAAGATCGGTAAGCCAAAAAAAAAAACCGACCAAAAGAGATTTAAGAGCATTAATGCAAAACGACCAAATCAATCAAGGTCAGCTTAGTCTAAGGCCTTTGGGAACTTGTGTATACTGGACTACAATAATTTTCTTATTCAAATATGCATAGCACTTTGATTTCTTTTTAAAGGACACAACCAAAAAAACATATCGGAAACACCATCGAAGATATTGAGTTTTCCTTTTTAGCTCTAGTTCTCACCTGGCTGTCCAAAATTTCCTTGCTTTCTCTGTACCATGTGATCTGTGGGCGGGGCTGACCTTGAATTTCACATTCCAAGGTCACATTGTCCCCATCTTTACAGAAAATGTCTTTTAATTGTCTTGTAAACTTTGGTTTAGCAGAATCACTAAAAAAATAAAAGAAAACTTCAATTCGAATGTAATAGATCAGATTGCGTTTGAATTCATACAGTAATGTCAATGATTTCAAATGCTTTGCAGTCACCATCCAATTGGTAATCATAGAAATGTCATCAAAGGAAACATTTAACTCATGGAGTAATTTCCATAGGTCACTGATGATTTACTGTAATATATGAGCTGGTCAAGAATAAAAAATGATCAAATTCTTGTATCAGGCCCTCTTTACTAGATTAATTGTATTGCATATTTACCATAAGAAATAGAATTAACATTTTCTTGCAAAAACATTCATATGCTTTTCTGGAGTGAATTCTAGAAAAACTGAATAGCACAGAATGAAAAAATACAAATGTGATATCAATGTTCCATCTAGTGTAACATACTTCTAGCTCCTTTTTCTTCAATAAACACTAAAGACACAACTTACCTGCTTGCAGTATCAGCCTTTGATTTATCTGAAATAAATATAAACTTCTATAGGGTATTGCTATATGAATATTACTTTAACTTTACAGTTTCTGAAGTTATTTATATAATCTGTATGTAGGATTAAAAAAAATCCTGCTTGAAGGGAAGCATAGCATGATCCAAGAAAAAGTGATATATTCAGAAGTTATATGCTGTAGAAATGTTCAACTAAACAATATATAATCCCCAGTACTAGACTACTAGTTTTGGTACAGTACTAGACTACTAGTTTTGGTACAGTACTAGACTACTAGTTTTGGTATTTATTTTATACTAACTTTTTATTGCCAGCGATTTATTTTCGTGAGTAGGAACACAACACAAATATCTAAATAATTTAAATGCATCAAGAAAATTAGAATATCACCAAAAAAAAAAATAGATGCGAAGTCATCTTGAAAAGTCTAAGGGCCTAATAAAGTTTCCATGATAATAACTTGGTTTACAGTATTGTGTATTTTTGTTGGTCTTGATGAAACCTCATTGGTAGTCAAGGTCGTTAACTATATAAATATAAGTCAGTAAGTATTATCTGAAATATTTGAATATTGAGATGATAAAATATCAATCAGAAAACCCTTCCATCATATGTTTTGACAATTTTGAGAACTCCCCAAACAACCTTAGGCTCCATGTTGAAGGCCGTACTTCGACCTATAATTGTTTACTTTTTACACATTGTGACTTGGATGGATAGTTGTCTCATTGGCACTCATACCTCATCTTCTTATTTATTTTAGACTTACCTTTAACAACAAGTTTAGCATCAGTTCTGAGAATTTCCCCAGATTTGGTCTTAGCTTTACATGTGTATAGTCCTTGGTCTTTAGGATCAACATTTCTGATCTCTAACTGTTGTGTTCCGTCAGCTTCTTGTTTGATAGAAGAATTGGTAGTACTTGGAAGCTGAAATATAAAATTCAGATGCATTTTAAGTTATTTTAATTAAGGTAACGAAATTCAAAACTGTAATTTCATACAGGAAATTTATACATAAAATTAGTTATTTTCAAAGAAAAATAGTTATGCTCATCACCGTTCAACATCTTTCTTGTTAAGAAGTTTTTACATGTGAAACAAATATTGTTTTCCTCTAAAGGGAGATAAATGTTATGTATCTTATTCACTCACATACAATGATAACCCTACTAACCTCTTTGCCATCTTTTTCCCACCAAACTTTGTCTAGTGTGTCATCAATAACACAAACAAATTGTATGTCGTCTGTCGGGTAAACCTCAACAACAGATTCTAACTCAACAACAAACTTTGGTGCAAATTTCCTGTAAAAATATGTGTTTACAATTAAAAAAATATCATCATGTTTATAACATATAAATTATATTGTTTTTAATATTATATATATCTTTCAAACTTGTAACTTTTCCCATAAAAAGGTACATTTTTCATCTTTATAAATCTCTCATTTGACATATGTAGTTTCAATAATTATATTTGGAATGCCTTTAAAGCTTGCTAAGGTTTGATCTTTTCCAGTTTTGGAGTTTATTCTCTTCTCTAAGCTGATGACAAAACATGACTCTTTGTAGTTTTCATTTGAATGTAAAAGTTTAATCACTTTGAATAACATAAAAGACATCTACAATTTGAGTATGATTAACTTCAAAGTTTGGAGAAATTTGAAAAAATTAAAAGTCCAGATTTTCTATATGATGGCAGATAACTCTTACATGACATCTTGATGAATAAAAGAGAAATATGGGGATTTTGTTATGTTCACATTTTTATATCAGCTTTTTAATGAGCACAAAGAGCTTGCATACGAGGAATGGGAAGAGTAACCTACTTGTGTTTTCCAGGTTTATCTGTAGGTAAAGCCAGTAGTTCTGATTTTTCTGAAATGAAAGGAAACAAATACCCTTTAACACTGGCAATCTATAATTTATCTTCCAAAAAATCAACAAACTAGATAATTAATTAATATTTGAATAAATTGGTTTCTCCTCATTACAATGATAATAACTTGTAATAAGAACATATATCTGTTTTATAAAACATATGATAGGAATATTAGTTTTCTTGGTTTTAAAACTTCGAGGTTTTGTCTTCCAAATGGATTTTGAGAAGATTTGTTTTCAAATGGTTTATAATTTAATAGGTTAATAGATTGATTGTTGTTGTTTAAAAGCAGTATAAGCTATATCATGGTGGTCAGTTTTTATTGGTAGAGGTAGACCGAGTGCCTGGAGAGAACCAACAACTTTTGGCAAGAAAACTGTCCTAGTCAATTTAATTGGGAATTTTAAGCACCTGCCACATGTGGGGTTGGAACTCCCAACACTGGTGTTGACAGGCTAGTGATACAGTAGATGAACTACTTAGATCACTAGGCCACTGAGTCTTGTTTACCAATTTGAAAAAGTAAAGTTCTTTTTACATTTATTTTTAGTTTGAGTGTAAATTCCTTAATGAAAGAAAATAAAACAAAATAAAATCCTCAAAGTAAATGTCTGCTTATACAGTGACTTCTATCGACCATTGCACTTAATTCTGTTCTTCATTTTGTAAAATACAAAATATCCCCAAGAATTATTATGTGTATATAATATATATTCAATAATGAAACTAAAAGATGTGAGTATGCACTACTGTTATTAAGTCTGTGTATAAAAAGATGTGAGTATGCACTACTGTTATTTAGTTTGTGTGTAAAGATGTGAGTATGCACTACTGTCATTTAGTTTGTGTATAAAGATGTGAGTATGTACTACTGTTATTAAGTTTGCATATAAAGATATCAGTATGCACTACTGTTATCTAGTTTGTGTATACAGATGTGCGTATGCACTACTGTTATCTAGTCTGTGTATAAAGGTGTGAGTATGCACTACTGTTATCTAGTCTGTGTATAAAGGTGTGAGGATGCACTACTGTTATCTAGTCTGTGTATAAAAATTAAAGATAAGCAGCATACCAAAATGAAAATCATCGTCTTCTAAATCTTCTGGTGCTAAAAATAAAAATAAAATCTCTACTTCATGCAACTATTAACCAAAATTAAAGAAAAAAATCTACATAAATATTATATTATATAAAGTTTGTTAACTGTGTATGCTAATAATATATTGAATACACTTTTTATAATATTATATACCATGCTTCTACATCAATATATACTAGGTAAGTAATAAACAATATTGAGCTCTAAGACAGTGGCCATCTTAAAATTGCCATATATATTTCGTATACATTTTCACAGTTCCATATCTCTAAAAATATTTCATAGCCATTATCTATTTAGCTTTTCAATGATGTTTTTTTAGAAGAAGATTGATTTTATATGAAATATTTATGGCAATTTGAAGACAGCTATTCATATATACCACAGTAAAGCGTTTGTGAATACATGTAACATATTTCTGATATGAAATTGATTTAATTTCCATTAATACTTTAAAAAAGCATGCACATTATGTAATTTTGAGGTAAACTAATGTTAATATGTATTTTACTCAGGTTTAACAAAGAAACTACAAGAAATGATATGGAAAATCTATTTTTTAGTGAGACGAATTGAAGCAAGCTTTTAAAGAATTGATTCAATATTTTCAACTTTCTTTAGAATCAATATGAATTTGATTAGATAAGAGTGTTGCCTGATATCTCTAATGTAACATTATATGAAAATTCTACTCTATCTTAACTCAGAACTCCAAAACTGATGGTTGGAACCCAAAAAGAATTTCCTCAGCAAAAGTACAGAATACCGTCTATTATCAAAACCATTTTTATTTGTAGCGGTTATATTAGAATGAAGATAACAGTAATCAGTTTACAATTGGGATATTTCTTGCAATAAATGGGTGGATTTATGTCAGCAAATATTAGTTTTACATGCCCTACTACAAAACATCAGTAAAACAATATCATGATTGTCAAACCTCCTAAACTGTAACTCTTTAAATACATATCGCCTAATTCTGTTATAATTATGTAATTAGTCAATGTTTAGAGCTCTCTGTTACCTCTTAGTGTAAGTTTACACTGTGTCTCGGCAGATCCATGTTCATTCTTTGCCACACATTTATACAGGCCTTTGTCAGAGATTTCTGTATCATAGATTTCTACGATGTATTCACCATCTTCATAGAATATCTCTATGTGGTCTGAAATTAATTATTCAATGGTAAATAATATGTACATATCTAAAGTCTTAAAATTTGATGTTTATGAACTGAATTTCCCAGTATTAAGAATCCTTTTGTTTTAAATTTTAGGTCATATTTTGGGGAAACGAATATTCCATGACATTTTAACTTCACTTGCGATGTCAAAGATGGTCAGAGTAATAAGAAGTGGATTGTTTACTTATTCTGATACGCTCTAATGAAAAGTTTACATCTCTTAGCAGATCGAATTACTTTTTAAGTCATGAATATATCCAGCAAGCTGCCAGCAAATTAACTATAAAAACATATTTTATTTTCAAATTTGTAGAAGTATATTATTTAGATATACAACTTAATAAAATAAACAATACTCACCTGAATTAATTAGTCTTTTGCCATCTTTAAACCACTGAATGTGAGCCTCTGGATTGGCTTCAACTACAACTGTTAAGGTAGCAATACTACCTGTGCGACATGTCAGATCTTCAAGTCCTTCAAGAAATCTAGGGGATTGTTTAGCGTCAGATTTTCTCATTTGTTTAGGTGAAGCACCAGCGCCACCCATCATCATTGGTGGAATAGCCATTGTTGGAATGTCTTTATATTTTCCTTCAAATTCTTGAGAAGTGAATTGTGCTGTTACTTTCTTCATCTGTGATTGTTTAGTCTTGATGAGAGTTATGTCCCCTTCCACATAACAGTCATACTGTACATTCATGCCTTCCATCACGTCCATGGCAGTCGGCAGATGTTTGATGAAGAATGGTGCTGTAAAGTAAATATTTCATTCAGATCATGTTCATGGAATGCATGAATCTCTAAATATATCATTCAACATCCAAACAGAAAAAATATGGGTTTCTGATTTAAAAAAAGTTTATAAAACTTGATAGAAATCTTAAATGGTTTTGTCTAGTGACAATCACAGATAACAAAAAGGAAAAGCAACATGTATGGTAAATTTTGAAACAGTGAACAAGTTGATAAAGTGACTAAGAGTTGTTCCAATATTGTTTAACAATCATCCAAATGTACAGGACACAGAGCAACAAAAAAGGTGAAAAAATATGAATATCAAACAACTAATCTTATTTCTATTTTCAAAATATTTTAAGTCAATATTAATATACTATTTGTTCAGACAACTAACTGATTTATATGTAACTATTTACTACAGTATCTGTATAATTTTTAAAATCCTACCTAAGGAAGCTTAGTACAAAATGTATTTCAATATTTAAAAAAAAACTTTTAAGTAAAAAAAAAAAAACTATCTGTACTGCTGTCACTACTGTGCATAGTTTACCCTGTGTGCAGTGTTTCTACAGTTACTGACTGTCATATGTTTACATACTATATACTTGTCAGCAATGGTTTATTTTCTTTGACTAATACATATTATCTATTGTTCACAGTTTTTCTACTCTATTATTTTTTCAATTTTACAATAAACTGAAAGTATTTCAACTTTTTGAATAGCACATTGTTTTGTGACACTGCTGACAAATATGTGAAGTTTTGTTCTACATTGATAAGTGATAATTTTTAAACTATTGCTACTAAATTTATAGTTAATCTATTAAAACATGCAGAGAAAAGATATGTACCAAATCCTTTATTTTCATGGTATTCTCCTGAAAATGAATTGAAGGACTTATAAAAACACACAAAATAATTTTAAAATCTTACAAAAAAGGTACTTTAATATAAATATAATGGATATGAATTTGTTAAATAATGTTATATTTCAGAATAAATATTAATATAAATAAAAATGGAAACAATGGTGTAAGGGAGATAACACACAATTTTTTAAACAATTTAATTTTGTAAATGGCACACAAAATTAACACAAGAGAAAAATTGCCAGAACTCACCTGCAGCTTTCAAAGCTTCATCTGTAGGTACTTCTTCTCTGTAAGAACAAATACAAAACTCATGTATAATATTATCTTATTTCTTCACAAGTTATTGTATAGTGGTACAAAAACTGTAATATCAAAATTCCCTTCTCCTCTCCCAAAAAATAAAAAAAATAAAAATAAATTAATCACTGGTTCCATAATGTAAATGCTTGTACCTTATGTTTTTAGTTCAGTTAAAATGATTTTGTAAACAAGTATATAGGAACTTGTCCTGTATTAAGATTTTCCTGATTTTAAATGCATCGTTTTTCAATTTCCCCCCTACAGCACAAATTAGAAACAGACACATTAAGTTTACCTGTATTTAGATTTTCTGTTGATCTTTACTATACATTTAGCCTCAGTAACCCCGAGGGCATTAGAGGCTCTAGCTGTGTACTCTCCAGCATCAGACATCATCACCTCCTGTAGTTCTATAGTATAGGTTCCATGGAAAGAAGTAGATTTGTGTCGATAGTCATATTTCAGATCTCTTACTCCTTTATGCCAGGTTACTGAAATAGATTAAAATGAAGATAAAAATGAAGTCTGTTTTGTAACATAATCATCAATGAAACAATCATTCTTAACTGTTTTTAATTTGACAAATTTTACTATTTTCAAAAATACTTTAGAATGACACAGTCTTACTGACAGTAAATACGATATAATATTCTAGAGGTTTAACATGATATTGAAATAAGACGCAATGACAGAAAAATAAAAAAGTTGTAGTTCTGAAAATATCTCTGACAACTAACAAAATGGATAGATGAAATTATTTCTTTCCAGTGCACTGAGTTCTTCTTATACTTAATTGTTTCAATGAAACTTGCTACAGAGCAAGTCCAGTTTTAACAATCTATATTACTACTTACAGAATGGTTTAGGATAGCCCTCTACAGAGCAGTCCAGATGTAACCTGTCACCTTCATCTAATTCAATGACCTTGGGAAGGGCCAAGGTGAAATGTGGTGGGCGTCCACCCGGAATATCCACAGGTTTTTTCCTGTCATATGTACGCTCAAGTCTTGTTGCCATAGAGAATTCTTCCTCCTCAGAATAGCTTGGTGTTGATGGTGGTGACTTGGAACTGGATCGGGCTGAAATAATTATACGGTTTTAATTTGGTACTGGCCTTTTAATATAAATAATTTCAATTTTGTCAATCTAACAATGTTATACTCTTAATAGATATTAAGGTTAAAAAAGCAAATTAAGATTTCACCTGTATCATTTCTAATAGTAAAATCTATTGTAAACAAAATCAATAAGATTTTGAATAGTGACACAAAAAACTCTTACAACATGAAAGCTTATACATGAATATGAATGTTACTGACCTTTGACCTTGAGACTAGCAGAACACCTAGTATGTCCATATGAGTTCTGAGCTACAATGCCATATAGTCCTGAGTCACTGACTCGTGAACTTCTGATGACCAACTCAGCAACACCATCACGGTCTGAGCCAATGTAAATACGTCGAGAGTCAGTTATGTTTGTACCATCTCTCTGCCTGTAAAGTAATAGATAATAGTCTGTTAGAGAAGCAAATCATTTACGAGAATTGAAAAACATATATTTGGCAATATAGCACATTTGCCTCCATATTTTGTCATTGGGGACTATAGTCCAGACCTCGTCATAAAGGCTATCATCACCACTATCAGAATTTCATTGCAATTGAGGTAAAAAACATTGAAATGAAACACATAAAAATCAAGTTATATATCTAAAACATTTAACTTGTTCATCTGCCTGCTTAAATGTAAAGCTTTCCCGCTATACAAAATGGAGTGCAATATGAGTGTTTAGCCAATCAGAAAGATTGAGGCAATGATATACAAATATGTTACTGTCTTTAAGGGCACATAGTTATGTCACTGAATAAACATCAGCCACTATGCTGGAGAGTCTGACAAATAGGACAAATAGGTAAACCAATTGGCAGATTTAGAACAAGCAAAACAGACCAACTTGTTAAACTTTTATAAATCATTTGTTACATATCCATTCTAGTAAACTTCAGCCAAACTTTCTATTAGGTAAAACTTACCATTTAAATGTTGGGCTTGGTTGGCCTGTTGCTTTACAACTAAATGTCACTTCCTCTCCAGCCATAACAATAATGTCATGTAATGGTTCAATAAACTGGGGTCTTTTACTGACTGGTTCTCTTACTGGTTCCTTTTCAGCAGCTGAAAGACAAACTTTTTCTGTTCACAAAATTGAGCATTTATTTGTTTACAAAATCAATTTAAAAAACCAAATTGTATTGTGATTCATTGTTTTACCCTATCCTCTTCCATAAAATAGTAAAATAATAAAATATTTTATTTTAATAAGTAGATAAAAATGATGCTCTTATATAAAGCATTTCTTTGTATACATCTTTTAATAGTTTTATTTAAAAAATCACTGAAAATTAATCTGGCAAAAGATGTTGTTAATTTTGCTTTTAACTACTCACCAACTACTTCAAGAGAAGCAGTGCAGGTTGCCTCCCCTTCACTGTTTACGGCTTTACACGTGAATTGTCCCATATCTCTCTCAGTAACATCCATGATCTCTAGTGATAACAGACCATATTTGTTCTGTAAATAAATGGAAAACAATTCATTTAAAAACAATAAAGTTTATCCTCAAGAGATTAACAATTGAATAAGTCTTATTCTTACTAACTATTCTTTATCATTTAAAAAATGCAAGGATAACAAATGTTGTTTCTTAGCTGTAAAAATAATAATAAATGTAATTTAAGGAAAAAATGGATTATGGCAAATATAAATGGTTCTAATATCATTACAAATACTTCCATAACATATGATTTGTGCATAACCTACCCTGACGAGATATCGAGACTCCTTGGTGACATCACGATCGTCTCTGTACCATGTGACTTTAGGATTAGGTATTCCTGTAACTGTACAGGTGAATGTCACACTATTTCCTACAGAGACTGTCTTGTCCTTCAGTTTGGCTGTGAAGTTTGGTGGTGTTTCTATTTTGAACCTTCTCATTGGTGTTTCTGTGGTTTCTGCTGTGACAGGTTTGATTGGCTGGAAGGTTGATGGTGATTGGAAGGAATCTAGTTCATCTTCCTTTGGTGCTTCTGGAATAAGAAAATTTATGTTAAATGTAAAACTATGTAATGTGTCACTACAATAAGATTATAATTTATTTTATGAATTTAAATCAATGTATAAAGCCGTTAAAATTATTGATATTGGTTTCAATTCATCATACTGACATGAAACAAAAAATCGTTATAATATGTATGACTTGGACAGCATCTCCTGAGCGAAACCACATGTAAACTGAAACCAGATTGTTTGAACCAAGGGAGAATAACTTCAGTACATGTCATTATCAATTAGGTACAATGAGAGTTGCCAGCAATTGTACACCATAGATAACATAAACATATACTGTAAGTTTTTCTTAGAAAAAAAGCCAGTGAAAACTGTGCCTAATACATAAATCTATTTATTGGTCCTAGGTTAAATCAAAATAAAATACTATATCATTACAGAAGTAAACTCATTCTAAAAAGTTACAATAAAAGTCTTACTCTGTACACGGAGAATGGCCTCCGTTGTAGTAGCTCCTACAACATTGACAGCTCTGCACATGTATCTGCCTGTGTCTTGGTGGTACGTATCACTGATAGTCAGTACGTGGAGATCACCTTCAGTTGAGACTGTGAAATGACGTCCAGAGAACAGAAGTCGTCTTTCTTTGTACCACTCTATTTCTGGTTCTGGGAATCCCTTGACCTTGATCTCTAGTCTTACAGAGCTGCCCTCTACAATTGTAGTATCCTCTAATCCTTTGGTGAATTTAGGTGGAACAGCTCCCTCTGGGATGGTTTCTGAAATAATCAAGTTATAAATACAGTTCTGTATGTAATAAAAAAGACAAAAAATTTCAGCTCATCAGATTTTACCTTAATTAAATAATCTTGTTTATTTTAAATCTGACCAGTAAAAATTGAACAAAAAAAAAAAAACCCAATTTACTTGCTAATTTTAGTGCAGTGACTTGTTGTCTTGATTAAAGAAATAATTTGTTTATTTGTTTGTTTATAGATGTCAATCTTACCTATGACTTTAACATCACAAGCACACATTGAGCTTCCATACTGATTGACTGCCTCACATTGCCATTGTCCTGCATCTTCAGGAGCAATTTCATGTATAATCAGACGATATACACCCTTCATGTGCTCTAAGTCATATCTCTCGGATGATTTGATAACTTTACCATTGTGGTACCAGGTCACATCAGGTTCTGGACGACAGGTCACTGAAAAGTAATTATGATATCAATAAAAAAAACAATCAAACTACATTGTGGATAATATAGGTACAAAAAATTAATAATGATCTACAACATGTGACATTATTTTTTGTAAAGTATTTAAAAAAAAAAAAAAACTATGTCCTGAAATTCAAGCTAAACTGATAAATTGCAATGAAATAACTATCTGGCTTATACAGAATTTTAATTTGTATTTCTATCAATATTTACACTGACCTGTAACAGTGAGTTCTAGAGCCTCTCCCACACGTTTGACTTGGTCAATCAGTGGCAGTGTGAATGATGGTGGTACACTATTGTCTAACAAACTTGTATCATAGTCATGTCGGGGATATCTATAACAATACATACATTCTTATAATATTATATAGTCTATAAATCAACCAATATCAACTAGTTGTTGTTTGTTTGTCTCAAATGATTATCAATTTCAAATTCTTGAGAATAGTAGAATTTCTGCAGAGTTTAACCAACAAATATAGTTCAATAAAAGATTTTCATTCACTAATTTCAGGTTAGGCATATCTAAATGATCCTAAATAATAATAAAATTTGTGTCAAGAATTGAGATGGTAATTCCTTGATAATCAACTTACTGCATCTTGGCAATGGCTTCGTCTGCTGGTTTCTTCCTTCTTCTTCTGTGTTTCTTTTCTACAATAAGACAATATTAACATGTATATACTGATTATGATTCTTTCATGAAAGAAAGAGAGCCAAAGCCAAATTTCTAATCAAGGGTGGTACATCTGCAAAGATTTTTTTCATCTTGTATATACAAATGAATACATATTATGAAAAATATATGCTCTGATCACATTTTTCCTTCAAAGGGGAGTGCCATTGTGACCTACTAGTTACTGCCCTGAAATATATACTATATTTTTGACATTCAATTTTTAAAAATATTTGTATGAATTTTCTGCTCACCCATTCAGAACCAAAACTACCAAAATATATCAAGCTTGAACATACCATCAACACTGAGTTTTCCTGTTGTTGACACATCTCCAAATTCATTGACAGCCTTACAGCGGTATTTTCCAGCATCTTCTACTTCAAGATCATTTATCAATAATGAAGCATAATTGTCTTTGTACAACATGTGATATTTCTTGTCCTCCAAAATCTCATCTCCGTTAAGGAACCATGTGATCTTTGGAGACGGTTTACCACTAATCTTACAGGTTAATTCTACACGTGATCCTTCGTATCCATCTGTATCTGTCAAAGGCTCCATAACAACAGGAGCATGGGGTGGCATTTCTGAAAAACATAAGTACAATTTGTTTACACAAATAAGTTCATTTCTTGTATATTCTGTTTACATTGAAAACTGAATTTATTTATGAAAAGATAAAAATTAATTCTGCAGGCCAAAAAAAAGCTTCAAAACATATTTCTTTTAAAAGATGAGTAAACCTTCAAGATTTAGGAACTACAACTTGCATGCTGGCATCATTTACATTTGTACTGATGGAAACAACAACAACGCACAAATGTTGAGAAGAAAAATTGTGTTTTAAATGATAAAGTAAAGATTTTGTCATCAACGTGTAAAAATACATACAATTTGGTAAAGTTATTTTTTGCTTTTGTTTGTGTGTTGTTGGTACAGAAATTTTGATCGACAACAACAAAACATTCCTGGGAATCTGTCGAGCAAATTTAGGCAAGAATAATATCTATTATCAATATTTGACTAACAGTTTTAGGCTGTGAATTTGAAATTTTGGCCATATAACTTACCCATCACCAGGTTCCTGGCAAATACACCGTCATCTCCTTCTTTCCTGAAGATGGCGCTATTTCTGGACAGTTTACCGATGGGTAGAAGGTCAAGGTCATCTTCCTTGTGTCTATGTTTGTCATGGTAGTCTTTGTGATGGAGTGTTGACAATTTCTTGCCTGTGAGTTTCTTCTCAGCAGCACCCTGAATAATTATTTTATAAGAATTGTCAAGAAACAGCTAAAGTGAAATATAACTATACTGTCTTTGTCTGGTAACTAATGTTTCCACAGAACATTACTTCAAATACCTTTTTCATGGTTTTAATTGCTACTCTAATTAAAATATAAATAAAGGAACAGGGGCATGAAGGCATGTTTTGGTCTCCAAAGTTTTCACATTGTTTTTTGTATGTTCCACCAATAAAGTAAACAGTAAAATATCTATAACTGAACGGAAACCATACAACAAAAAATAGCATACTTTATTGTGTAATGACATACATATGATTATAATCTAGGATTCAGTAAAGAAAATAAAAAATTTTAGTTTGTGCATTGTTTTCATGATATTTGTATTCAGAATGCATAACCCATAGTCATGAGTCAACAAATACTTTAAACAAAAAAAAAAGATAATGTCTCACATCTAGTGTAAAATAGATTCATGCACTCAGGATTGGGGGTGGGATTTAAAACTTTATAATTTTCTTTCTAGTTCATTGAATTTTGGGTTCAAAAAGGCTTGTAACAACTATTGTAAAAAATCCAAAATTTTTAACCAAAATAATTCATATAATTCATACTTTAACCAAATATTTTTTGTGTTTCATGTTATGTGATCTTACTTTGCATGACGATGTATAACAAAATGTATTTTTCTATCTTTTGTAAACATGCACTTTTACAACATGAACAGGCCATCTGAAAATAAGTACTCAATTTTACTGTTGCTCAAATAACCAAAAATTTTACTCCCTACAAAATATTCTCAAAAACAAGAAACATTTAATAGTATTGAGAAACTGATGTGTTTTATTTAAAAATTATTGTTTAAAAATATTTGTATCGATATAAAAAGAGAGAAAAAAATGTTTTTTAAAAACTAAGTTTAAAGGGAGATAACCCTAAATACTTTTTCAAATTGGTTGTTTGAACAGTTTATTAAATGCGCAATAAGAGCATATACTCACATGCTTCAGAGTCTTGGCATCAACTTTAGGTTCTCTTGGCTAAAAAAGCAGCAGGATATTAATGCTAGCGTTTAATCTACTTTATAATTTACTGCTTTAATGGTAAATGTATTAATGTCTATGACTATTTCTATGTATGTGTAAATAAATTATGATTAAAGCATATGCAGCAAATGTGTGTATGTTTTTTTTTCAAATTGATACAAACATGTTTCATTTATCTATTGCATTTAAAATAAAACAGTGAAAATTTAAGCTTTTCTAAAATTAAACGATTATAACTTTAATAGAATACTAAATTACAAGTAAATGGAGATTAGTAAAAATATAAGTATAAAAAAAAAGTTTTGAAAATAAAACCAAAACAAATAAAAAAATAATAGTAACAAATATAACAGATTTAAGAAAAATAAAAAAATAAAGGTGAAATAATTAAAAAATTGTAAGAGAATAAAAAAAAGAAAAGTAAGAAAAAGAATGTACAATTATAACTAAATGAATGAGATAATTGGCAATGATAGGATGGAAACTAAGACAAAGCAAAAGCACACCAAAAGTTGAGATTCCTGAACAGGAAACAAATGTACAGATAAATTATATATATATCCATCAATTCCCTGAATATTGTTTGAAATAATCTGTTAAAAAAAATACTGATTTGAATCTAACATTCATACCACTATTTATATAGCAGCTTTGAATGTTAGCGCTATAATAATTCAGAATATATATTTTCTAAAATTGTTAAGAATCAGGAACCTCACTAATTACATGGATGGGAATTAATGACAACAACTAAACAGAAATAAAAAGAAGAAAATGCACATAAGATCTTACATTGAGCCAAGGATGACCGAGAGCATCATCAATTGTCAATCTATCGCTCTTGTCTTTTAACATCAGTTTCTGGATAAAATCTTTGGCATCATCAGAAATGTCATTCCACACCTCATCTTCAAAGTCAAAATCACCAAGTGTGATGTTAGCAAATGTGTCTAAATCATTCTCTCCAGCAAAAGGAGAATATCCACTTAGACTGTAACATAAAAAGAAATTGGTTACAGTTTGTTTAAAAAAATCCTTAACAGAAGCACAGTGATATGAAAGATAAGAAGCAAGGTATATGCAAAATGTTTTGACTATGGACCCTTTAATATGATTACTGTCTTTTATCTATTCAATAACAACTATCCTAAATATTTGTAATTCAAGGTTTTCAAGTTATCTTTCGTATCCCTTTACTTATCATGACTGACTGCTTCAATTTTCATTATATATTCCATTTCCACATATAAACACAAGGAGAAGAGAAAATAACCAACCAAAGAACAGTACAAAAGAAAGTGTACATCTGAGGATCTCCATATATATACCAGTAATGTACAGTCTGCCTTCAGTCCAATTCAACGTTTTACTTTTAAACTCTTTTTCCCAAAGTTATGTAACAACAGAGGCTAATTTCATCAGTAATAAATGACAAATTTACATGACATATGACATAACATCAAGAACCCACATGTCAGTATGACATACTTAAATGACATGACATAACACAAACTGTCCCACATGCCAGTGTAACAAACTTACATTACATATGACATAACACCAAGTGCCCACATGTCAGTAGAGAAAGATACTGGTTCAAAGCTGATGATTTCTGGAGCACAGAATTCTGCTGTTCCAAAAAGAACTTTGACGGTTTTTCCCTCCTCTAATTTCTGGGCTAATCCAAAGTCAATAATCTTTAGATCATTACTATCCTTGGTAACAAACATCACATTTTCGGGCTGTAAAATTAAATTTGGAAAATCAGAATACTCCATCTTAATAATAAGACAAGATATATAAAAACATTTTTAGATTTTAAGCTTTTACTTGCTTGTTAATTAAAATGCATGGACTTGCTATATATGCCCAATTAATTGAAATATGTGCATCAAATTTTACTAATCAATAAGACTTTTTTTATAAATTTTGATAAACATTGTAGAAATGATACAACATTTACCTTGAGGTCAAGATGTAGGATGTTCTGTCTGTGCATGTGTCTGACACCTTCACAGATCTGTTTCATGTAGGTGATACAATCCTTTTCTGTGAAATCAAAGTCTTCCTGGACTAGTCGGTCAAACAATTCGCCACCACTCAACCTGAAAAGTATAAAAAAGCATTATTATTTCCTATTGTTGAAATTATCATGTTAAATTGGAATAAAATTGAGAATGGAAATGGGGAATGTGTCAAAGAGACAACGACCCGACCATAGCGCAAACAGCAGCCAAAGGCCACCAATGGGTCTTCAATGCAGCGAGAAACTCCCGCACCCGGAGGCGTCCTTCAGCTGGCCCCTACTTTTGCTCTCCTCATATCTGTGGGCCAAACCAAAGTCAATGATCACATTGTTCTTAGTACAAAATGATCTTACATTTACATTAAAAATACTGTGTTGGTGGAGTGGTCTTTTGTACTGTTTAATATTTTTGGGTAATTCCTGTTATTATTAAATGTTTTATTCTACAGAAATATTAGCAAATCAATATTTGTATTTTACCACATCTTTTGTTTCTATTTCCTTTATAAACTTACAATTCTAAGATGGTGACCATTTCTCTTGCCTCGTTAAAGGCTTTATAAACTTACAATTCTAAGATGGTGACCATTTCTCCGGTCTGGTCAAAGGCTTCATGTAACTGTAAGAGTTTGGCATGATGCAGGTCATTCATGATGTCTATTTCATGTCTCACAATCTCCTTTTCATGTGGTTTACAGCGAATAAATTTGGCAGCCCAGTTCTTATTGGTTGCTCTCTCAATGGCACGATGTACAACACCAAAAGCTCCACTTAAAATACATAAAGCAAAAAATTAACATCGCTGAAAAGAAAGTTGTTCTTGAATGATAAGTAAGTCTTGTATTGTTTTTTAAAAGAGTTAAATATGCCAGGAAAATATATTGACAACTGAAATTAAAATAAAAAAATCTCTTTGCACAATGAATAATGGGAGTATATATGTTATACAGAATAAAATCAATGCTATGAAACAAGTGTAAATTCTCACCGTCCAATTTCTTCACAAATGATGTATTTTCCAAGGACGTCACCTTTAATGCGGTCTGGGTTCACATTATTTCCTCTGAAGCTGGCATCATCTGAAAAACAAAAAATATATATCAAAGAACAAGTAAGAAATGACAACAAGATAGTTATCTCCCTTGATCATATAAATAAAATGTATTTTACTATTCTAAAACTATACTGAATATCAGTTGTATGAAGAAAGTTTTTCTTATAGCTGAAAGTTGTTTTACAATGTTTTGAAACAAATTTAAAATGTATTCAGAAAATAGTAAAAGGAATATATCAATTTTTTTTTATAAAATCTTCCTTTGCGGTCTTTGGAACTTACACATGCTGTCATAGTCAACATCAGGTACTTGTTCTCTTGTCATGATAACATCTGATTCAGGTCCTGGCTCACTGATTCCAATCGTGTTCTCAGCTAAAACACGGAACTTGTATTCTTTAAACTCCTCCAGACAATCAACAGCAGAGAAAGGTGTTTTAGATGTAGCTGCACGTCTCCATGCTCCAGTTTGTACATCACATTTCTCAACAATGTAACCAGTGATTGGTGCACCACCATTATCTTCTGGTTCCTGCCAGGTCATCTTGATAGCAAATTTGTTGATACCAGTAATGACTGGTTTCCCTTCTGGTGGTCCAGGACGTTCTGTTAATAAGTAAAGCATTATAAATCAATAAAACTTGCAATCTTTAAATTTTGTTCTATTATCAAACCATTTTACAGATCTAAAAATGACAGTTTCAAAATGTAAAAAGTTGACATTTTTAAGTTTAAAATTAAAGTTTTAATGACTTATAAAATATAATATGTATATCTTATTAGTTTTTAAAAACTTACCAATGACCTTGATCGGTATATTAAGAGAGTCACTTCCAAGTTTGTTTTCAACACTGATTTTGTAGGTTCCACTATCCGGTCTTTCTGAATCATTAATTGTCAGAGTAGAGTGTTTAGGTGTCACTTTAATGTCAACACGACGTTTACGTTCAATAACTTCTCCTTCCACAGACCATGTAACGTTTGGCTCTGGTTTGCCACGATACTGAATTCTGACCTGGATTGTGTCCCCTTTACAGATGTACAGTCCGTCAAGGTATCTAGGTGGTACTTCAACAATCTTGGGATGTACTAAAAACAAAGATATCTTTTTCTAAGTATGAAATTCCTCTTTATTAATCGTGACATTGATTGAAGAAGAGGTTGAAAGCATTAAAATTTTTTAAGAAATATATATAAAAGTAAATTCTGAGTAAAAAATTCTATACCCTTTAACTAAAATTTAAACATTGCACATAATTTTCTCTTTGGAATCAGTAAAACAAATTGGTAATATATGTACCTAGAACTTCCATCCTGGCCTTGGTTGTGGCTGATCCCATGCGGTTCTTTGCCACACATTCAATGGTAGAATCGCCACCTTCCTCAACATCTTTGATGATAAGTGTGTGGACACCATTCTCACTCTTGATGAGGTAATGTCTACCAGTAAATACCTCTCTGTAATTCCTGTACCTATTTTTAATTAGATAAAAAAGTATATTTCAATAAAAGGAGTCTATGTTCTCAAGATCATTCAGTCAGCAGACCAACAACATAAATTCAACAAAAATATGTATATAGATGATTCTTTTTATCAGTGGTAAATACCTAAAAAAAAAACTGTTCAATGACAGACTGTTCTTACAGTGATCAAATTCAAATTATCATTTTATCATATACAGCACAGTATTCAAACATCTGTTTATCTTTTCAGATAATTAAATCTAGGAAATTATACCAAAAAAATTTGTTCAAGTAATGATTATTCTAATTACTCTGGAATAAGCAAAATCTAAGTTTAACTTGTGTCATCAGGCAAGCATTTTATGAGAGGTAATTTTGAATGTACTAACCAGGAAACATTAGGCATAGGTAGACCAGTGACTTCACAGGTAAATTTGGCCTCTTTTCCATCTACTGCTGACAGGTCTTCAATCTTCTTGGAGAATTGAGGAGCTTCCATCACTAAAATTGTAAATGTTAAAACATTATAACACTTAATTCCTGTTCAGTTTGGTAGTAAAATGAACTATAGGGTTCTACAGTCCACACATTCATTTTACAGAAATCAGAGACATATAATACAAGAGATTCGCAACTCTAGTAGAGTCTATATAACAGCCAATGAAATGACGTGGCCATCCGGAAAGCCGATTATTCCGATGGATTTATGGGTAAAAACTCGCTATTGTTGTGAAAAAGTTTCTACGCCTCGCGATTTTTCTAATGGATAATGCCGATACCTTTCACAGCTAAAGCATGCAAGTATATTTAAAAGTTACAAAAAACTAATTCTAATAATTTGTTATTGATAAAATGTGTTCTAATGATGAGATTAATCAAATACAAACAAAATTAAAACTCGGCACATTTTACTTCACCTCCTATTGCCGTAGAAACCATTTGATCTCCCAATTTTTTTCTTAAAACTTGGAAATATGCTAATAAATATATAATTTTATGGGGCAGTTCAGTTCAGTTCAGTTATATAATATTCCCAAATGTTGTTTCGTGAAAATAAGACTATTTTCGTAAAATTTGATCCAATAGTGTTTTTTTTTCAAAATTATCAACAAATGTGGCCATTTTTTCTTATTGATACCCGAAGCCAGCTGTGCTGGTACTATCATTTTATCTCGTAAAACTAGGAAATGTGCGAATAAATATTCAATTGTATGGGACTATATTACTCTCAGATGTTATGTCGTGAAAATAAGACCAGTTTCGTAATAAAATGCTCCGCAGGGCGCAGCTTGATACGACCGCAGAGGTCGAACCCTGAACAGTTGGGGGAAGTATGGACACAACATTCAAGCTTGATACAGCTTTGGATTTGGATTGTGATTAAATATTTGACACAGCATAGGTTTCTAACACAGATTGAATGTGGTCTAAGAACTTAAAAATTTTAAATTGGACATTCACCTATTATGGTCCAATATCCAAAATCTAAATACATGGTTAGATTCAGCATATCAAAGAACCCCAAGAATTCAATTTTTGATGAAATCAAACAAAGTTTAATTTTGGACCCTTTTGACCTCAATGTGGACAAAGTTGATAACGGGGCCCAAAAATCAAAAATCTAAATACATGGTTAGATTCAGCATAACAAAGAACCCCATATATTCAATTTTTGTTGAAATCAAACAAAGTTTAATTTTGGACCCCGATTTGGACCAACTTGAAAACTGGGCCCATAATCAAAAATCTTAATACATGTTTAGATTCAGCATATTAAAGAACCCTAAGAATTCAATTTTTGTTAAAATCAAACTAAGTTTAATTTTGGACCCTTTGGACCTTAATGTAGACCAATTTGAAAACGGAACCAAAAATTAAGAATCTAAATACACGGTTAGATTCGGCATATCAAAGAACCCCAATAATTCAATTTTTGATGAAATCAAACAAAGTTTAATTTTGGACCCTTTTGACCTCAATGTGGACAAAGTTGATAACGGGGCCCAAAAATCAAAAATCTAAATACATGGTTAGATTCAGCATATCAAAGAACCCCATATATTCAATTTTTGTTGAAATCAAACAAAGTTTTATTTTGGACCCCGATTTGGACCAACTTGAAAACTGGGCCCATAATCAAAAATCTAAATACATGTTTAGATTCAGCATATCAAAGAACCCTAAGAATTCAATTTTTGTTAAAATCAAACTAAGTTTAATTTTGGACCCTTTGGACCTTAATGTAGACCAATTTGAAAACGGAACCAAAATTTAAGAATCTAAATACACAGTTAGATTCGGCATATCAAAGAACCCCAATAATTCAATTTTTGATGAAATCAAACAAAGTTTAATTTTGGACCCTTTGGACCTCAATGTGGACCAATTTAAAAACGGGGCCCAAAATCCAAAAACTAAATACACGGTTAGATTCAGCATATTAAAGAACCCCATGAAATCAAGAATAAAACCCCATTGAAATTGGTCAAGAAATAAGCAATTTATAGGAAGTATCTTCTTTTGCACAATCCTGTGCTATTAAATATTTCTTGCTATTGTGCAATACTGTACAATTGACAATTTCTTGCTATTGCGCAATATTGTGCTATTGGATATTTCTTGCTATTGCGCAATACTGTGCAATTGAAGATTTCTTGCTATTGCGCAATACTGTGCAATTGAAGATTTCTTGCTATTGTGCAATACTGTGCAATTGAAAATTTCTTGCTATTGCACAATACTTTTTATATAATAATTTACACATCCTGTTTGGTGTGTATCTCCTACCATATCATTATTATTTGATTTTAAATATAAATCAGAAATAACCAACTTAAAATGGAAAATTTTAAAAGAAACAAAAAAGGAAAAAAAGAAAAAAAGGGAAAAAAAATAAATCCCCCCCCAAAATTTTTTGAACCCCCATTATGATTCATCACCCCCAAACTCAATCCCAGCCTTCCCTTTGTGGTATGGTACCTTGCAGTACAATTTCAGAGAGATCCATACACTTGAACACAAGTTATTGTCTGGAAACTAAAAAAAAATGTGTTTTTTGGCCCCTTTTTGGCCCCAAATTCCTAAACGTTTAGGGCAATTACCCCCAAACTCAAACCCAGCTTTCCCTTTGTGATATGGAACCTTGTAGTACAATTTCAGAAAGATCCATACACTTACACACAAGTTATTGTCATGAAACTAGAAAAATGCTTGTTTTTTGCCCCTTTTTTGGCCCCTAATTCCTAAAATTTGGAGGCAATTACCCCCAAAATCAATCCCAGCATTCCTTTAGTGATATGGAACCTTGTGGTACAATGTCAGAGAGATCCATACACTAACACACAAGTTATGTCTGGAAGTTACAAAAATGCTTATTTTTGGCCCCTTTTTGGCCCCTAATTCCTTTACTGTTATTACCATAACCCCCAAAATCAATCCCAACCTTCCTTTTGTGGTATTGAACCTTGTGGTAAAACTTCATAAAGATCCATTCACTTAAACTAAAGTTAGAGTGAGAAAACCAATGTGTCTTCGGACGACGACGACGACGACGACGCCAACGTCATACCAATATACGACCACAAAAATTTTTTTGCGGTCGTATAAAAATTGATCCAACAGTTATTTCTAAAAATATCAACAAAGGTGACTATTATTTTGTTATTTATACACAAAGCCTGCTATGCTAATTTTATCAATCTGTATCGTCAAAACTAGAAATTTACAAATAAATATGTCATATGGGGATATATATTACTCCCAATTATTTTTTCTTTTCTTTTCTTTTTTTTTTTTTTTTTTATTAAACTGGCTAAATATTGAAACTGTTCATGGACAAATTTCCTTAAATCAGTTCTTCATTTTTGTGCACTATGAAATTTATAGCCTGCATTTTGTTAGGCAATTTATTCATTTTTCATTCTGTTTATGGCAAAGTTGTTTATTTTCTGCTATTCTGAAGTCATTGTTTTTTTCTTCTTTTTAGGGTGCCAAAGATGAACGAATGCAGTAAATTTACAAAAGGAGTAAAATTTTCCTAGTAAAGGAAACCTTCTGCTGGTCGTAATTTTATGAATGAGCTTCGTGCATCTGTTGTCGTTTCAGACTACGCTTCTCATTCAAAACATGAACCTAATTCATTTTTAAATTAAAATCGTATTGAGGACATTTCAATGGTGACTGCAAAAGATATATATATATATATATTTGATAATAAAAGATTTTATTTACACCAAGGATTTGTATATGTATACATATAAACAATCTAACTTTTAAACTGCCATCTCTTTACCCCAGAATAAAAAAGACAAAAACCACTACAAATGATTGTCTCGTGGAATTAAGGTTATAAAATACTTTTTAAATAGTGTCTTCCATGTTTCTTTGATGTATGACCTCGACTCCCACTTCAATATTGTGGTTTTTTTTATAGATTTTTTGTTGCTTCAAGGACACACATATCCATCTATGTATGCAGTATTGTCAATTGTTTTTGTTGGTGGGTCTCTCGCTTATGTCTTCGTCACTTTCACTATCAACAAAGAGTTCGTTATCAGTTTATTCAACCAGAGACATATATACACATATGTGTATATATGTCGTATATATGTCTCTGATTCAACTAGGAATATATCTAACTCGTTACTATTCAGTGTCATCCTACGAAATAAAATCGGAATTTTCCATATTGCGTGCACATGAATGAAGCTTTATTCAAATGAGAAATTAATTGTAATTTTCTTAAATATTATTTCTCAATGCACACTTCGAAAATGAAGAAACCATAAATTTACCGACAATCATTTAAAAAACAACTCAATGCAAGCCTATGATGAAACTGTCAAACAACACTTAGAAATCAAACATTTACCGACAATCCTACAGAACAACTCAATGCAAGCCCAATTAATGATAAATATAAAAATAAATAAAATTTTAATAATTTATAAATATCAAGAATAAAAAACAAAGCCTATCATGATTAACAATTAATTAACAAATAAATTAAGTTTTTTTTCACATTAATTAATCTTACATTTTGTGAATTGTATTTTTGGAAAGAGAGTTGACACCTGTGGTGTAACAACTTCATGTTTACAAGATGTCAATTAAAACTCATTTTTTGTAACATGTTCGTGATTTACCTGGTCATCGAATAATTCAAACCTAATATACATGTCACACTGTGAAATTATGTCTCCGAGAAAGGTGTATATTCAATAGAAACCCATTATGAAACTATCAAACAAAATTAACTCTGATACAATTTATCAAGTGTTAATTATTCAATATAATTTTTTTTTAATACAATATCAAATTATGTCTCTTTTTCAATAATACAAATCTAAAATCAAAATTCCATTAAGATAAATAATTATATATGAACTCAAATTATTTAACTAATTATGATAAATTTAACACTGAAACAGTTTATGTTATGCTTAAACATTGGTCCTTACTTCGAGTACTTTTAATACTTTTATTAATGACTTTATTACCTAAGGAGATCTCGCGAGGTTTAACTAGTGGCCGCGTGTTTTTACGGGATTTCGCCGAGTTGCGAATCTCTTGTATTATATGTCTCTGCAGAAATGTTATCAAGATGCAACATTTGATTTAACTATTTCAGCCAATCCTCTACTCATGCTCAACACATAAGAATATGAAATTTCAATATAAAACTAAAAATCTTTTCCAAACCAAATTTAGACTTTCAAAGGTAATTAAACCTGAAACGCAAAATTGATTTTTTTATTTTGGTTATAACTTTTGACTAAAAAAGACCTGCTAAGAAATAATACCACATAAAATGAGAGAAGAGAAAGTTGATTCAAGCATCACATATTAGGAGTTTTGGTAATATAACATGACACCTGTAAACAGTACCTTTCTGTTCCCGGCAGTAAAACTGTTCCGTCTCAGGAGATGGTTCGCTGGCTCCTTCGTCATTGACAGCTCTCACTCTGATACGATATGGAATATCTTCAAACAAGTTATTAATTCTGTACTTTGTGTCTGCTATTGGTACTTTGTTAATTGGCATCCATGTTCTACCGGCAACATCTTGACGTTCTAACATGTAACCAATGATTGGTGAACCTCCATCATGTTCTGGTGGTTGCCATGACAACTCAACAAATTTGGGTCCAAGTGCTGTGATTTCTGGTGCACTAGGTGGTGCTCCTGGACAATCTAAGAAGACAAACAAATTGTATCACAAAAACTTTTAAAACATTTCATAAACATATTTTAATTCCCAGTAAATTCTACATTATTCTTTTTTTCCTACATGTATACAAACTTTTAAACAGATTTCATAACTTCACACATTATTAATCTACAGTTCATTTCAATATTACCAAGGTTCTGTTTTAGTCAGAATCTTCATTTAAATACTTATGTGAGAGGGGGGATTAACTTGGGATTCACTTGGAGAATTACAATGCTACTGTCTCACTCAAAATTGTGAATGTAATAGTTTATTTTAACATTACCTTTTCTTCCTTTGAGTTCTACTGGTTTCTTTAATTCAGCTGGACTACTGACACCAGTTGAATTTTCTGCAAACACACGGAAAAAGAATGTGCCTCCTTCTGGTAAATCACTAATATGATGGCTCTTGATAAGAGGAGGTACGCGAGTAACACGTTCCCAGTGTTCACTGTCAGGTGTACGTTTCTCTATCGTGTAACCAGTAAGTCCTTTCTTTCCAGAATCTGGGGCTTCCCAGGTTAAAGTCAAAGAGTCCTTAGTTACATCTTTCACTCTTAATGATGTTGGAGGTGATGGTAGCTCTATAAAATAAAATTTTCAGTCAATTTATTGAGTAATAAAATTAGTCACAATAATTAAAATCAAATATTGGTTTTACAACTAACAATCTTAATTAAGAAATTCATGAGTTTAATGAAAATGTATTTACTTGAAAATATTTCTAGTAATTAACCTACCATCAATAGAAAAAGATTCTAAAATTTAACATCTTAAATCAGAAAATATGAATCCAGCTGTTTACACCATTTAGTTGATAGAAACCAAAGAGTCGACGTTAGGGTTAAATCAATTGTTTGAATACATACCCATAACTTTCTTGGGAGCAACCATTAGGTCCGACTCTAATGGTTGACTTCTTCCATAACGGTTTTCAGCATACACTCTGAAAGCATAGTCTTTATTCTCTGTTAAACCAGTCACTGTGTAGTCTGTAGCAGTTCCTCTGGTGTTTGCAACATGGAACCAGGTGTGTCTGGTACCTTCACGTTTCTCTATAGAATATGATGTGACAGGTGATCCACCATCAGTTGTAGGAGGCTTCCAGTCCAAGGTCACACTGTCCTTGGTAAGGGGTTTAACCTTCAATGGACCTTTGGGTTGACCTGGTGGTCCTGAAAATCAAAAGTAAATGTAAAGCATCAAGGTGGTGAAGTCTTGGACATTATTTCTGATCTCCATATTTTGTTTTTGTAATAAATAACATTACTGATACTCAAAATTTAAATGCAAAAAGTAAAATGAAAACAATTGAAATGTGATAACATACCATATTTACTCTTTGGAGCAATTGCTTGGTCATTTTCCAAAGCAGGTCCAATTCCAGCCTCATTTTCAGCCATGACACGGAAATAGTAATCTTTCTTTTCTATCAGGTTGTCAACATCTGCAGACAGTGTATCTGGTGGAAGTCTGGCAACTCTAAGCCATCTTGGAAGTTGAGCTTCACTTTTTTCAACAATGTAAGCTGTTAAATTTGATCCACCATCTTTTTCTGGTGGTTGCCATGATAACTTAACATGATCTTCTGTTATATCTGATACTCCAAGTGGTCCTTTTGGTTTAGATGGTTTTGCTACAAAAGATGAAAATGGAAATGTGTTTTCATAAAGACTTCAGTAAAACAATTTGCTTTTTGGAAAAAAGGTGTTTCTCTTTATGTTCAATTTTTTCATTGATTTTTTTAATACTAGATTAATTGTAAATAGCATAATTTTTTTAGCATCTTTAACTGAAATACTTTACCCTTAAACATGGTACTTGTATGATAGAGGAACGTGGAGGCTTCTATAGCTCATAATTTAAGATACTCCAGCAAGCATCTAGATGTAGAACAACAATAAAAGCAAAGATCCTTTAATAATTGGTTAGTTCAAAGTATTGAATTATTGGATAACATGATTATTTCATGCACAGAAAACCCTGTATACTTTTTCTATAATTTTGTTACATTTCAACCTTGATTATTTTTTTATTACAGTTTTAAGCATATACTAATAATACTGACCAATGACTTTCTTTGGTTGTATAATAGCCTTTATTTCAGCAGGTTCTCCTACACCCACTGAGTTCTTTGCCTTGACTCTGAACATGTATTCATTATCTGTTAACAGATGTTTGGCTTTGTATATATGTACTGTACTTCCAACATCCTTGACCTTAGTAAAGTCGCCAAATTTGTCATCTTTCTGTTCAATGATGTAACCATTGACCATAGCACCACCGTCAGATTTTGGTTTCTTCCAGCGGATTGTGATGGAGTCTTTTTCAATAGCCATGGTTTCTAATTTCTCAGGTGGTGATGGACGTTCTATAAAATATGAAATAGGGTCATATTATTTATAACTGAGAGCAAAGTATGGATATTTAATACCATCTCATTCAACCTGTGTCATTTACAAAAGTTCTGACCATGGTAAAAAATATTATAAGTAATATGTTACTATGAGTCATATCATTCCTTTATTTTATCTGCTAAATTAAAAACGAAATTATTTTGAAAAAAAGACTACATACCCAGTGGTCTTTCTGGAACAGCTGGTTTGTCAATGACAGCAGGTTCACTCAATCCTTCAGCATTTTCTGCATAAACACGGAAGATATATCCTCGTCCCTCCAGTAGATTTTTGATAGTATGCCATGTGACATCAGGTTCTACCCTGGTTACTCTGATCCACTGAGATCTGCCTGGTTCCTTCCTTTCTATTGGATAACCAATGATTGGAGCGCCACCATTAGATTCAGGTGGAGACCATTCTAAGGTCACACTGTCTTCAGTGACCTCTGTTACCTCAAGGTCTTTTGGTACTGATGGTACATCTTAAAAGTGAAAACATAAGTAGTTACTACTTAAAACAAATTTATAGACTGAATGTGTATATGTATAATTTTAAATTTAACAACATAATTCATATATTGCATTTCTACCTAATATGAAGAAGAATTCAGACCTAAATTTATTTTGGATTTTTTTTTCATTTGTTTGGATCAAGTGTCAGTTTTCACTTTTTATATCAATCATATTGTAGTCAGTCTTATTGCTCAGGAAAACCAAAGTATGTGGGGAAAATCTCAGCACACTCACACTACTACACAAGTGGGTGATCTAGTTCACCTTACCATAATTACAAATGGCTAGAACTTACTCAGCTTGGGTTACTATGTTGCTTAATTGTACAAATAACTAGTAAAATCTGAATTAAAAGTTATCTAGCATTCTCCCTTACCTATATCACTCTTAGCAATTACTGGTTCTGGTAGTTCTATTGGTTCACTAGCTCCAAGTTTGTTTTCAGCGTAAACTCTAAAGTTATATTCCCGTCCTCGGGTGAGTCCAGTCACTGTGTAATCAGTGACATCTGGTGTCAGTCGTGTAGCTCTCGTCCAACCTCCTACTTTGTTGTCAAACTTTTCTATGATGTATCCTGTTAATGGACTACCACCATCATATTCAGGTGGTTGCCATGACAATGAAATTGAATCTTTCTTGATATCATAGGCTTTAAGAGGTCCTTTGGGAGCATCTGGTGTTTCTAAAATATAAATAAGCTATGTCTTATGGTTAACCATTGAATTTGAATAACAATATGAGGATGTTATTTTTTTTTTCAGATTTTGAAATAATATAATTTTTGTGTTTATGAAGACATGATCTTGTCATTTATTATATTTTATGTTTTTTTTTGTCATTTTAGGGACTTTTGTATTGATGGCAGATCTTCATTTATTCCTTACTCCTCTAAACTTAAAAGCTTAACATATTATATATAGACAATTGTCTTTTGCCCCCAAAGACCCTATGGTTTTTTGTGTCTTTGGGTTGCTATCTTATTGATTCAAACCCAACTCTTCCTTTTATTCATATAAAGCACTTATACAGCTTTTCTAATTTCAGCATATCTGATGTTCTACAAATGAAAATTCTATTCTTAAAACAAGAAAACAGTGAAACATATAAATGCAGCCTAACAATTTAATATAATTACAAACCTAAAGGTCTCATTGGTCTTATTGATTTGTCCAAGTTGGTAGGACGACCTTGACCAATGTCATTTACAGCACTGATACGGAACATGTAATCAACACCTTCTTCTAGATCTTGTATTGTTTTCTGACTGACTTTGGATGGTACATCAGCTACTACTGCCCATTTTCCAGTTCTTCCATCCTTGGCCTCTATGATGTATTTCTTGACAGGGGAGCCACCGTCATCATTGGGCGCACTCCAAGTCAAAGTGACAGAGTCTGGAGTAACATTACTAGCCTTGATTTTGCCTGGACTGCCTGGTTTCACTGAAAATAAAATATTATGTGTCATTTCATTTTGCAGGTTCAAATGTAAATAAATAAATGACTGTTAGGTGACCTTCAATCATTCATATGTTATAAAAAGGATTTTTTTTAGCCAAGTATTGATTCAAAGTCTCTTATTAAAGATCATGATTAATGGAGGAAATTAATTTGACACAATTATAAACCTTAATCCAACTAAAAAGGTCAGAACATGTCTTCTCAGTGATTTTATCATTCATAGACATGTATTCATATTGAGAACCACAAAAATAGAATTGAAAGTAATTTGTACTCAATTTTTCACGATTTTTACTCATAAAATTTTTATGCCTAGAGTTGCAGATCTATTTGAGAAGAATGGCAACCATTAGAGTAGAGCTCCTTTGATATTTACCAGTATAATTTTTTTTAAGTTTATACAACAAAAACTTTAACCCATATCTATTTTTCTACAATCCAAGGGAGATTATCATTACCTGGAGCTCTTCTTGGTGTTACAGGTTCTGTAGTCTCCAATGGCTGACTTCTTCCTTCATCGTTTTCCGCTACAACTCTGAACATGTAATCATTGCCCTCATTCAACTTATCAAGGGTCAATGTATGTATTGTTGGACGTACTGTGTCCACTTGGTACCAATTGTTTCTCTTCAAGTCACGTTGTTCTACCACATAACGTTTGATAGGTTTACCGCCGTCACTTTTTGGTTGTTTCCAACTGAGTTCAGCAGACCTGGCAGTGACATTAGATACTTTAAGTGGTCCTTCAGGCACATCTGGTGGATCTGCAAGAAAAAAAATTGTAAAATGAACATCTTGCTTTTTCATGGCTTACTAACATTACTGTTCACATCCCTTATTAGAAATCTGGTTGATAATTGTCTCATTGGCCCCATCTTCCTATTTTTGTATTGGTTTATCCTGAAACAATGGGAAACCACTTGCATTTTCAATCATAAACTGACCTTGGATCATTTTGACTTTTTCGGCTACAAAAACAGTTTACCCCTACTGCTTTCTTTATTTGAAGTAAATCTAAGAACTTGACGATTAATTGCTTTGTTTTGACATGATATTACCTTAGTGTTGAAAGTGATAACTTACTGAATGGATTCTTTGGAATCACTGGTTCTTGTCCTTCCAATGGTTCAGATAAACCAGCTTTGTTCTCTGATTTCACACGGACAAAGTATTCTGTCTTCTCTATTAAGTGTGTCATGGTGTATCTAGTTGTAGTAGATTTAATCTTTTCAAGGTAGCTCCAGGTGGTCTTGGTTTTCTCTCTCTTCTCCACAACATAGTGTGTGACAGGGGAACCACCATCATCTTCACTTGGTTTCCAAGATACTGTAACAGATGACCTTTGGATGTCCTTGAACTCTAATGGTCCAACAGGAGGTGAAGGTGGTTCTAAAAATAGTTTCATAAAATTTTTCATCATTATGAACACTAAAAATTCCTGATATCAAATTTCAACATGATACAGGATGGAAAAATGGATGGACAGGCACACAGACTGGAAAATTTAATAGCTCCCGATATAGTAGGCAGGGCATAAAAATGTGACTGAAAATTTCTACCATATCATCATACATACAACAGATCAACTCATTTATGCTAAAATTGGAATGCAAAACTTATTATTATTTAGAAGATTTCTGTCATTTTACAGTAAAAAGTCATCTGATGATAAACAAACTTACTGATTGGTTGTTTTGGTGAGTAAGTTTTGTCAGTCTCAGCCATATCACCTTTACCAACTTCATTTTCAGCAGCCACACCAATGTAATATTTATTCTTAGGTTCCAGCTTAAGAATGGTGAAGTAATTTTTGAATGTATCAACAGTTGCTACATTTATCCATTTGTTGTCTGTAGATTCTGATTTGATGTAAATTTGATATTTCTTAACTCTGGATCCACCATCTTTACTAGGTGGTCGCCATTCAATGGTGATTTCATTTTCATCAATTTTGGTGACTTTGAGGTCTTTGGGTGGACCAGGACGATCTATAAAACAGTTTTGACAGATCAATATTCTAATGTATCTGAAATCTTGTTTCTATTTACTTTTATAATAAATTTGCTTTAATAAAGACCGTTAAATGTTTTTCTTGTTTCATTAGAATATTGCACATAATTGTCAAGAACTTGATTTAAGATTACTCATCAATATATGTATTATAAATAATAAATTTCAGTTAATTTTAATACACTAAAAGTTTCACATATTACAACATGTAATGATTCTTACCAAGTTTCTGTTTTGGAGTAACTGTGTCATCTCCATTTAATGGTGGACTTTCTCCCTCAGCATTGATTGCCTTGATTCTAAAGATATATTCATTATCCACCACTAATTTTTTGGCAGTGAATTTGGTAGTTGTTGCATCTACAGTTCCATGCTTTCCCCACATTGAACGTCTGGATTCTCTGATCTCTATGGTGTAGTTAGTTATCGGAGTTCCTCCATCAGATTTTGAAGGTTTCCATGTCAATTCTACAGAATTTTCTGTTAGGTTGGAGAACTTCAAAGGTCCTTCAGGAGCTAATGGCTTATCTGTTGTTTAAATTAGTTCATTGTTTAAGATTTTCAGGCATGCAAGATTTGGAGGGATTTCATGCCACACTTATCCTTCATCGAAGACTGTAACTTGATATATATCAAATGCATATTTTCTGTGATTTTTTCTTGTTGTTGGGTTTGTTTTCATTCATATTTATAACTGATTTATGTATGCAAAGAAAAATTATTCAAACTGAATAAACCTTAAAAGCTAAAAAAAAGAAGTATTTTTTTAATTCATTGTTTATATATTGTGTTCCCATATTTATTTCAGTTAACAAAAGTAAATCCTAAAAAAACAAAATGAAGTGTTTATCATACAAAAGTCGTTATCTGAAAGTTGCTGTATATAAAATTTGCTTCTTACCAAATGGACTCTTCATCAAAATTGGTTTAGGCATTTCTAGAGCATCACTTTGTCCATGTTTGTTAATAGCAAACACTCGGAAGAAAAATTCTTTTCCTTCATCCAGATTTTTCACAAGAAGTTTCAAAGTGCTGCCATCTGTTTTTTCAACTCTAGACCACATAGATCTCTGAACATCTCTCTTCTCAATAAGATATTCTGTGATTGGTGAACCACCATCTTCTTGTGGGGGTTGCCATGACAACTCCACAGAGTCACGTGACAATATTTTTCCAATCAAAGGATGTGTTGGTGGGCCAGGAGGACCTGAAACAAATTTAAAACTTATGAGGTCTAAAAAGGAAAAAAAATATAAAAAGAATTTAACAAGAAAATAGCAGAATGGTCCTTCCCTAATGAAGTTGATCAAGACGGTCGTAACTAATTGCATGATAATTAAAAAAAAAATATTTTTATTGGTAAATATTTCAAAAGATAAAGGATTATTTCATCTTTTCTGCTTGATTATGGAAATTTTTATGGAAACATGTTTGATATAAATGGAAATTTAGATCTGTTACAGAAACTTCATGATATATTAAAGATTTATCAAAAGTCATATATACTGAGAAAACTTTTGCAGTTCCTTGATTTGAAGAGGCAGGTAACAGGTTAAAGTTTTGTCAAGAAAAATCTTAAATATCTATGTCTGATCATAATTTATAACATGAATACCAAAGAAAAAAAGAAAGCTACCAACCTTTTGGTTTAGTTGGAGTTACTTCCCCTGATTCAAGTGGTTTACTATCTCCAACCTTGTTTATGGCTATAACTCTGAATCTATAAGTTTGTTCAGCTGTCAAATTACTGACTTTTGTCTTAGTAGTTTGACCATCACATATAGTGACCTCTGTCCAGATCTTGCTGTCAATGGTCAGTTCAAGTCTGTATCCAGTGATTGGAGCTCCTCCATTGTTTCTTGGTGGTGACCACTCTAATGTGACACCAGTTTCAACAATGTGAGTGAATTTGATTGGTCCAACTGGCATATCTGGCACAACTGTTTCAAAAAAGAGCCAAATGATAACCATTTAATATATAATCATGCTAACAATTACAAGATGTGTAGGATGTCAACATTAAATCTAACAAAAATTCATAACTACATATCTTAAAATCTAAAAGAATTTCCATAATATTTAAAAGACTTTACAGATAACTCTATTCATATACTAGTAACTATAAATCTGCCAATCTCACTACTTTCCAAGATGGTGTAACAGGCACATGCTCCGCTTTATATATCACTGTCACAGGTCTCTTATTTTGACCCCTTTATAGTGAGTATAATATTTTATACCCTGCTGGACTATACAGAAATATGTATTATAAAAACTCTGAGAAGCTGAAGGGTAATGAATACATATTCATTATTTACTGCCTTTATTATTCTTACTCTGATTTATACAATGCATTTTCACAGAATCATTTTTTCCCCTGCCAAATATTTAATTTCCATAAAATTTAAAAAGAATTGTATTTTATTCAAAATAATTAAACTGACAACTTACTTGGTTGTTTTTTAAGTTGTATAACTTGTGAAAGTTCAACAGGTTTGCTGGAGCCCTCGTCATTTTCTGCTGACAATCTGAAATAGTAGTCCACACCCTCACGTAGTCCTTCAACAGTAAACTCTGTTGTTTGGGCCTTGATTTTTCTCTCTTTGACCCATGGTCCAAATTTCTTTTCCTTCCTCTCAAGGAAGTAGATCTTGATTGGTAATCCACCATCTGATTCAGGTGCTTTCCATGTCAAAGTAACTGTTGTTGCTGTAGAATCTTTGACACTGAAATCTCTTGGTGCTGATGGTACAGCTAGAAATACAAAATGTCACAATTTATATTTATTTTTCAATGTTCTGCCAGTTGTTTATTTTCCACATATGATTTGTTCGAAAAATCTTATATTTAATTCTTGACTTTAGAATTGTTATCTAAAAGTTTGTAAGAAGGTATTATCTAATTTTCTCTGTTCACACAAACTTTGGAAACTTAAAATTACAAAATTAAAGCAACAACCACTCCCAATTCCATGCCACTCACTGTCTATTATGTAAATGGAAAATCAAATGATACAGTAAATTCATTTTACGGTTTACAGGTAAAAATGGGAGATTAATGCAATTGCAAAAATTTTGTGAAGGATATTCGCAACTGAAATTATAAATAAAAGTTTTTATTATTGCAAACCTGATACTGTAGCTTTTTTGCATTAAAAAAAATATTGCAATAATTTCTGAATTTACAGTATATGAATGAAATTAGAGTGTATGTGTTTCAGTATCAAGAGAACAGGTGTATGTGTTTCAGTATCAAGAGAACAGGTGTATGTGTTTCAGTATCAAGAGAACAGGTGTATGTGTTTCAGTATCAAGAGAACAGGTGTATGTGTTTCAGTATCGAGAGAACAGGTGTATGTGTTTCAGTATCAAGAGAACAGGTGTATGTGTTTCAGTATCAAGAGTACAGGTGTATGTGTTTCAGTATCAAGAGAACAGGTGTATTTGTTTCAGTGTTTCATTATCAAGAGAACAGGTGTATGATAAAAATTATTACGAACCAATTAATCAAAGATTTAAAATAAGACCCAGATAAAATAAGGAGGAAATACAAAAAAACTCCACTTACAGTATGGACTCTTGGCAGTGAAGGAGGTCTCAGCATCTAAAGGTTTAGATGGTCCAACTTCATTGACGGCCTTGACCTGTACAAAGTAATCCTGTCCCTCTTTAAGTCCAGTCAATTCAAAGTTTGTTACATTAGGTTTAGTTTTTCCTGCCTCAGTGTAGGTGGATTTTAATCCCTCACGTTTTTCTATGATGTAGCCAGTAATCGGGGAGCCACCATCTTTCTCACTGGGTTGCCATGATAACTTGGCTTTTGTTTTGTCAATGTCTGATATTTCTAGTGGACCAACTGGTAGTGATGGTGCCTCTGTAATGTTCACAATATCATCATGTAATGACATGCTATAATTCCTTACAAAAAACTTATGTCAAAATTCAATTCAATTTTTTGCTCGAAATTTGACTGACTATAAAATGTTTAAGGTCTAAGATTCAAGTCATGTTTTTATACTTAAATGTCATGTACAATTTCAATAAGAATTATTGTGTTAATATAATGAACTTTAATTGGTTTTGATTACTGTTTGTGATTTCTATATTTAATCACTTTTTTTCTTGTTACTGAATAGATAAAATTTGAAAATGATGATGTTGTTTTGACAATATATCCCTTATCTATTTCTCTCAGCCATTTGAGCTTACCTAATGGTTTCTGTATTTTGACAGAAGTGTCAGTATCACATCTCTCACTCACTCCTACGTCATTCTCAGCTGTGACACCAAAAACATAGGTCACTTCATATTCAAGGTCAGTGATTACATGGTTGGTCTTGTACTGTTCAAGTTTTGTGACCTTGACCCACTCTTCAGTCATCTCTACTCTCTTCCAGACTTGGTAACGACGGATCTTAGAGCCGCCATCACTAACAGGAGGAGACCACTCAAGGTGGGCAGTATTCTTGCTGACTTTTGTGACCTTGACATTTTGTGGTGGTGAGGGTGGACCTGTATACATAAAGTGTGCATTATTACCAACACTTATGTCTTGCCTTTTTTGAACAAATAATGTCAGAAAGAAAGCACAAGCAAAATATGTGAATTTATCGAGAAAAAAAACTTAGTTCTTATTGAATTATCCTGTAGATAATAGTAAAATAACAAATAAATATCAAATAGAAAAACACTATTTCTAGATTTTGAAGAATGAACTCATGTAGATAGTGTAATGTTCATATGCAAAAACTACCAATATATTTTATAAATTACCAATAATTTTGATAAATAACTCAACAAAGATTCAGTACAAATGTAATAATTTCAATCATAAAAAGACTTACTGAGTTTCTTTGTAGGTTTAGCAGTTTTATCTGAGGTCAATGGTGGACTTTGACCTTCTGCATTTACAGCAGACACTTGGAACATATATTCATTGTTTAGCAGAAGTTTTCCAACAGTATACGTTGTGACCTCTGGTTTGACTTCACCAGCCTTTGTCCAGTGTGCTCTACGAGTGTCTCTGACCTCTATGATGTATTTTGTTAGAGGGGATCCACCATCACTCTTTGGTGGTTTCCATGACAATGATGCAGAATCCAGAGTGACATTGGAGATTTCAAGTGGTCCCACAGGTGCTGATGGTTTTTCTAAAATTTATGATAAATGTTTCAATAGTAACCAAATCTATTAGATTCTTATGCAGAGGTGTTTTTTCCTATTGTTTACAAAATGTATTCATAATTTCATATATTGTGTATAAATAATATACTTTCTTCTGTTTTTAGAAAAAAATATTCATTTTTTACACAATGTTAATGTAAAAAAGTGTACTGAGAATGTGTGTTTTAGCATGTCAGATTCTTGATTTAAGTTATGTGTATAACTTGTTGTTTTATATGCATCAATCTACCTATCTACTTTTCTACTGGCCAACAAATAAAATCTTACCATAAGGACTCTTGATTGTGATTGGTTGGTCCATTTCCAATGGTTCACTGATACCCACTTTGTTCTCAGCAAACACTCTGAAGAAATAGTCCACATTTTCTGACAATTTCTGAAGACAGTAACTTGTAATGTTTGGTTCAATTGTAGTAACTTTCTTCCAAGTGGCACGTTTGGCCTCTCTCATCTCAATGATGTAATGTTTCAGAGGAGAACCGCCATCAGTTTCTGGTGCTTGCCATTCAATGGTGGCTGAGTCTCGCTTGATATCAAGTACTTTGATAGGTCCAACTGGTTTAGATGGTTTACCTATAATTTATATAAAATGAAATAATGAAACATTACATTTTTGTATAGGGCTGCACTTTGTTTTGTTCACACATTGTTGTCAATATAATGGTATTTTATGTGACTGTCATACAACAGAGAGGTTTAGCTATCTTTAAAACCAGGTTTAATCCACCATTTTCTACATAATAAAATGCCTGTACCAAGTCAGGAATATGACAGTTGTTTTCCATGCGTTTGATGTGTTTGAGCTTTTGATTTTTCCGTGGAGTTCAGTATTTTTGTTGTTTTACTTTTTTAAGATTAACTATGTCAATGTCATTATTTCAGGTTAAAAAATTCTTTATGTTAATGTTGACCACCATTCAAAAATGAAAACAATGTGATTCAACCAAAAAGGAGCATCATGAATATCATAAACAGTTGGTACATGTAACAAAATTATAAGGTTATCAACAGAAATGTTTGAAAATATTGTCTCACTGCCGTTTAGTATAAGAGAGCAAATTGTTAATTATAGACAATAAGGATAATTTATATCTAATAAAATGATTTGAAGCACCAACCTGCTTGTTTCTTTGGAGTTACAGATTCAGATTCCAGAGGTTTACTCTCTCCAACTTTGTTGACAGCAATGATACGGAACACATAACTGTGTCCTTCCTCAAGTTTTGTGGCTGTGTATTCTTTGACATGTTTATCCACTTTGGTAACTTCTGACCAATCAGAGTCATCCATAGATAACAAGATTCTGTAAGCTGTAACAGGACTGCCTCCATCTTCTCTTGGTGGTGACCAATTGAATGTAGCAGAATCAGCTGTTACCACGGTGAAGTGGACTGGTCCTACCGGTGCAGAGGGTGGACCTAAATGCACATTTCAAATGGTTACAATAATCCATATAAATATATTGTTTCTTTTTTGATTTGAGCTCATATTTATTGACTTAAAACTAATTAATTTGATAATCTTCAAACAATTACACTTTCATTATATGCATTCCTTGTAAATGATCTTAAATTTTTTAGCTTCAATGTATTGTATAAAACAATATAACAAATCTCCATGGTGAGCGTTAATAAAAATAAATTAAGTAAATATTAAAATCAACTTTGTTAACAATTGAATGCTTTAAAAAGAAAATATCACACAAAAGTTAAAAGCAAACAAAAGCCAAACACCTGCATCATGGCAAATCAAAACAGCTTCAGCTGATTGTAACGGTTCACTCAAACCCTTCTTGTTTTCAGCAAACACTCGGAAATAATACTCATTTCCTTCAGCCAGCTTTTGTACACAGTAGGTCCTAATTTTAGGCTTTATTTGATCTACTTTAACCCAGGATGTCTTTTTGACATCTCGTCTTTCTATGATGTAAGCAGTTAGTTCAAGACCTCCATTACTCTTAGGTGGTCGCCATGAGATCACAACGCTCTTATGTGTGACATCACTGATAACAAGTGGTCCTTCAGGAGCAGATGGCACAGCTAAATGGCAAGCAGCAAAAATAGCAACAATGTTAGCAGAATTAAACAACACACTCAAAATATAGCAACAAGAATGATACATTCAAATGTTTTATAAAAACTAACATACAGATTTAAGGATTGAAATTTAACTATTTTTCACCAAATTTAAAATTCTTTAATAAAGAATTGGAATTAAAAGGAAATAAAAATATAAAACCCACAAACTGAAATATCTTTTATGCTTGTGCTAATAGTTTTGGTATAATCAACAGTCAAAATTAATTTTTTTTCAATTGCCTGAAATTTTAAGGCAATCAAATGTAAAGAATCCCATTTTAGCAGAGAAACATACCATAATTTCAGATAAGATATGTTAGTTTTTATTGCATTATGTCATTTAAATGAACTTTTATAGAAGAAAACTTTTGTACTGCTGGTATCAAACAAATCAATCATTACATAATCAAACTGAAGATTTCTTGTTTAATACTACATCAAACTCACACAGTTCAGTAAAAAGGTTACAGTATAAAACACACTTCAACAAATAAACATTAGCTAGTTACTACAACAGTTTGTCAAATCAACTTCTCTTTTCTATGTAATTCTTGTAGCTGATAGGCTTATTTTTGTTGCCATTACCGCTAGCACAATTTTTTTATTATTCATTATTCATTTCACCATTAACACAATCTCTTCACACAGCAAGGCATCACATAACTCAACAGAACAATATCTTACCTTCTGGGGTCTTTGGTGTAATGGCTTTTGGTGTTTCAAGGTAGTCAGATTTTCCGACAACATTTTCAGCACAGACCCTAAAGTAATATTCCTGTTTTTCCTTCAATTTATCCACAGTAAAGGTACAAGTGTCATCTTCACATTTTCCTACTGGGATCCATTTTGCTCTTCTACCATCACGGCTCTCTATGTTATAGGCAGTGATTGGTGATCCACCATCTTTGGGGCTTGGTTTCCATGACAATGTTACTTTGTCCTTTGAAATGTCACTAGCCTCTAGTGGGCCTTTCGGTGCTGCTGGTTTTTCTACAAAATAAAAAGCAGTTTACAGAAACAGTTTAATAGCTGGAAGTTGTTAATTTAAGCAAAATATAGATTAAAGAAAAGCATCATATATAAGTTCTATCAGATATTATCGCAATCAGTTATATAACACTTAAATCAAAGGTGGTACGGTATTTTCAAACTCGCAATACAAGATCTTGTTGTCATAGCTTCAACAGAGAAATGACCTCTTTGCATTTCTATTAAATAATTAAAAGACATATATGATGAAAACCATCACTGGGCATGTACTGATGTATTTCTCATTAAAAGCTGTGCTGATCATATAGAAAAAAATGCAGATAAATCTGGACCAATGAATAGCATGACATTTTGAATTTATAGCTAGGAATATTTGACAATGAATGTACATATACAAATGATTCATTAGTGACTGAACCAACTTTATATAAATATAGCAATACATGAGATAAATTGTATCTAATTAACATTTTTAAAAATGAAATCTATGCATATTGACAGGTAAGTATATACTCTATATTGAGGTATTTTTTTATTAGCACACAACCTTATTCAAACCGTCTGAAAAAGCTAGAAATTAATAAAAGAATGTATAGGCAAGATCTACTGAAATAAGATTACTGTTACTTCATATTCTATTCTTCTGTTAGAGAAACTATTTGCATATATATTCATCACTAAAACAAAGAAGAGATTCCCAATAAAAACATAAATGTTCTAAATGCATTTACTTGACAGATAACATGTCAAAGGATTTATGATTTTAAGAACCATTATTTTTTGGGCATGACAAACATTTCATTCAAGACAGCGTAGTTCTATCTAATTATCTACAGATAGGAGTTCTATCTAATTATCTACAGATAGGAGCATCAAACAATTTTCAACATATTTAATTTTAATACTTGCTGCAGCTTTAAGACTAGCTTGTATATATTTTTTTCTTTAAAGCTACATTTCTATAAATATTTTATGCTTTAAAGCAACAGATCTAAAAAATAATCTATTCCTTAAAGCTATAATCTATCTAAACTTAATCTATACTAGTTCATACCTTTATCTGGAACTTGAGTTTCTTCTAAAAATATTGAATAATCTTTAAATTCTAGTACAACAATAGATACGGAGTGCTCCAGAGATTTTGTACCTCAACCAACAGGTTCTCTCTTCCTATTTAGGTTTTTGACATGGTGAAATAGTATTTTACTAGTATAGGTTTTTTTTTTAATAAATCCAAATTTCACAAAGAATTTAAACATAAATTATCTGTATTGTGATGAATCACAGAGAAAAGATTTGAAATTAATTTTCAGAATCTGAAAACAAATTCCCATTGGTGGCCTTCGGCTGTTGTCTGCTGTTTGGTCGGGTTGTTGTCTCTTTGACATATTCCCCATTTCCATTCTCAATTTTATCATAGTAAAAAAACAAAAAATTATATATTGCTTAAATATCAATTTAAAAAAAAACCTACGTTTTGGTTTAGATGGTCTAATGGATTCATCTGTTTCAACTTGTTTTCCAATTCCTGCCTCATTTTCAGCTGCCACAGCAAAGTAGTAATCTACACCTTCCTCAAGATTTTTAACAGTGTAGTGCTCTTCATAATTTTTTACTTTAGCCACATCTGTCCAGTTCTCTGGTTGACCTTTGGCCAGTCTGATGTGATAGTTGGTAATCTTGGAGTTTCCATCTGATTTAGGTTTACCCCATTCTAGGTCGGCAAAATTAACTCCAGATTTTTTTATTTTCAAGGCAGTTGGTGCTCCTGGTTTGCCTAAAATAATATATGTAAAAATTAGTCAAAAATGTTGGTAAAATGTTTGAATGTAACCTTTTGACATTTAATGAGGGGGGCTAGGGGGGTTCCAATAACAGCAAAACAGCAAATTGATTTTGCTTATAACTGATAACAAGGAATTGAAAAGGGATAAAAACAGATAACAGTAAATGAATAATTAAAATCAGTCGGGTCCAGGACAAATCCAGTATATATCTTATTGTAATCCTTTGTAATGAATTCCATTTTCTATGAACATGTTTTTAGAGTTATATATCTAGAATTGGTTTACTCAATGTATGATAATATTTTTTTGTTATGGAATACTTTTTTCAGCATTTATTTTTGTACTTTTAAAGAAGCCCACACATGCTTGTAATTTAAATAGTGAGTGTATTCTTAGAATAGAATCACAGAGCTGAGTCTGTGTTCCTTATTATATAAAAGGTGTTTAGGTTAACTGGTCGTATGGATCTAGGACTTTGCCATCCTCATCAGGTATCCCTGGCCATATGTTTTCCTTTTTGTCAAAGCGAGACAGTGATCACACATTCCGTCAGTGATGTCGTCGTCAGGGGCATCCACAAATATTCACTCTGTGGTTAATGTTTTTAAAAGTTGAATAACTTTCTTAAAATATCCTGGATTTCTACCAAACTTGGACAGAAGCTTGTTTGTGATCATAAAATAGTATCCAGAAGTAAATTTTTTTATCCCTTTACGTAAAAATCAAGACAATTCTAAATACATGTTCATAGAAAAAGGAATTTATTACAAAGGATAATAATAATATATACTGTAATGGTCCTGGACCCAACTAATATTAAAATGTTTATGTGATGATCTGTGATTAAATATAAGAATATGTGGTATGAGTGTCAATGAGACAACTCTCCATCCAAGTCACAATTTGTAAAAGTAAACCATTAATATAGGTCAAAGTACGGTCTTCAACACGGAGCCTTGGCTCACACCGAACAGCAAGCCATAAAGGGCCCTAAAAATGACTAGTCTACTGTAAACCCATTCAAATGTCTATATGTTAATTGAATCCTTCTCCGAATACGGGACCACCAGGTTACTAGTGGAAAGATCCCAATTCAATTTCTACTGAAGATTGGCTGTCAAAATGCTAACATTTCAATTTTCAATAACAGTTAACAGCAAATACATTCTCACAATAACAGATAACAAAAAAACTAATAGTCCAATAACAGCTAACAAGGAATAAGACAATAACAGCTAACAGCAAATATATTTTCAGAATAACAGATAACAAAGAATTAAATTGCCCCAAAACAGCATAACAGTTAAACCCCTTCCCTCCCCCCCCCCTCATTTAAGTGTTGTTGCCAAGCAAAACAAGTTTTAAACTTATTGACTTCAATTTTTGTCAACTTAAAATTATGAACAAATTGTTTGAACAATGTGTTAATAGCTGAAAGGCAAAATTCATTTAAAATATCCCCCACAAGTAAGAACTAGAAAATATACAAGTATAAATCAAATAGCAAATAAAGCAAAAATTCTGTAAATACATTAATTACATCTGTTTTTCTACATGCAATTAGACACTGTTTTTTTTTTTTCATACAGAACAGAAAAAAGGGGAACACATTTTCAATGCATGTAGAATTTTTCTCTCTAACAAGTTCAATCAAATACACATACTTATTTCTTTCACTGGTTTAACTTTGTCTTTGGTCTGTAATGGTGGACTTTGACCTTCTTTGTTTATGGCGATGATTTGGTAGACATATTCATTTCCCAGGACCATATCACTGACAGTAAATTCTGTGGATGTTGGTGAAACTTCTCCCACTTTTTTAAATGTTGATCGTCTTGTATCACGACCTTCTATGATGTAAGCTGTAAGTGGTGATCCTCCGTCACTTTTAGGTGGTTTCCATGACAATACAGCAGATTTTTCAGTAATGTCAGTGACCTCTATTGGACCTTCAGGTGCTGATGGTTTGTCTTAAATAAAAAAGAATCATTTATTGATACCAGTTAAGATTTAAACTGCTGTAAATGATAGTTCACAAATTAAAATAGTGTTGTATCTTGGGAAGGCTATTGTTTTGAATGTTTTTGATGGATAAAGTGTAGATTGCTTAACAAGGACACTGAAAAATATAATTTACAAGGACAGAAGTTACATTTTTTAATGAATCCATTTCTATCACTAATTTAACAAAACATATTTGTTCTTTTATTTAAACAAATCCATGTTCTTTCATCATTCTAATAATTTTATTGGAAAATACTAAATGAATTCTAAAGTAAGTACCTTACAATATGTTTAAGTTAGAACAATTGTTATGTTGTATTGTTTGTTAAAACAATTATTTGCAAATACATTACTTAAATAATAAATTAACATACCAATGCCACATCTGAAGCTAATATGATTTATTAACAAATCCATGCCACATTTGAGGTTTATCTTTTAAGTTAAATTCCCTGTTTTTTATATACAGATGCAGTTGTCATAATCATCTAAAATAATTATTATAAAATTTACCATAAGGACTCTTGGCTTTGTGAGGTTTGTCAGATTCCAGTGGTTTACTCTGACCCACTTTGTTCTCAGCTGTGACTCTGTAGATATATTCCTTTCCTTCCTGGAGTTTGTCAGCAACGCAAGATGTCACATCTCCACTGACACGTTTCACTGGGGACCATAAGTTTCTGGAGGGTTCACGTTTTTCAATGATGTAACCTGTGATTGGTGAACCTCCATCTGATTTTGGTGGTTGCCATGACAATGTCATGGAATCTTTCAGAATGTCCTTGACTTCTAGTGGACCTTCAGGTTTTTCTGGTTTTTCAGGTCTTTCTGAAGTTGGTGCTGCTTTTTCTATTTTAAAAGAATCTGAGGTCAGAGGTTTACTTGGTCCAACTTTGTTAACAGCATAAACTCTGAAACTATACTGTTTACCATCTTCTAATTCTTTGACAGTGAAGGTGTTGCTAAATTTATCTACTTTTCCAACTGGGATCCAGTCCTCACCATTTGTTGAAGATTCAATGACAAACTCAAGAACTGATGCTCCACCATCACTGTCAGGTGACTTCCATGATAGGTCACATGATTTTGGTTTGATGTTGGAGACTTTGAGTGGTCCTCTTGGTGATTCTGGGACAGCTGTAAAAATAACCAAAACATTTACCATGCATTTCATCATGCCCATCTATAATCAAAGACTTTCCATTATTCAATTCAGAACAGGAATTTGGATGTGTGCACCAAAATCTAGTTTCTAAAGTCAATGTTATAAAAACCACTGACCAAGTCTTAAAATTACACAAAGCTAAACAATATGTGAAAATCATTGAGATTGGATCACTGAAATTACTGACTGCTATAATTGTCTTTTCCCTTATTGTTTTAAGCATGAATAAGGCTATTGGATTTCTCTCTTGAATTGTTTCACATTTTGTCATTCTGGGGTCTTCTGTTGCTGCCATATGGTATGGGCTTTGTTCAATATGAAATCTGTACAGTGAATTGGGTAGAGTTGTTTACATCCAATTCCATTGGTCATATTTTTATAATCTTTCATGATGTATAACCTTTAATATTTTGTCTTTGAAAACCTATGTATATTTAGAACATGTGTATTATGTTATTTGTCAATTTAATTGAAAATACATACAGATCTTTTTGGTTGGTTTAACTTTGTCTTTGGTCTGTAATGGTGGACTTTGACCTTCTTTGTTTACAGCGATGATTTGGTAGACATATTCATTTCCCAGAGCCAAATCTCTGACAGTAAATTCTGTGGATGTTGGTGAAACTTCTCCCACTTTTTTAAATGTTGAACGTCTGGTTTCACGTCCTTCTATGATGTAGGCTGTAAGTGGTGATCCACCATCACTCTTTGGTGGTTTCCATGACAATACAGCAGATTTCTCTGTTACATCAGTGACCTCTATTGGACCTTCAGGTGCTGATGGCTTATCTGAAAACATAAATGTATCAATCATAACTGTTATCCTATGGTCCAAAAAGATAAGGAAACCTTACTTTCAACAAAGGAAATTTTCTTTTTATATACTTTTATAGTAAGTTTACTGTTTAGTATATTTCTCTGCAAGTATGATACATGTAGCAATACTTACCATAAGAACTCTTGGCTTTGTGAGGTTTGTCAGATTCCAGTGGTTTACTCTGACCCACTTTGTTCTCTGCTGTGACTCTGTAGATATATTCCTTTCCTTCCTGGAGTTTGTCAGCAATGCAAGATGTCACATCTCCACTTACACGTTTCACTGGGGACCATAAGTTTCTAGAGGGTTCACGTTTTTCAATGATGTAACCTGTGATTGGTGAATTTCCATCTGATGTTGGTGGTTGCCATGACAATGTCATGGAATCCTTATGAATGTCCTTGACTTCTAGTGGTCCTTCAGGTTTTTCAGGAACTGATGGTGCTTTTTCTATTTTAACAGAATCTGAAGTCAGAGGTTTACTTGGTCCAACTTTGTTAACAGCACAAACTCTGAAGCTATACTGTTTACCATCTTCTAATTCTTTGACTTTGAAGGTGTTGCTAAATTTATCTACTTTTCCAACTGGGATCCAGTCCTCACCATTTGTTGAAGATTCAATGACAAACTCAACAACTGGTGCTCCACCATCGTTGTCAGGTGATTTCCATGTTAGGTCACATGATTTTGGTGTGATGTTTGATAATTTTAGTGGTCCTCTTGGTGAATCTGGTACAGCTGTTAAAATAAGATTTGTTTTATATAATAAACTTTTTTTTATAAACCTAAAACACTCAGATGCACACATGCAATTTATTTAACAAAAAAACAAGGATTTTTAATGTAAGCATATTCCAGATGAGAATAGAAAATCAAGGTACTGCGTAATTCTACTGACAACACGAACCATTTCAATTATCAAGATCTGATTAGTATGATTTTTTCTTATAATTTGTTTTCTCAATAAGACTGTTGAGTAAGAGAAATTTTTTTAAACACCTGTCTTTTAATGAAACAGTATGTTGACCTATAGATGTGTTTTGATATTGTGTCATAGGGTAGCTGTTGCAATGAAATATATGCCACATCTTTTTAATAATTTCAAGAAAATATTTATTTTATATAGTTCAACAGTAAAGCCTAATCGAACAAATTCAGGCATAAAAATAAGTACCATTTAAAAAAATGTACTTATATTTACCTGCTTGTTTTGTGGGTTTTATGGATTCCCTTGTTTCAAGTGCTGGACTGATTCCCTCCTTGTTCTCCGCCAGAACACGGTATGTGTATGTGTTTCCTTCAAACATGTTGTTAGCTTTGTAGGTTGTTGTCTCTGGTGATACTTTGTCAACTTTGACCCAATTAGAACGTTTGTTGTCTTTCCTTTCAATAATGTAACCAGAAAGAGGCAAGCCTCCATCTGACTTTGGTGGTTTCCATGACAACACGGCAGATTTTTCTGTTAAATCTGACACATCTAAAGGACCTTCAGGTGCACTTGGTTTGTCTGAAACAAAAAAAAACTCTTTATATACCAACAAATAACTTATTTATTTTAAATGAAAATATGATAAGATTTGCATAAGAATTAGGAAAAATTTTGCATTTTAATCATTGATGAACAGTCATGAAGTTGTACAAAGTATTATTTTTCAATGCGTGAAATTTACGTCTTTGGTTTTGAAATAATTGAATAATATCTACTTTCAAAGGTTGCGCAAAATGTTTTGAATCAGACTGATATTTACAATACTTTTTCCTAAATTTCCAATACAGTTTCTACTCATCATAAAAAATGAATAACAGAATTTATTGAATATGTTTTTAATGAAATGTGGCTTATGAGAAAATCATTTCACATTTACATATCACTGTAGATTGTGTTTATCCTTGAATGATTAAAAGCTTGAAGTTGTGTACTTCCTAATATTAATAATATTGTCTGACATTTGTTCTTTTCCATAGGCTTAATAAAAAAAACCAGATCTGGACAGGCAAATATAGAAATGTCAATTTTAACTGTATGATAACTATCTTATCCAAATTTTCATGTTCCAAGCACATGTGGCACATAGCATGATTTTTTTTTAATTTGCAGTATACAAAAAATGTTTTCTACAATTTCTAAATAAAATTGATGGATAGTAAGCCGCACAAATCCACTTAAACTTACCAAATTTACTCTTTGGTGTGATGGCTTTTGGTGTTTCAAGGTAGTCAGATTTTCCGACAACATTTTCAGCACAGATCCTAAAGTAATATTCCTGTTTTTCCTTCAATTTATCAACAGTAAAGGTACAAGTGTCAGGTTCAGTTTTTCCTGCTGGCATCCATTTTGCTTTCCAACTGTCACGGCTTTCTATGTTATAGGCAGTGATTGGTGATCCACCATCTTTGGGGCTTGGTTTCCATGACAATGTTACTTTGTCCTTTGAAATGTCAGTAGCTTCCAATGGAGCTCCTGGTACATCTGGCTTTTCTAAAAAGTCAGCAATGTAACAATATTAATAATAGTTCATTAAAACACATCTATCTTATTTGCTTAGAGATATTAATTGCTTTAGGCAATAATGATGTGTTCTCAGTCTTGTTATGTCTGAAATTGTTGAATCTTCTATGTGTTTAGTTCCACTGGGTAAACTAATTATCTGTTTAAGTATTTCAATATTAAACAAAAAGATTAATACTAAGGTATCTTTATCATGCATAAGGTTTCAATCATCATCAACATTACAAATATAGAACAGTACATAATAAAAGTGAAGTTAATTTGATAAATGGCCAATGACTTGTATTTTACATGATAGATTCAGTTACAATTTTCCAAAAACCTTTGAATTAAGAATCATAATTAACTCTAAAACAAATATATACCTTTAGGTTTACTTGGTTTTACTGATTGGTCAGTTTCAACTTGTTTTCCAATTCCTGCCTCATTTTCAGCTGCCAAAGCAAAGTAGTAATCTACACCTTCCTCAAGATCTTTAACAGTAAAGTGTTCATCGTAACTATTGACTTTAGCCACATCTGTCCAGTTGTCTGGTTGACCTTTGGCCAGTCTTATGTGATAGGCAGTAATCTTGGTGTTTCCATCTGATTTAGGTTTACCCCATTCAAGATCTGCAAAGTCCTTTCCAGTTTTAGTGACTTTGACGAAGCTGGGTGCTCCTGGGGTTGCTGTGTAGTATAAATTATGAACCTTAGTTTTTATTTCTGTTTTTGTATATATAAAATGACCCATGAGTATAGTAAGTAATTAAGTTGTGTTATTATATATATTTTGGAATAGAAATAAGGGATTTTTAATTTTTTTTTTTTTAATTTTCAAATAATTTAAATCACTCTGATTTTTTCTCAGAAGAGCTTTTCTATAAAAAAATATCAGTTACTAAAACTTTGAATTTTCCTCATATTTTTGGGTATCATTTTCACAGTACAAGATTAAATAAATAAAATAAGATCAAATTAACGTACTTATTTCCTTGGTTGGTTTAACGTTGTGTTTGGTCTGTAGTGGTGGACTTTGTCCTTCTTTGTTTACAGCAATGACTTGGTAGATATATTCATTTCCCAGTGCCAAATCTCTGACAGTAAATTCTGTGGATGCTGGTGAAACTTCTCCCACTTTTTTGAATGTTGAACGTCTGGTTTCTCGACCTTCTATGATGTAGGCTGTTAGCTGTGACCCACCATCACTCTTTGGTGGTTTCCATGACAACACAGCAGATTTCTCTGTTACATCAGTGACCTCTATTGGACCTTCAGGTGCTGATGGTTTGTCTGAAAAAAAGATTGAAAATGATTACTGAATAGGCACCTTTAATTCCTATGTTTTTTCTCTTCAAACCAATGTTGTAATTTGTATAAATGTTATAACCACTTCAAAAAGCATATGTTTATTCATTTATCTCATGTTTTGTAAATTTGAGTTATGAGTTCAACTAAACGGACTGTCTTATCAAGTTTCCATTTGAGTAAGCTACTAGACCAGTAGTTTCTATAATCGAATTTAATGTCCAATTTGTCAGCTGCTAACTGGTCCATTTATTGTAACTTACCATAAGGACTCTTGGCCCTGTGAGGTTTGTCAGATTCCAGTGGTTTACTCTGACCCACTTTGTTCTCAGCTGTGACTCTGTAGATATATTCCTTTCCTTCCTGGAGTTTGTCAGCAACACAAGATGTCACATCTCCACTGACACGTTTCACTGGGGACCATAAGTTTCTAGAGGGTTCACGTTTTTCAATGATGTAACCTGTGATTGGTGAATTTCCATCTGATGTTGGTGGTTGCCATGACAATGTCATGGAATCCTTATGAATGTCCTTGACTTCTAGTGGTCCTTCAGGTTTTTCAGGAACTGATGGTGCTTTTTCTATTTTAACAGAATCTGAAGTCAGAGGTTTACTTGGTCCAACTTTGTTAACAGCACAAACTCTGAAGCTGTACTGTTTACCATCTTCTAGTTCTTTGACAGTGAAGGTGTTGGTAAATTTATCTACTTTTCCAACTGGGATCCAGTCCTCACCATTTGTTGAAGATTCAATGACAAACTCAACAACTGGTGCTCCACCATCGTTGTCAGGTGACTTCCATGTTAGGTCACATGATTTTGGTTTGATGTTGGAGACCTTGAGTGGTCCTCTTGGTGATTCTGGGACAGCTGTAAACATATAAGATGAGAACAGGTTTAATTTAGGAAAAGCATAGGAAAAAAAATGTTTAATGCTCTACTACTTTTGATATCCAGGTTTATTCCTAGTTGATGATATTTCTATTCAATAATCCTCACTAATATCTCACACATATTTTTTTCATAGGTAATGAAAGAGTTATCTGCCTTACAAAATTATCACCATACCTGCTAGTTTTGTTGGTTTGATGGATTCTCTTGTTTCCAATGCTGGACCAACTCCTTCTTCATTCTCAGCTAGAACACGGTAAGTGTATGTGTTTCCTTCCAACATGTTGTTTACTTTGTAGGTTGTTGTCTCAGGTGATACTTTGTCAACTTTGACCCAGTTAGGACGTTTGTTGTCTTTCCTTTCAATAATGTAACCAGAAAGAGGCAAACCTCCATCTGATTTTGGTGGTTTCCATGACAACACAGCAGATTTTTCAGTTAGATCTGCAACCTCAAATGGACCTTCAGGTGCACTTGGTTTGTCTGAATAAAAACATTTTTGGTCACAATTTTTGCTAGACAATACAGTGTGGTTATTAAATATTATGCAACAACCAAAGCTGATTTAAACCGTATGCACTTTGCAAAAATGAAAATTAAAGGAAACTATTTTACAAATATATTTATTTTCTATGCAGAGAAGTTTTAACTCGAATTGTTAATAAGTATTTGATAAATATATATAGATAGATATTATTATTCATTTTAATGTTATTACATAAACTTTTGATCAATTTTTCAATTATACATATCAAAATAAAAAAAAAAAGTGTTTACCAAAAGCACTCTTAGGAATAACAGTTTCTGAAGTCAGTGGTTCAGAAACTCCTATTTCATTAACTGCCATTACTCTGAACATGTATTCTGCATTGGTCTTTAATCTCTGCACACAGTATGTTATATCTGGTTTGATCTTGTCAACCTTTGACCAGGTTCGATCTCTTACTTCTTTCATTTCTAACTGGTATCCTGTGATTGGTGATCCTCCATCATCCTTTGGTGGTTTCCATGACAATATGACTGATGTCTTGGTTAGATCAGAGAATTCAATAGGTCCTTGTGGTGCTGATGGTTTTTCTAAAAATCAAATATTATTTTTAATATGTAGGCCAAGGATTTAAAAAATAAGCATATTTTGAAGTATAAAAATCATTGAAATCCGGATTAACTTGAACTAGGAACATGTGTTGCAGTTTTTAATGACCCCATAATATTACTGAATATTTCTATATTTTTTATAATGTTCATTTTAACAAATGACTGATTGTTTATGTTTAATATGAAAAGATAAAATTCAAAAGCAACTTTTGATGTGAAAATCATTAGTACTTACAAAAACATATGTAGAGTGCAGATGAATTTGCATGCTTGCAAAGGAACTCAATTTTATTTTCTCATATAATTTAACTATTGACAGGAAAACAAATATTGTGTAAATATCGATGAGATAACATTCCAAAGAAATACCTGGCTTCTTGTGTAGAGTCACAGGAGACTCTAGCTCTGCAAGTTGTCCTGGGCCAATTTTGTTTTCAGCAGAAACTGCAAATTGGTAAGGTTTGTCTGTTCTAAGATTTTTGGCTGTGTAGGATGTGTCAAATGATCCAACACTCCCAATCTTTTTCCAGTCTTCAGAATCATCCTCTTTCATGAATATCTGGTATCCAGTGACCTTTGATCCACCAATGTCCTTTGGTGCTTTCCATTCCAAGGTCACCTTGTCAGTGTTCTTAGTCTTGATCTTCAAATTTTCTGGTGCTTGTGGTGCCTCTGCAAATAAACCCTAGTTTTTTTATTTCTTGTTTTCACTTGGCTCCAAATTTCATTCAAAAAATGGAGAAAAAAAGAAATCAAAAGTATTTTACTGCACTCTTAATAGATTGAAAGCAGGCCAATAATTAACAATATTGACAAATGTATTTCAAATTTATTTCCATAAACAATTACCAGTACATCAGTATATCTTTTACACTAATGATATTTTCATGGGCAGAGAAAATGTTGCATTTTAGAAGGGATTTCTTTTGGGGGAGGAGTTCAATTAAAAGAAATTATTTCATTTATGTACATTGAAAGGAGTTCTTTTTCCTAATGGCAATCTAATGTTGACCTCTAGTTGTCTTTTTGTGTTAATGTGTTGACGTCTCATTGATTTATGCCCAAACATCTCCATTAGATTCATACTGATAAGTAGGAGGAGGGTTGAGCGCTCACAAACATGTTTAACCCCGCCGCATTCTTTATGTGCCTGTCCCAAGTCAGGAGCCTATAGTTCAGTGGTTGTCGTTGGTTTATGTCTGTCATATTTGTTTTTCGTTAATTGTTTTGTTATAAATTAGGCTGTTAGTTTTCTCAATTGAATTGTTTCATATTTTTCATGTCAGGGCCTTTTATAGCCGACTATACGGTATGGGTTTTTGTCATTGTTGAAGGCTGTAGGGTTGCCTATAATTGCTTACATCCACTTTATTTGAACATTGATGGATAGTTGTCTCATCATCAATCATACCTCATCTCCTTATTTTTATAATGTTACTGTAACATAAATGAGATTGTAAACATGGTAAAATACAATATCATAAAGGATATCTGACCTAGTTGTTTTTGAGGTCTGACAGATTTGACTGATTCCAATGGAGCTCCAGGTCCTTCTTCATTGACAGCTGAAACCCTGAAGTAATAGTCACCACCTTCCAAAAGTTTGTCAGCAATAAAGATTGTCTTGTCTGCACTGACATCTCCACATTTGGACCATGTTGTACGTTTAGAGTCTTTGGCCTCTATGATATAATTAGATATTGGTAGACCACCATCCTTTGTTGGCGGTCTCCATGAAAGTGTGACTGAATCCTTGGTTATGTCAGAGAATTCTAATGGTCCTACTGGTTTTCCTGGTTTGTCTATTGAAAATATTATTAATTTTTCATGTTTATTTGTTTAATTTTGTTATATGATTCTCCAATTTGGAGATAAACATTGGATTTCAGGAAAGCTAACAAATCTCCAGCTCAAAGAAAAATATATTGAAACAAATGTTTAATGCATTATTTACACTAAGAATGAATGAAATCATTAGAATCTGTTATTATGATTATTTGTTCTAATAAAAATTAAAAAATTAAAAAAGATATTAATTGCATACCAAATTTTAAGAAATACTTCTGGATACACCATAAAAATTTACAACCAGACAGATTGTTGCATATTTTTCAAATTGAGCGTTTTCTTTTACTGGAACAAGTACAAGAATTCTCTACCACCAAAAGACAAAATATACGAGGTAGAAATGTTAAAGACAGCACAAATTTGATTTAAAAATCTTGAAATGACTTGAACTAAATATCTAAACATATTGGATTCATTACAAATGAATGTTGTAACATACCAAATTCACTCTTAGGAACAATTATTTTGTCTGTCTCTAGAGCTGGACTTCTTCCAAGTTTGTTTTCTGCTGTCACATGGAACATGTAATCTGTTCCTTCTGTCAAGTTCTTTACTGTGTATGTTGTGTCATCAGGACTGATCTTATCACAGAGGGACCAGGTTGTACGTCTACCTTCCTTCTTTTCTATGATGTAGCCAGTCAGTGGAGATCCACCATCTTTAGATGGAGGTTTCCATGACAACTTGACTGAAGTTTTAGTGATTTCTGATGTATCTAATGGTCCTACTGGTTTTTCTGGTGGTCCTGATAAAGAAAAAGAATATACAATTGCATGTGCATTCAAAAACTTTATTTTGTTGAGAAAAAGATTATTCACAGCAGTTTGTTTATTGGACTTTTAATTAATAACTTTCCACATACATTGTACTAAAAAACTCATAATCAAATAAAAAAACAGAAACAAAAAAAGCAAAAGTACTTTCTGAATGTTTCCTTAAATGAGAGGTTGCACTGTTGACTGTCAACTAATTTTTGCAATTACAAATATTGCAATAGATTTGGCTTGTTAGATATCATACCTGCAGGTTTCTTGGGAACTACTGTAGATTCAAGTTGACACATATCACCAAGACCTACAGAGTTCTCAGCTGCAACAGCAAATGTGTACTCAACTCCATCCTTTAGTTTGGCAACCTTGTAGCTATTATCAAATGGTTTTAATGTAGCTACAGTGGTCCAGTCATCTGATGGTCCCTCCTTCATCTTGACAACATATCCTTTAATTTTTTCCCCTCCAGTTGTTGTGGGTGGTGTCCAGTCCAATGTAACATAGTCTGGACCTACTTTGGCAGTTGTCAGCTTTTCTGGTGGGCCTGGTTTTTCTGTAGAACAATTAATACATTGTAAAACAAAAGTCTGTTCATCTTTTTGTTTTAAAATTTTATTTTTACTGAAGGGAATGTTTTATGAGAAGGAAATTTTACAAGTTTGAGACACCTAGCTGATCAAACCAACTTTCCAGTGTTTAGTGCCTGTACAAAGTCAGAAATATGACATTCATTACTTCATTTGTTCCAATTTCTCAATATCTCTGGACTTCAACTTCTAATGTTCTCTTTGAATAAAACAATTTTAAAATACATACATTATTAGTTTTTGAGTCATGGATTACAACATTTGAAACTGATTTAGCAATAGTCTGTGTCTTATATTCCTTCCTATTCATATGCTTAAAAGCCAAAGTTTACCTAAAATTACATCATACTGTGGATTCATTTATTTTCATGGATTGAGGAAATCTTGCATCTTCGTGGATATTTGATTTCGTGGCTTTGTCAAAGTCTACATACAACATAATAGTAAGTTTGTACTTCAATGAACATTTAAATTCGTGGTTCACTTGTACCAACGAAATCCACGAAAATTGGTATCTCATGAATAATAATGAATCCACAGTATACCATTTAATCTAGTTTTAACCTACCAATAACTTTTCTTGGTTTGGCCATATCAGCTGATTCCAATGGGGATCCAGATCCTTCACTGTTGATGGCTGTGACCCGGAAGTAATAATCTTGACCTTCCTTTAGATCTTTAACATTAAACTTGAAAGAATTTCCATCTACAGTTCCAGCCTTTGTCCATGTTGACCTATTGGCTGGTCTATATTCAATCTGGTATTTTTCAATTGGAGCACCACCATCTTGTTCAGGTGCCTGCCATTCAATGTCAGCAGAACTCTCAGTGACATTACTGATTGATATCGGTCCAACTGGTGCTGATGGTTTGGCTGTAACAGAAAACATTTCCCATGTAAATTTTAAAGAGTTGAGAAATTCATTTACAGGGTAATAACTAACACATGTTTTACATCTTTAACAAATTAATGTTCATTTTTATAACGTCCACAAACAAACTGACTATTTCAAATCATTAGATTACATTACAATGAATCCATTACAGTAGAATTTTGATAATGTTATACTGTTATTATATAATATCCACACTTTCAATTTCCATATTGAAAAGTATAGGATTTTACAGAACAGTGGATAAACTTACAGAATGGACTCTTTGGCAATACAGATTTTTCAGCTTCTAATGGCTCCCCAAGTCCAGATTTATTTTCAGCACGTACGCGGAACATATATTCTGTTCCTTCTTGTAATTTGTCTACTTTAAGCTGATTGGTTTCACCATCAACTTTTTGGACAGGTGTCCATGTTTTGCGTTTTTTGTCTTGCTTTTCAATGACATAGGAAGTGATTGGACTTCCACCATCTTCCTTTGGAGGTGACCAGTGAAGTGTGACTGAATCTTTTCTGACATCAGTCATTTCAAGTGGTCCCATTGGTTGTGATGGTTTGCCTAAAATAAAAAAAATATTTATATTTACTAAATATTGTTTTACCAAAATAATGCAAGCTTCATAATTTTTAGAAAGTAAAGATATCATTACTTTAAAGAAGAAGCGATCCTCAAATTAAATCAAAACTAAAAGCAGGTTAGTCAAAAACGTTACTTTTCAAACTTGAAATGAAGAGAAAGAAACATGGACAATGCTTATGATTGAAGTATATAAATTACCAATTGGTTTCTTTGGTATAACTACATCAGATACCAAGAGCTCTCCTTCACCGACGGCATTGATTGCTGCTACACGGAAGTAATATTTCTGTCCATCTTTAAGACCCTTGGCTGTATATTTGGTAGTATCAGAAATATCAAGTGGTGTCCATGTTTTACCATCTTCTGATATCTCAAGTTTGTAAGATGTAACTGGTGAGCCTCCATCTTTCTTTGGAGGAGACCAGTTTAAGGTCACTTCATCACCAAGTACATTGGTGAATTTGATTGGTCCCACTGGCTTAGCTGGACAAGCTATGAAATGTATAAATAAGTATATAAATGTGTCATGAATTTTTGTCAGTAAATCATTATAGATTTGGGCTTAAAAATGATTTTCTATGTTACATAAAAAGCTGGTATAAAACAAGAAGTGTTTAATATGACAGTTGTTCCATCATTTGATATGCCAAATATCATAACACAAGCTGCTAAGTATTCAAAACTATTTGTTCTGTACTAATTATCATGGACTTCTAAGGTAAAGGTGAATTAACAAACTCAAATAAATGCAGAATTTTTTAAACAATAAAAACAAAGTTTCCACAAAATAGAAATTTTTCTTGATCTATGAAATTGGCACCAATACAAATAAATGTATCCACATTATTTTTCACTTTCTATTTTTGCCAATTCCCTGGAGTTCAGTACATTTGTTATTTCACACTCCTTGTACAGGAACCAATAAGCAAAGGCTTAGTTTGTTGATTTTAAAACGTTAATTCTCTTTGAATTATCCACAAATGAGAATAATTCAAGCATTTTCATAAATTATAACCTCACTAAAATTTTGAAAATTTCTATTTATGAATACTCGATAGATTCACAATGTATTAATTACAATTTTTAAACTTACTTGGTGCTTGTTTTGGTTTGATTTCTGTGTCAGTAACAAGAGGCTCACTTGCTCCTTCAGCATTAACAGCTAAAACTCTAAACTGGTATGGAGTACCTTCTATCAACTTCGGAACAACAAAACTCAAAGTTTTGTCATCAACACTTCCAACCTTAGTCCAAGATAAACGTCTCTTGTCATATTTCTCAATAATGTATTCTTTGATTGGTGAGCCTCCATCTAATTTTGATGGTTGCCATGACAATTTAACACTATCAGCTGTGATGTCAGAAGCAGTCAATGGTCCCTCTGGTTTTGATGGTTTTCCTAAAGTCATTTTATAGTTTTTTTATTGCAGAATAATTTTAAATTGAACCAATAAAATGAAGAGTAAAGGTTCTCAATTTGCATGCTTATTATTCTAATACTGCCTACTATTGTAACCCTATTGTCAGACTTTTTTTCCTGTATCTGTTTTTGTGTGTTTTGTTTGTAGTTAAAATTAAGGTATGCCACAGTCTATACCCTCTTCTGAAATTACCATGCAAGACTGCGCCAAATTAATGTGTTGTGCATTGTATTTCTTTTCAAAAAAACATTGGTACACAAGCCATGTTCTTATTTTCATTATTTTCTATATTTCCAAATAACTGATTAGTCACCAAAATAGCTTTTTAATTTTGTCTCTTAATATTAGATATAAGAAGATGTAGTATGAGTGCCAATGAGACAACTCTCCATCCAAGTCACAATTTGTAAAAGTAAACCATTATAGGTCAAAGTATGGCCTTCAACACAGAGCCTTGGCTCACACCGAACAGCATGCTGTAAAGGGCCCCAAAAATGACTAGTGTAAAACCATTCAAACAGGAAAACCAATGGTCTAATTTATATAAAAAACATGAAACGAGAAACACTTATGAACCACATCAACAAAAGACAACCACTGAACATCACGTTCCTGACTTAGGACAGGTGCAAACAAATGCAGCATTCTTCGTTGGACAATCGCAATACTCCATTTTTTGAAAATTTTATTGTTTTTAGAAACAGTACAAAAATAAAGAATAAATGAGTTGATGTAGTCAAATTATAATTTTTTAATCCAAATTCTAATCAAGACATTTTAATAGCAAGCATCGAATAAATTTGGTGTGGCCAAATAATAACTAAATACTTTTTTTTAGGGTTTTAATGATCATTTTATACTTACATTGATAACCAAAAATATTAAGACAAATGTTATAGAAGAACTCTAAACTAAGATTCAAGTACTCATCCAAACCCCAAAAAGTTTATATTAAATCATAAAGATACCAGTCAGTGCTTACAACATCAGTGTCGGGAGTAATCTTCATGGGTATGCTCCAGACAAAATGTTTGAGAGGCAAAGTACATGGAAAATATTGGAGCTGTCAAAACCAGAAAGGAAACAAACAAAAAAGTCATATTAAACCATCTGAAGTCAATTTTACAACTGGGATTTGCAACCTTCTAGCACAATATGATTTAGAAAGTGAAAATTTACAATGAAATGTTATGGTTTTAGAAATGAATTTTTAAGAATAAGAAGGACATTTAAATAAAGGACTGGTGACAAGTGATGGCATTAGTGAACATGGACTATTACACTAAATATAAATATCCTTTGGATGACATGAGTTTCTTGCAAGCTATAACCAACAAGGTATTATAATTATTTGACTTAGGAGTTATTCTTTCAATCATGGATGTTGATGCAGTGTAAAGCAATCACCAATCAATCAATCAATCAATTCAATCATGGATTTTATTTTCACTGTCAACCAAACATATAAAATCCTGTGTTTCATACAAAATTAGGAAAAGAAGAAAATTTTGTGAAATTTCTGTGTCTAGCACATGATTCCAAGTCATTGACCCCCCCTACCAAATTCTATAATTGGAAATAATCCAAATCTAAATAACATCTTATTAGCTATAAATTTATAAAGGCATAACTAATAATTGTTTGCTCCCTTATCATTTGGTCTCTGCTGGATAATTGTCTCATTTGCTATAATACCACATCTCCTTATTTTTATATGCAATGTATAACTTTTTGTTTGTACATCTTTTGTCTGGAGAGTCCAATGTTGGTTGTTGTGTGGTCTGTTATACTTTCAAATATTGTTTTTAAGTTCATGGTATCCTTTTTTATGGTTCATTGTATCTTCTTTTTAGTTCATTGTATCCTTTTTTTAGTTCATGGTATCCTTTTTTTAGTTCATGGTATCCTTTTTTATGGTTCATTGTATCTTCTTTTTAGTTCATGGTATCCTTTTTTATAGTTCATGGTATCCTCTTTTTAGTTCGTTGTATCATTTTTTTATACATTTTATTATAGCCCTTTTTTGTGAAGTCACAGAATTCAAAGCACTCCAATGTTTCATGCAAAATCTTGACAATCAACAAACAGCATGCTTTCAAACTAACACAAAACAATTAAAATGTTATACTTTATTTTATTTAACATTTTATTGATTAAAATGTATACAATTCAACATTAATATAGTAATTAATCTTAAAAATTTCACATAACAACTTCATTTAAACCATTCATTTGAATATTCAAAAACCCATGCACAAGATCTCTTGGCCAAGATTATCTTCAAACAATTTATCAGAACAATATACTTAGCACTGGAATGATATGAAAAAACAAATTGAGCACTTAAAACACAATCAAGTTAAGAAAATTAAATATGGTAATGGTATCTTAGTAAAATAAATGAAACATGTAAAACAAATTTTGTATGGGGAAAAGATTGTTATTTCTTAAGGCATACAATTTTGTTCTCAAGAATTAATTTTTGAGAAAAAAAACCCACTTCTTTTACACTAAGAACAATACAAAATTTCTTGTTTCAACCCTTATATGAATGGTTTGAAAAAATGAACAAAACTTTGTCATGCATTTGATCAAGTATACAATATATTAGTAACTAGTAACATTCTATTAATTAACAATATCTAACTTCAATTAACTAGTAACTAACTACTATTACTAAAACATATCACATTCAGCATGGAGATTCACAACCTTATACATTTTGATTACTAAAAATTCATAATATTACTTCTGATTATAAAAAAAATATTTCAACGAAAGGAATGTTCAACAATTTTCAGCAGTTAATGATAAAAATATAATAAAAATATATAGTATTCATAATTATAATATAACACATGGTTACAAAAAAATTAAAACGTCATTTATGTAAAAATCACATTATGATTGATATGTAAATAAATCTATTCATCACATATTTTGCTATGAGTATGATATTCAAAATTAAAAAGAAATTAAAAACTTGAATTGTTGATTAAAATGGACCAAATGGATAATGTTGTGGACCATGTTCTTAGATGAGAACATGATTCCGAAAAATGCCCATTTTAAATTCGACATAATGAAAGTTTATCATTTAATAATGTAATGTCTAACAGGGATGAATTTTGAAAGGAATGCATTTTATTCCATATGAAATGTAATGTGTTATATCAAATTTATAATGGCAACCTTGTTTGTTTATTTTCCAGTCATGGACTATAAGTCTATTTTCTTATTATGCACCTTTTTTATACAATTGTAAATGCAATAAATTGTCCTTTAATAGGTTGCTATGAGATCCATACCTAAACACCACAGACAGATTAAGGACTTTCTTTAACTTAAGGATCATATATATAAGGTCATACATGTACTACATGAACCAACTCTTCTAACCTTTACCTTATCTCTTATCCTAAACCTAATTTTAACACTAAGCTAGAGATAAAATGTTCTAATTAAAAACTATCAAAATTAAAAAAAAATGTGGGTCCCTATGTAAAAGAATGCCCATGGGTGACACAGTGAAACCAATTGTCAAGTTGAAAATAATAGGATAGTTTATACATTTGGACGGGTTATGTTATTGAAAATCATTCAAATAGGTTTATATTTGATTCACACACATAAGGCACATGCTTCGATACTTATGAATATGTAAACAATTTAATTAAGATAATCATGGTCAAATTTTGGCTCTGATTTTAAATCATGATATGTCAAATTATGTGGTCTTCTTTCACAGTATTTTTGTTCTCAGATGTAATAGAATTGAGACTTCTATCAATTGTTCACAAATCTCAATTAACTCCAAACTCTATAACTAAACTCTTTAGAAGAGTAACTTTTGAGAGCTTAAACAGTGAAAAAAGACCACATTTATCAATGGCATAACAGTATGTAATTTAGGTTATAGAAATTGAAAACATTTATTTACATTTTTGCCATTTCTCGTCACCGATAAAAAGGAGCAAGTAATTTGTGACCAAAATGTCAAGCTCCATAAATTACACACTGATATATGTTTAAAATTAACAATAAAACAAAAAGCATTCACAATTTTTTTCAAGACATCATGCTGTTAATATTCAACATCAAACTTTTATCAATTCGGGTTGCATATCCAAACCTACCAAATGGACTCTTTGGAATAACTGGTTCGGATGTCTCCAAAGGTTTGGAAACTCCAATGTCATTTTCAGCAGTAACTCTAAACATGTATTGTTTTCCATCCATTAATCTACTTGGTGTAATAGTTGTGGTTGGAGCTTTAACAGATCCCACTTTTGTCCATTGTGAACGGTTTTGTTCACGCATGTCTACATTGTATTGTTTAATGTCTGATCCACCATCATCTTTTGGTGGTTGCCATGACAGTGTGACACTATCTTTGAGAAGGTCTGTGACCTCTATTGGTCCTTCAGGGGGACCAGGGATGTCTACAATGAAAAAAAAAATTATTGTCAGTCCAGAAGCAAATAAGATTTGTTCAGTTACAGTGTCAACATTTACAAAATGTACCAATTTAATTCCTCAAGTTAAAAAAAAATCTAAAACAGCAATTATTATAACAGTTTCCTTAGCTATATTTCAAATTAGAATACACACATATTATATGTTATTCAGGTCTCAGACAGGGTATATAATGTGACATTCCAGGCTTAGAGTTTATATTCCCTGAAAAGGCAAAGGGGATATAAACCCTAAGCCGGGAATGTCACATTATATACCCTGTCTGAAACCTGAATTACACCTATATTACGGATTACTCCTGCCTTAATGTTTTTCCAGTACCAGGTATTTATTAAACATTCACCATACAGTATATATATATTTAGTATATGTAGTGTTTCTTATTATTTTGAGTAATTCTTTTAAATGCAAGGTTTCCATCTTGACAAATTTTTTTTTTGGTAAAAATATTTTTTCAATAAAGTTTTTAGATTTCATGTATACTGTTTGTATGTTTGTGACTTTTTATGTATTATGACATTTTTTTACAACAAAAATACTGAAAAACCCAACCTGATATTTTTCCCATATGTGAAGGATTTTGTAATTTGCTGTGAAAATAATATTATCGTGTATGCAATGATTTGTAATTACACTTTAAGACATTAATTAAGTATTTGATGTGTAAATCGAGTGATTTTAAATTAAAAACGTATTATTGACGGATACATGTCATTATTTTCCCTCTGAAAGCCTCTGATATTCTTTAAGTGTTCTGTATGGCTTAAGACTATGTCACATAGTAGTCACATAGTAACGTTCGTTATGATGACATTGTTGGGGATCCAATTGGGATAAAAAACATCATATATACCACGGCAGTTTCCTGAATATATACTGACATCTCTGTATTGTTATCCAATCACAAAACTCGACACATTTGTAATCCATAATATATATATATATTGGCAGTCAGCAAGGTTTAAAGAACATCCGTTGTTCGACCTGTTAGTCAAATGCGTTTTGTTAAAATATACTTTCTCACTTTTTTGGTCTTTTGGAAAATGTTGTTTGTGCTGTATTTAGACCCCTCTACCAAGAAATTTGATCATGCAGACATATAAAAATTGTGGTTTTTATCCAACGCAATCATAGGTTTGAACGTTGTTTTCAATTTAGACTTATATATATATATTATGCCTTAAAAATATATATAGATTCTAAAACAGTTTTTGGAAACAGGAAAATATGACATTTATAAAAAATAATGATGAATTTTCACTATTATACACTTTAATCTCTATCCAATAATTACACAAGTATCACTGACCTGTGACCTCTACATCGAATGTTGCCTTGGCATCACCAGCCTCATTTTCAGCCATGATTGCATACATGCCATCATCTTCTCTGGTGGCTTTCTTGACTTGTAAAGTACTTCCTGTGGGTGTTGTATCAAGGTTGAGACGACTTGATGGTTTGATGGTCTGATCATCTTTACACCAAGTGACAGAAGGTTTAGGAATTCCACTAACTGTTACTGGAATTCTCAGTGATGTTCCACTGCGTAGAGTGATCAAGTCTCTGAATTTATTATCATATTCCAGTTTTGGTGCAGCTGAAATTAAAGGATATTATAAAATTAATGTTTCTAATCAATGTTCATTACATTATAAAAAAAATCAAGGTTAAAATTTCAGGAATGATTCATTACTTTTGAAGTAAATAGTTAAACATCTTTGGGGAATATTACTTTATCCATAAATCATGATAATTTTGCTCACCACAACTCTTCTGTATACTAATAACTATGTATTGTAAATAACAATAATGGAGAATTGAAGACTGGCAATAGCTAAACCCTTCTAAAAAGCAAATCAGAATCATATATCTTCAATTTAGATTTTAAATAAATTAATAAATTTATATGCCCTGAAACATGCCTTTGTTACATCTTACAAATGTATGATGTTTACAGTACAAATATGATGTGGAACTAATGTAAAACATGTGTAAGGAGCCAGATCATTTCTCTTACCCTGAACCTCCAGTTGTCCTGAGGTTGAAACAGAACCTAAATCATTGGATGCCTCACATTTGTATGTCCCAGCATCCTTTTCTGTGACCTCTCTCAAGGTCAATGAGGCTACCATGTTGTCATAGCTAGTCTCATATTTCTTAGTTGAAGGAATAGTTTTGTTGTCTTTGGACCTGCAACATTTATTTTCTCAGTGAATTAAAGTTAATTTGTCATTAAAAGTAGCTTATTTACATGCAGTGAAATATCTTGAAGAATATTATGAATCATGTATACAGTAAATTTAGAAACAAATGCAAGGTTTTTACTGATGCAAAAGGATAAAAAATATAATAAATATTAAAACTCTTATTTCAATTTTGACTTTAGGACCTATAATGCCCCTAATCATACCTTATCTTTTTGAATTTTTCAATTCTTTATTTTGTCATCTAGTTTTTTTTTATGAAACATTATCTCTAACTTTTCAAGTGAAGTAAGTAAATAGTGTCTTATAGTGTTTCTATACTAAAAAAAAGAAGAAATTATTTGAAAAATTTCTTTCTACATAATCAAAATCCTAATTTAAATCTGCTAACCATTCCACAGAAGGTTGTGGCTGTCCATTGATTTTACATTCCAATGTTGTGGCTTCTCCAAGTAAGACAGACACATCTGGGATTCCCTCCAATACTGATGGTGCTTCTCCAACTGTAAAATAAGACATAAATATACTGTTATGCCATAATGTAAAAACATAATTTCCTAAAAATGTGAATGTATTACTCAATAATTTCTTATTTTATGTCTTCTATTTAATACATATATAGATGAAAATTATTGCATGTCTTTGTCCACATCTCAGCACACAAATTTTAAGTCATGCATGCAATCAGAAACTACTGTTGAAGTTCTAAAAATATAACCGAAACAATGTGACAATATTTCCCATAAAATTTGATTAAGACATTATAGACTTACTTATTGGTTCCTTGGCTAAGACAGGACCTGTAGATGGTGAAGGTTTACTTAATCCAGCCTTGTTCTCAGCAAGAACACGGAACTCATACTCAAATCCTTCTGTTAGGTCTTTCACTGTGAAGGCACAATCTGGTACCTGGATGTTATGTGTGACTGGTACCCATTTATGTGACCTTGGTGGTTTAGATTCAATGACATAATTGAAGATAGGACTTCCTCCATCTTTTTCTGGTGCTACCCATTTCAGAGAGATGGAATTTTTTGTAACTTCTGTTATCTCTGGCTGTCTTGGTGCATCTGGTTTTTCTAAATCAAAGAGAGACAAATTATGAAACAAACTCTGCAGTATCAAAAGGTGCTGGTGATTAAAACAAAAGGACTTTAGTGGAACCAATATTCATACATTCATGTAATTGTTCCAGATATTTACAATAAAACAAAGAACACTTACTTACTGTAATTAAGAAATTTTTTCAATGATTTTATTATTGCAAAAATTGTGTTGGGATAGGTTTAATCAAAATATTTTGAATTTTGATAGCATGATTTGAATGCATCATTTCCTCAAACTGTAATAATTTATCTTCCATTTTTGTAAAATTTTCAACAATCGTAATAAGAAATGCACGCAAAAATCTAAAAATTTACAGTATCTTTTTTTTGTTTTAAGTTTCTGATTTTAAACATATTTTTTGTACATCTAAGCCCTGTTAGCATTGCTTACCAAATTGATTTTTAGCCAAGATTGGTCCAGTTGGTTGACTTGGCTTGCCAATACCAGCAGCATTTTCTGCTGAAACACGGAACTCATATTTAGATCCTTCAACAAGGTCCATGGCTGTAAACATTGTATCAGAGACTGATTTCTTGTTGATTTTCGTCCATCTTGTGCTGTCAGCTGGTTTACGTTCTACCATATAACCAATGACAGGAGAACCTCCATCATTTTCTGGTTGTTCCCAAGTCAAGGTCATAAATGATTTTGTAATTTCTGATGGCTGTAGATTCTGTGGTGCATCTGGGACATCTGAAAAATGTGATCAATAGTATTTATGTATTAACATTACCTGAAAAGTTTTTTCATCAATGTTAATGAAATATTGTGCGAATGCAATTGGTCTTAATGCTGAAATTTTATTTGTAGCAATATGTTGTTAGATTGTTGTATAAATGATTTTTATCTTTTATCTACTTTTTTAATTCCTTGCCATGACAGGATGTTGTTGTCTTTTTATAGTATAGTTTGGGTTTATATCTACTTTTGTTTAACATTGAACGAATTTTATCATACTTTGATGCAGTTATGCATCTTATAATTCTCCAATAAAAATCAAGACATTTCCCTGCAAATTATTTACTCAATTCTGACTAAACTTGTTTACATACCAAATGGACTCTTAGCAACAGTGCCTTTGTCCATTTCTGCTGGTTCACTTGAACCGATTTCATTTTTAGCAATGACACGGAAGTAATATTCATTTCCTTCCAACAGTTTCATTACATTGTAAGAAAATGTTGATTTATCAACTTTGTCAACAGGTGTCCATGTGTTTCTCTTGGCATCACGTTTTTCAATGATATAATCTGTGATGTCACAGCCTCCTGTGTCAGTGGGTTGTTCCCATGACAACAATGCAGAATCTTTCTGGACTTCAGGCACAGATAAGTTCATTGGTTTGGATGGTTTGTCTATAAAACAAAAAACTTTGGTTGAAAAAAATCTTATTTGTTTAGATAATTGACATGCATGCTCTATAGGTTTTAATTTATATGTATTTTCTTTTCTCCTGTAAACTTTTTAATATTACAAATTTTGAATATAGAAGGACCAACGCACAAATCAAAATAATCATTTAGTTCCTAAAATTGGATTATACAAGATAAACAATTCAACTTGATATGTATTTTAAATATCATTTCCAGTTTTCATTTTTATTATTCAAAATTTCCTGAAAAACAGACCTTTAACAATTATTTCAAAGTCAGCTTCAGCTTTTCCGACAACATTTTCTGCTGTAATTTTGTACATTCCAGCATCCTCTAGTGTGGCATTCTTTATTGTCAGGATAGAGAACTCTTCTGTTGTTTCCATTGTCAGACGTGGTGATTTCTCTATTGTTTCTCCATCTAAAAGCCATGCGACTTTAGGTGATGGGATACCACTGATGTTAACAGTCAATGACAAAGAGCCTCCTGCCTTAATGGCTTGTTTACTCTTGAGTTTGTTGTCATAATCAAGTTGAGGGAGAGCTGCAAAGAATCAAAATCTCAATAAACCTTTGTTCTTAGGCATTCATTCATTCATTTGTGAATTCATTTATGAATAAAAACTTGCACAGTTACTCATCTTGACATTAAAAGTTAAATGATGAGATACACTGTATGTTTCATGTTTTTGGTACTTTCTGGTAGAGCTCCTTAAAAAATTCTATGTAAACAAGAAAAGCAAAAAAAGTAATTTCAACATCTAATTTGTTACGAGAATCTAAAGTAAACTCACTATGTACAGAGAGTGTTCCTTCTGTTTGAACTTGTCCAATGATATTGGCTGCCTGGCAACTGTAAACACCAGCATCATCTGGTTTGGTTTCATGGATGACAAGGCCAGCAACTTCATCTTCATAACTCATCTCATATTTAGGACTCTTCTTTACCTCCCTTTTACCCTTAAACCTTTTGCATAAAAGATAAATTCATATATAGTTTACAATTGTGGTGCATTACTGATAAAGATGCCACGAGAGAAGAAACATTGCAAGGACTATATATAAGTTATCTCATGCTAAGAAATAAATGTTTTATACTTTAAATTAAGTATAAATTTAAAATATAAGAAAAACTGAAAAAAAAAATCTCAAAAAAAGTAAATATTAGGCCCAATTAAACATCATTCAATATTTTTCTGATAGTAAAGTAACCTTTTATAAACAACTTACCATGTTATTTCTGCCTCTGGTTCTCCCAGCAGGAGATCACATTCTAGGATGGCATCATTAGGTGATACAATGGTTGTATCTTGTAAGGGTTCCAGGAGTTTTGGTGCTTCTCCAACTGTAAAATAAATCATACATCAAATAGAATCTGAAAGATTTCTCATTATATAGCAATGCTAAGATTTTACTGTAATAACTTCAAAAGGAAACTATTTTTTCTTTCTAATGCATATACATCTCAAAAGGGTGAAGGTTTAAATACAAATAGAATATAGCACAAAATCATTGAGTTCGGATCATGCTCATTTTTTTAATTTACCTGTAGAAAGAAGTTTAAAAAATAATTATCACATGTCAAATGAAATAACAATTTTGAATTCAAAGTTAATGTATCATTTATATTCCCAAAGCCTATCAAAATAATCATTTATCAAAATGACATTACAAATATATTATGTATATCACGTTCTACTTTAAGTTAGATCTAACAGTTAGAAAAAAACAAAATCCTAATACATACCCAAAGGAGCCTCCACTTTAACAGGTTTTGTGGGTTCAGAGGCCTCACCAACACCTGCTTTGTTCTGTGCTGCCACACGGAACTCTAACTGGCTTCCCTCCTTCAGACCAGTCACGCTGAATGTTGTCTCAGTCACGGTTTGGTTCTCATTAGCCTTTATCCAACGGAAGGCATCAACAGGTTTGTATTCAATGACATAATTAGTAATTGGAGCACCTCCATCTTCAGCAGGTGGGGCCCATTTAAGAGCAACTGATGAATTGTCAGTTCCCATAATTTCTGGGGCCTCAGGTTTTCCAGGTTTAGCTGAAAAAAAGTAAAATTGTTAACCTAAAATGTTTTTTTGTGATATTAGTGTTCTATGTTAATTTAGCCAATCTGTTTCTGTAATTTACCATTTTTTTCCCAAAATATGTAAAAAAAAAAACCTCCTAGTTATGTTACTTTAGAGAGGTCATACTGCCTCCTTTGTATTAAGCCACAGCCAACATTAACATTTTCTGAAAGTCTATTTTAAGATTAGATAAAAAATACCTAGCAGGGGGTAATAAAACACTTACTCCATGGGTTCTTGGCCTTGTATGTTTCTGATTGGTCACTAGGACTACTGGGTCCTGCTTTATTGACAGCTTTGACCCTAAATATATAAGTATTGTCTTCAACAAGATCAGAGAGGTCATAGGTTGTTCCTTCTATCAGATCTTTGTTGACAGGAGCCCAACGAGGACTGAAGCCAGATTGTCTCTCCAGCTGATAACCAAGGATTGAAGCACCTCCATCATTGGCTGGTGGTTGCCATGACACTGTACAGGAAGTTGCTGTAACATCAGATGCTTTTGGCGCTTCAGGTGCATCTGGAACAGCTGAAAAACAGTTTTAATCAATTATATTTAAAAACATTAAATTCATTCAGGAATAAAAAAATAAGCATTTTGTTTTACTTTCCTCTTCTTTGTTTACACACGTCTATTGTTACATTGTAAATGATTACAGTATTTCCAAGGAATTTATTCTTAAAGAGTAAAATATTTCTAATGTTGAAAAACACTATTACACTTTGCATCAATCTCGCCATCTTTAGGGCCACAATATTATTCATTTTGGTTAGTTTATTCATAATTTTATGTGTCTTTAAGATTAGCAAATATTAAAACAGAAGACAGAACTTATTACAAATATTTCTTATATACAAATCATTTATGTAAAACTTAGATCTTCTCTAGTTCAAGGAATATATATAAAAAAAATAGAAAATCAGGGTAAATAAGGATCTGAATCTAAAATTCACAAAAGACCAAGAAGAATTTATCTGTAAATATGAAATTGTCTAAAGTTTAACATTCCACAGCATACTGTCACTTACTGAATGGATTCTTAGCAGTAATTGGTTCTTTAAATTCTACTGGTTCACTCATTCCTATTTCATTCTGAGCAAACACACGGAAGTAGTACTGGTTTCCTTCCAACAACTTGCCAACAGTATACTCTAGATCTTTGACCTTTTCTACTTCCTGCCAAGATCGTCTATTAAATTCACGTTTCTCTATGAGGTATCCAGTGATGTCACTTCCTCCATTGTCCTCTGGGGCCTCCCATTTGAGTGTGATAGAATCAGCTAAAACTTCTGGTGCTGTCAGATTTTGTGGTGGGCTTGGTTTATCTGTAACAAATAGTATTTTCTGATCAAAAATAGTTAAAATACACAGAAAAAGTAAATTTTTAATTCCACTTGAAATGATATTATAGTATGAGCTAACCATTTAGATGATATTTCATAAAATTTAAGTATTTCATTTCCATTTAAATGTAACTTAACAATTATGTCTGCTAAAAATTCCAAGAATGTGTGATTAATATCCTCTTTCATCGTATTCATAATATAACCCTTATGCATTCAAATTAAAAACTTTATTCATACCTAGTACAATCATTTTGATGTCGACTGATGTTTTTCCTCTAGGATTCTCCAAGGTTAGTTTATAATTTCCTGCATCTGGCCTTTTGGCCTTTGCTAGCCTCATTGTGGTCATGTTATGAATAGTCTGTGTTTCCAATCTCTTGTCCTTGGGTATGTCCCCATCATTAAATGTCCAGATGACTTTTGGTTGAGGATTACCCTTGAATGGTATTTCAAAAGCAGTAGATTGGCCAGCTTTCAGTGTGATGGACTCCTGGAAGTTTTTGTCCAGGAAGAGCTCAGGTGCAACTAAAATGAATCAATTGACAATTTAATTCACATTCTTGGACTGCCATCATTGAATCAAAGAAAACTGTCATAAGATTAATAAGATGCAGTATATTGGTACAAAAAATTAAAAAGGTCTACATATTTTTTAGATATTATACTTTTTGAGTTTTTAAAAATTGCATTTTAACTTTCTATATGTATGAATTGTCAATAGTAAATGAGTGTTAAAACAAACTAACCTTCTACAATCAGTTCTGCCTCTGAGTTCTTTCCACGAGCAATGATGGAGAAGTCACCCTCATCTTCACCGTCCACTTCAGAGATCTCTAGTCGATGTACTGGACCCTCAACCACCATCTTGTATTTCTTATCTGATGGGAGAGCTTTGTTGTCTTTAAACCATTTAGCTGTTACATTAGGCTTAGATAATTCACATTCAAATATTGCCTTCGATGGAATTTCATGTACTTCTACATCAGTGAGTTTCCTGACAAATTCTACTGCTTCTTCTGAAAAGTTACATCAAATATTTTTTAAGCAAAGAAAAAAAAACAGATTATTGTATAAAACTGTTCAAAATCTGTTTAAATGTTAACTATTTTTAATGTCTTTTAAGTTTTGATCCAATTTAATGACATTTTTATTTTCATTTCCTTTCCTAAACCATATCTTCATATTAATAAAGAACTCCATCAACTTTATTTGCTTACCTTGTTTTATTTCTTAGTTTAACTGACATTATTGATAACTCCTTTAATTACTTATATGATCATGATGAAAGTATTTTTAAACCAGTAAAATCAACAGTTTTAAACATAAACAGCATACCTTCAACAAAGAGTTTTGCCTTGGAAACCTTATCACCAATTTTAACAGAGTATTCCTTTTCATCGTCCATTGTGACAGACTGCATGACAAGTTTGTGGGTGTTTTTATCACAGGTAGTTGTTATTCTGTTGTCCTTTGGCAGTGGTTTACCTTTACATAACCACTTAGCTGGTAGATCTGCCCTGGAAACTACACATTCTAGAGTAGCTTCTTGACCTTCCATGACCTCAATATCAGAGAGAGGCTTTGTGAATTGTAGCGGTAGCTCTGTAGAAAAAAAAATCATAAGATTGTATCTTTGTAAGACCACTCGTAGGGGACTGAAATCGACATGTGCTAAAAAAAATATTCTTAAAACTTTTGAACATATTTTTGAAAGAAAAGAATACATAAATCAATAGAATATCTTTGAATTAAAACTAATGAATTTGCCTGGTACAAGATTTAGAAATACTTGTTCTTGTAGCTGATAATTGCCTTATAGATTGGTATTTAAATTTTGATCATTAAAAGCTTTTGTTTATACTCAAACTAAGTCTGAGTGTTGTAGTAAATGACAAGGAAAAGGAATATTTTATGTTTGTTTGTAAAAACACAAAAATTTACCATATAAAAATAAGGAGATGTGGTATGATTGTCAATGAGACAACTAACAATGAAAGTTCAAATGAAGTGGATGTAAGCAATAAAAGACTGAATTTGTAATTTTTTCAAGTAGAAATTTTATATGATTTACCTTGAACTTTGACCTTCGCTTGAGAATATTTGTCTTCTATTTGAAATTTGTAGAGTCCAGCATCTTCTAATGTTGCCTCAGTAATTTTCAGTGTGTGCACAGTCTCCTGTGTTGTTATATGTATGTTTTCTGAGGTTTCTACCTCTTCTTTGTCCTTGAACCATTTGGCCTTAATGTTTGGTTTATTGACCTCACAGGTCAAGGTCACTTGCTCCTTTTCACTGACCTCTACTTTTTGTAGTGGTTTCACAATTTTCAGAGGTAGTTCTATAAGAATTTAAAAAAGCTCTTTTAAGAATATATGTTGAGCACAATTTAAAAGACCTTATAAATTTTCGAAACTTCATAAATCATTGATCTAGATCTCTGATTGATTACAATCGTATCACTACCACTTTTCATAATGCCAAATGATAAAATAAGGAGATATGGTATGGTTGCCAATGAGACAACTATCCCTATAGACCAAAAAGACAAGGATGTGAACAGAAATCCATTCCTTATAGCAAGCTATAAAAGGTATGACAAAATGTAAAACAAGTCAAGAGAAATACCAGCACTCTCATTATTTAGTTGTTTTATTTCTATATACAGAAGGGGCTTCAACCCTAAACAATTTACTTTGAAATAGTTTTCAATGTACTAAACATTGAATCTGTAAATGGAAAATTAAATAGTGTAACTTTAAATATCAAAGTTTCGTCAAAATGCTAAAATATAACTCATAACAGCAATACGCATGCAGAAATACATATCACTGCCATTGAAAACAACTAATATTTCAAGATTAAGTATGCAGCATCCCAAGATTTTTCTGTAGTATATAAAAGTCATTGTGGTTGTCAGTTATGTTTTATGTTTAAATGAGTGTTTGTGCAGAAAAAGATGATTTCTGTTGAAGGTAATGGTCATTACGCTCTTATAATAGTTTTTTGACCGACATATCAATTTTAAAGCACTTTTTGTAAATTATTAAATTCTGAAAACTTTTCGATAACTTTCACTTATACATTGTATGTTAAAGATTGGAGCATTATTAAAATAGAAATAAGGAGATAAATCAATGAGACAACACTCCACCACAAACCAAACATAAGACTTTAAACAATGAGCAAAACCCAACCGCATAGTAAGCTTTAAAAGGCACTGGTATGACAAAACAATTCAAAAGAGAAAACCAACTACCAGATTTATGCTCTAATACATAAGTGAAAAGCAAATATGCCAGACAGTAACAAGCCTTTTTACTTTACTTTACTTTCATATTCAACCTTTCTTCTCTGCAACCACTGTACATGCATTATTTTAAAAGTTCAAGTTAATAACCCTTTTAAGATAAAAGGCTGTAATTTTGCTTTTTAAATCTGGGGGTAAAATTGTAAATGTCCTTCCCCAAATTTGAAATATTTACTTCATTTATAGCCTTTTTCAAAGTAAAAATTAATTATAATCAGGATATTAAAAGTCTGTGAGCAATTTTACTGTATAACAAAATATGAATGCACACAATCTGAACAAATGCAAGATTATCTAAAATAAAGTTTGAGCATGCAAAATATCATCATGTGAAAATATTGGTTAATATCTTGTGTATATTGACCTGCATTTAAAAAGGATTTTTTTCTTTCAAATATCACTACAGATTTCCATGCTGTGAAAATGTTATGAATGGAGCTATCTCACTAAAAGGATATTCTATGGTGATTTCTAGCTGCCTACAAAGATGTATAAATATACATAGTTAATATTTTCCATTCTTTTTATACCTTTAACCCTTAGTCTAGCAGTGGTTTCTTTATCATCAATTTTTACAGTGTATCTTCCAACATCTTCTTTTGATATTTTAGGTAGATATAAAAGATGGCGTGTGCCATCCACACGAATGTCATAACCATCAGAAACAGTTATAGGCTCGCCATCTTTGAACCAATTAGCTCTGGCCCAAGGACGGGAAACTTCACATTCAAACACAGCAGTTCCCTTCTCTGGCACAATCAAATCATGCAGGCGAGTCACAAGCTCAGCTGGGGGTTCTAGGAAAATTCATATGATAAAATGAACATATTAAAGGAATCTGGGATTGTAAAAGGATTCATGAATCAGCAATTTACAAATTAATACAGTTTCAATATTAAAACAGAAAACATGGTTAAGGGGTTATAGTCATACCACATTCTTCTAAGCTCAAATAATTTAACGAAGTTTTAGAAATAATCAGAATGATTCATCAACTCATCCTAAGGGACCTTATGTCTTCAGTTCAATACTAAAGCAAACATCAAAATTCCTTTTTCACACACAAAAAATTAAAAATTCTTGGTAGAAAACTCAAACATGCTTTAAAACTCAAAACCCTTACCATCAACAAGCAGTGTTGTGGCACATTTGGCTCCTTCAATAGTTACAGAGTATTTCCCTTCATCTTCCAATGATGTTGAGTGAAGAATGAGTTGGTGGATGGTGCTATACACCACCAGTTCTACTCTGTCTGATCCAGTTATTTCTTGGTCGTCAAGGAACCACTTAGCAACAAGGTCTGGTTTATTGACCTCACATTCTAGTGTGGCTGGTTCCTTCTCCATAACCTGTACTTCCTTCAATGGTCTGAGGAATTCTACTGGTCCCTCTGATGAAATAAATGAGCAATCTTTAATATTTGAATTACATAGTTTAGTAATGAGTATAAAACACTTGACCAGTTTATGTCATGGTCAGTTCATTCACTCCACTACCTATTCCTTACTTTGTGTTAATACTCTTTTTAAACACAAAACCTTATAGACAATTTGTAAATTACCTTGGAAAAAATTCAGGATTTAATTGTCAGAGTTTATATACATTGCAGACAAGGATACTTTTCAAAATTAACAATGTCATTCAAAAATGTGATTGCTTTTAATGAGTTAGTTTTGAAGATTTATAGAACTCAAATGGACAATAAAAGAAAGGAGGAAAGTACCTTCAACATAGAGTTGAGATTTGGATGTCTGTCCATCAATTTCTACTGTATACTCAGCCTCATCGTCTAATACAGCAGATTTTATGATAAGACGATGGGTGTTGTCATACGTAACAAACTTAACATTGTCATCCTGTTTCATTTCTTTGCCATTTTTGAACCATTTGCCAGGTTTGTTGGCTTTAGACACCTCACATTCCAAACAAACAGTTTCTTTCTCAGTAACAGTGACATCAGCCAGGGGTTTGGTAAATTCTGTTGGTAGTTCTAACAATAGAAAACATCAATTTATAGAGACTTTTTACATATTAGGGAGATTAGGACTAATGCAAATTAGATTGTGGATTTAAATTTTGGATGAGATTTCTAAATGGAAATATTTGTTACAAACGAGTTTAATAGGTCAAAAGATTTTAAAATTGTACAAATGTTTGTTTGGAGTTTTGATTTGTTAAAGATCTCAATTTCGAAAAAAAATTCTGTAAAAAAAAGACTGCTCAAATAAGATTTGACATGACAGCTTCTGTATAAATTTGAAACTGAATTTCATACCAAATTCCTCAAAAACCATATTATATAAAATTTCACACAATAAAAGTGTAATTTTGTTGGAATAGTATATATTGACAATAGATAACATTTATCTTGTTTAGTCTGTGATAGAGTTAAGATATCTTGATACCAACCTTCTACAACAATCTTGGCCTCTGTTGACACATCACCACATACAAGTTTGTACACACCAGTGTCATTCAGGTTCACATCAGTGAGAACCAGTTGGTGTGTGAACATGTCAACATTGAAATGGATGTGTTCACTAGGCTTAAGTTCTTTGTTATCTTTGAACCATTTAACTGGTTTGTTTGATCTAGTTAGTTCACATTCTAAGATGACTTGTTCCTTCTCTTTCGCAGTGATATCCTTGAGTGGTTTCTTGACTCCAGTTGGAAGTTCTACAAATAAAACATTATTATTTAAATTTTACATAATTCAGTGCATGTTTTAATATCTGTTTCTTTCTCAGTTTCATTATATTGTTATAATTCTGCAGAGTATGGAAACAAAACTATTGCATCAAACTCTGAAACACCATTTTATGATATACATCTGAGGAAAAGTAAAGAACCTAAAATTTAATAACAATGCTGGCCGGTAATTCCTTTGTTCTTAAAGTCTGCTCATGAATGAAATTCCCAGACTCATAGTAGGGGGGGGGGGGGGGGGGGGGGGGGGGGGGGGGGTCGGAGGGGTCCTGATCCCGAAATCCTGGGCTTAAAAACATGAAATCCAGAGTTCCGGAATTTAAAGAAATTTAAATCCTGACATCCCAAAATTTAAAAAAAGAATTCCCGGATCCCGAAAGGATCAATCCTGAAATCCCGAGCTTAGAAACACCCGATCTCGGAGTCCTGAGAAAGGTCTGACCCCCCCTCATAGTAACTGTTTTCAATTTCTACATAAAAGATAATGGAACACCTGCTTTGAAGAGAACAATGTTCTGCTATCAAGAAAAAAACTTATTTTAAAAGTGATAAAATTAACATTAATTGAATGAAAAGCATATGATTTTTACCTTGAATGGTGAGTTTAGCTTCTGTAGCCACATCACCACATACACAGGTGTAATCTCCTTTGTCATCGAGACTGACATTGTCTATTGACATCTGATGTGTGGACAGGTCAGCAGAGAAGTGGATGTGATCATCAGGACCAATATCCTTACCATCTTTAGTCCATTTGACTGGTTTGTTAGGTTTAGATAGTTCACATTCCAAGATAACTTGGTCTTCCTCCTTGGCTGTAATGTCTTTAAGAGGTCTCTTGAATTCTGCTGGTAACTCTGTGGGAAGCATTATTATATTGTCATTTACACTCAAACATGCGAAACGGTCATCATCCTATTTCACATATTTATTATCTGTACTGCCTTTATTTTTAAAGTAAGATTGTTAGGTTTAAAAATAATGTGAAACTACCAAAATTTCAAACTTTCAGTACATTAGGAACTTGCCCTGAAACTTTGTCACTGATTTGACCTTATTTTGCATGGCATTTTCGTTTGTAAAATTTTGTTACTTTTTAACATTGTGTGAAGTAATAATTGTCAACAAGGAAGTACAATACATACCATCTATACCAAGAGTGGCCTCAGTTGTTACAGAGCCACATACACAAGTATATGTGCCACTGTCCTCTAGTGTGGCATTATCAATGATGAGCCGATGAATGTTTCCATCAGATACCAGTCTGATTCTATCACTAGGTACCAGTTCCTCACCATCTTTGAGCCATCTAACAGGAATATTTGGTTTGTTCAGTTCACATTCCAGTATAACTGAGTCTTTTTCTTTTGATCTCTTGTCTATAAGTTTTTTGATAAAGCTGGGTGTCAGTTCTGTAAAAAAATGATAAACATACAACTTAATATATGCTACTTTTGGTTCTATGAGCTTTCAATTTTTCAAAAAGAATCCTCTAAAACAAGTGAAACTGCAAGCTTCTGCTCACTGATGATACCCCCGGCGCAACTGGATAATTTTAATAGTGTAAAAATATGTAAGTGTTCGGTAAACAGGAAGTTGTTGAGTGAATCACACGGTATAGCTGACTTATATAAACCCTGAAACCAAATTTCAGAAATCCTTATGATTTAGTTCCTGAGAAAGATGCGACGAGAAATATTCATGGGACGTATGGACGGACTGACGGAAGGACGGATACAGACAGAGGTAAAACAGTATACCCCCACTTTTTTAAAGCGGGGGTATAATAAAAATCTATAAATTATCTTAGAAATAAGAAGTCTCATCAAGAATTTAGATATAGATATATCATGACTTACATTTTGAAATTATAATTTCATATTAGAACCCAAAACTTTGGGTTTCCATTGACTTGAAGATTTTTCAAACCACACGTCACACACAATGAAGTTGTTATCATATGTTTACATTATGAGATTTTTGTATTTTCTGTCAACTTACCTCTGATTCTAATAGCAGCAGAACTTTCCATATTTTCAGTAATTTCGATGGTATATTCGCCCTCATCCTCAGGAATAGCTTCCATAATCTGCAGGACATGCCTATAACGATCACATAATATCTTGATACGATCGCTAGGTGTCAATGGTTTACGATTTTTCAGCCATCTGACCTTGACATCTGGGCGACTCAATGTACATTCCAGTTGAATCATTTCCCCTTCGTTTACATCAGTATCACTCAGTCTGTGAGTAAATCCTGCTGCAGTTTCTGTAAAACCAAAGATTTTAAATTTAGTTTTTGATTTGTCAGATCTTTTATTTTTGGACATAAAGAATTCATATTACAGTGTATGACTCTTCCTTCTTATTTATTCTTTTTTTCTAGATATTTATAGGTTTGTTAGTAAAAGTACATTACCTTCTATGAGAACCAATCCTGTAGACTTCTCTGAACCAAACATTGTGGTGTACTCACCTTCTTTGAGAACCAGTCCTGTTGACTCCTCTGAACCAAACATTGTGGTGTACTCACCTTCTATGAGAACCAGTCCTGTTGACTCCTCTGAACCAAACATTGTGGTGTACTCACCTTCTTTGAGAACCAGTCCTGTTGACTTCTCTGAACCAAACATTGTGGTGTACTCACCTTCTTTGAGAACCAGTCCTGTTGACTCCTCTGAACCAATCATTATGGTGTACTCACCTTCTATGAGAACCAGACCAGTCCTGTTGACTCCTCTTAACCAATCATTGTGGTGTACTCACCTTTTATGAGAACCAGTCCTGTTGACTCTTCTGAACCAATCATTATGGTGTACTCACCTTCTATGAGAACCAGTCCTATTGACTCCTCTGAACCAATCATTGTGGTGTACTCACTTTCTATGAGAACCAGTCCAGTTGACTCTTCTAAACCAATCATTATGGTGTACTCACCTTCTATGAGAACCAGTCCAGTTGACTCTTCTAAACCAATCATTATGGTGTATTCAGCTTCATCATCTAGGGTAACATCTGGTATTGTGAGGATGTGACGACAGCCATCAACTGTGATCTCATATCCATCAGTTATAGTTATCTGTTCTCCATCCTTTAGCCACATAGCAACAACTCCATGCTTGTTGACCTCACAAACCAAGGTCAAAGTGTCACCTTCCACAGAGTTATACCTCTCACTAAGTGGTTTGGTAATTTTCAGTGGTTTTTCTAAAAAAAAAAGTAAGAACATTAGACTATTTGTATCTTATTGTTGTTATGTCAGAAACACAATTATAAGGTAAACTTTGGGATTCTTATATTGCAAAAAATACATACTAGTATATCTAATCAATATCTTATCATAAATGCTCAGCTCAATATATGCTATTTAACACAAAACTGTTGTTGAAAACAAAATTGCTAAGTACAACTATAAAGGTTAACCTGGGATAATGCCATCTCAATCTGGCAGTTTTAAAATTTCCTTTTTGATTTAGGTAAATTCAAATTGAACTGACTAGTTGCAAGAAATTACGATTCATCATTATTTGCTTTGTGTTGCATCAATGCAAACGACTATATTCCTGTGTGACAACAAATTATGAAATCAATACAAGAGATTTTTTTGGAGCATAAGGTAAGAAAATGAAGGTGATAATATTGATAAAATCTATGAACTGCCCAAAACAGGTTCTACAAGTTATTGCCAAATACTTAATTGATTGAAATTATTGTTAGTTGCTATATGACCATTCAAAACAATGTGATAAACTTACAAACAGAGTTATGTCCCTACCTTCAACAAACAATGGTGCTTTGCTAGTCTTGTCCTTGACCTGTACAGTATATTCTGCTCGGTCATCAATGTCAGCTTTGGGTATAATCAATTTATGAACCTTTCCCTTTGATTCAGTTTGCATATGATCAGATGGGAGGATTTCTTTGCCGTCTTTGTACCATTTGGCTGGTGCCATTTCATCAGTGGTCTCACATGTGAAGGTCACGCTCTCTCCCTCCAGAACAGTGGCTTCCTCTAGAGGTATGATGAATTGTACTGGGGCTTCTAAAATCATAAATTCATTCAAATTATCCTCAACTGTGCAATAAAAATTTCAATTAATTCACAATGTAATTTATAACAAAAATATCCAATGAAACGCAACAAAACAAAAACATTTATTTTGTATTAGCATGCAAGTCAGGTGTACTAATTATTCATTCATTAGTACACATTAGTACAGGGAAAACATGCTATTAAGGCATAAATGTTCTTATAAATTGTTTACACTCTTACAAACACTTTTGATTTCTTTCAATTATAAACTTTAAAATGTTTCTTGCTTGCTTTGAACAAAATCAAAACAGTAATTTGATGGACTATCAAGAAATTTGTGTGTATGTGTCTCTTATTTGATATGTTAAGATGTAGGTATTTTACAGCAAATTTTACTCTGCAGAAATTTCACTGTTCCATTCTAGGCCCAAATCTCAAACAAAATGTGAAAATAACCCTGAATATGGTATATGAAAGTGAATATCACTTACTAGAATTTCTAGACATCTACAAGGCCAGAAAAGGTCTTTTGACAATATACATAGCTCTAAATTATCCCTATTACAGACAAGGTGTGAATAAATTAAACAAAGAATACCAAAGACCTTACATCAAAACCCGGAGGGGGGGGTTACTAACTATCCTTTCGATTATAACTGTGCCAACAGCACTTGCCAAATCATACCCTGTTCTAACCAGAAAACATTGAAAAACATACCCTGTTCTATACAGAAATATTGAAAAACATACCCTGTTCTAGACACACTCAGAAAATGTTCTAGACCGTATAAAATAGATGCTGTTCTAGACTGTATCTTGAACAGTTAAATAAGCGATCCTGTTCTAGACAAATATTTTGTTTAAAAAAAGACCCTGTTCTCACCAGCAGGGCATGAAAAAGCGACCCTGTTCTAACCAGCAGGACATGAAAAAAGACCCTGTTCTAACCAGCAGGGTATGAAAAAGCGACCCTGTTTTGCAGCACACTCGTACCACTAAAAATATAGGAAGTAACCCGTCCGGCATCAAAACCAAAAAACTTTAAAGTAAAACTACTATTTAAAATATAAACAAAGACAACACCTAACTCAAAACAGGTACATTGATAAGCAGCAGGGTTAAAGCATAAGTATTCATTTACTTTATCTCATTCATTGGAAGAAAAAAAGCATATAAAAACAGGATTACCTTTTTTCATTTCATTGAATTTATTTATTTCTATACCCGACATATATTTTCTGGAAATTGAACCAAACAAAAATATGTCCACTTATGGTAGGAATGGTAATGACTTCAACAGAAGTATTTTGAAGGCAAATTAACCAGATTCGACTGTTTTGTAAAAAAATTGGTATATACAACATTTAGTTTAAAAACTGAAAGTTTTGTAAAATATTGGGCAATTAGAAAGAAACGATTTTGGCAAGTATGATATAACAAAATGTATAGCTTTACAAACCTGCCATGGTCAAGTGGTCACCATGCAAATTTCTTTTTCGTCCAATGACAACACAGTAACTGCCATAATCAGCCATGCATAAATCATGAATAATCAACCCATGCAGACATTCAGCTTCTAAGAATTCATACTTTTCACAAGGATATAGTTCATGCTCATCTTTGTACCATTCAACCAGAATATCACTTTTTGATACTGAGCACATAAATGTCGCTATATGTTCGTGTCTTTTTCTCAATCGACTGACAGTTAGTGTCATATTAAGAGGTAGATCTGGAAGGCAAAAATCCCATGCACACAAAACATGTAGAATTTATATCCAATATCAGCAGCAGATACATTCATTATAATAAAATATACAAGTTTTGTTTAAAAATAAAAAAGTAAATATCACAAATCCTTCTAGCCTAAATTGATAACTTATTTCCATCATTAGAACTCCAATCTTTTTTATTAAATATTTAAATTCTTTTTCTCAAATAGCTCTATATATCTCGAACTATTTATGGTCCCTCCCTTATCTCTAAAATAAAAACATAATCAAATTCCTATGCTGCCTCATGTGTTTATCTTAGAAACAAATATTTATAAATTAAGATCTTTTAATTGTATCGAGCAATAAATTTTTAAATAACCAAATATCACAAACATGCAATAAATACATTAATAATCTTGAATATATATACAAATGTAAATGTTTAATATCTTCATAAAGTTGCATAATTCATCAAATCACTATCACAGAAGAGTTTTAATCAATATATAGATCCCTGAGATTCTGAAAAATGATCTGAGTCATCAATATCACTTTCTAATCTACTGTACATCCCTTCGACCAACAAAAAAGCAGATGTGCGTTTATCACCAACAATTAGAGAATACTCTGCTTCATCATCAAAATTTAAATTGACTATGGTTAAACTGTGCATGCAACTATCCCATGTCATTCCATATTTTTCTGAATCTTCTAACACCTCGTTTCCTTTCAGCCATATTGCTTCAGTAGTGCGACGAGAAAGTTCACACGACATTGTTGCATTCTGCTGCTCAAAACCTTCCGTTTGGTTTAGAGGTGTTACTATGTCAACGGGTGTGTCTGGAAGGAAAACAGGGATAGACACACATCAAACACAAAATGCAAGAGATCACAACATGCATAAAACATACAAATCCAGAAGAGAAATAGTGAATACACAAGATATAAAGATTGTCAAAAACAGTTACCTATGAAAATAAACAAATACATAGAACACAATTTCTATGCAGTTCTTTGCTAGTGGTTTTTTGAATGACTGTTAAATTCCTTAGTTAAAGATTTGAAAATACCAAATAATCATTACAAGATAACAAAATTATATACAAACTAATATGATATTAGATTAAATCAAATTACATCTTCTGGATATGTATCAGTGATTAATAAATATTTGATCAAACATTTGCAATTATTCATCTGAATATAAATAGAAGTAATATGCTTGTTATGGCATAAAGCATGCAAAATGATAATAAAGTCATTTTTCTCATAAAATATAAATAGTGTAATAATACATGTCAATTTGAATGTTGTCTAAGTATATCACTTTCACGGTCAACTTAGCTGATTCAATTTTCTTAATTCTTTTACACAAAAAAAGATATTTAAAAATTACTGCTTTTCTTTTTCCCAATTTCTTTAATGTTTATCAATAATTCACACTATAAATAAATTTTCAAGTAATATTTGAGACTGTACAGACGTGCAGAGATTCTTTTACATGAAGTTATTTATGTTTTTTCATGAATATAAAGCAACAAAGAGAGTTTTGAAGAGTGCAGGTTAATATTTTATGCCATCTTCCCTGAACTATTCATTTGCAAATCGCCAAGACAGCCATTGCCAGAATCATAGAAACAAGAATATATAATCAGAGGTACACTGTTATATGATTTTCATATAAAATATTTCAAAATACTGTTGTATTACATACATTTTAGGAACAATCTCCAAATGTGAATTCTTCCCAATAAATAAATTCATTTTCCTTTGGCGATGATCTTCCAAAAAAAGTGTATACAAATATGTAATTTATGTGTGAAATACACTTTTTTGATTGATTCCAAAATAATTGTTAAGCAAAAAGCTCAATTTTGAGACTATCCCTTGTGTTTTCAAAGGGATTAATTACACTTTTGACATTAAAATTCCACTTGTTATGAAGTTAAATCAAGAAAAGATTTTCCAACACACAAGTTTCCAATTGATTTAAAATACTGAATGAATTAAAATAACCTTACATCTATCATCAATTCCATCTTTGTAATATGAAAATTGTCCTTGTTAAGAAAAACAGTATTTTGAAACGAGGATGTTAGTCCTTACCCAGTCTGTATATAATATGTGTACATTATATGTATAGAACAGTGCTTCAATTACCACTGCAAACAATGTATAAATAATTTACCATCAAGATTCAGCTTGGCTGAACTTCTACTGTCACCCACGACAACTGTATATTCACCAATGTCGGAGTGATCAGTATTTTTAATGACTAGAGTGTGCATCTTTTTCTCATCTTTAACCACATGCTTGTCGCTAGGTAACAAAGGTGAGTCATTATGGAACCAATCAACAGTAACATCTTCACGGTCGACCACACAAGTAAAAACACATTCTTGGTCTTCCTCAACAAACTGTTCTGTTAGTTTAGCAAGGAATTCAACGGGAGTATCTGAGGAGAGATTCATGCCAATAAAATATCATGCTCATACAATACTTAGGTGCCGTATTTGGAAATCTTACATAGAAATATTCACAAAGCACAAACATTACATGTTGTGTACTTAATCACAAAGCATAGCTGTTATATTTTGTGTTTTTATGGCCAGTAATCACAAACATGACAAAGCACAGCTTATTATATATCAGTGATATTGTTTGCCTCCAATTACAGCCGAAATTCGGCTTTTTCCCCTAGAGAAAATTCCCAATTACTAAAAAAAATTGCTTAAAATTCCTCCCAGAAAGTTTTACATTTTCCCAAAACAGTGATGGCATTGGTAGTAATGTTTGTAAATATCTAACCTGAATAATTCAGTCGTTATATTCCACTGCTCTACGATGGCTACATTAACGAGTGGGAGAGTCCATCACGGGGAGGGACTGAATTATTCGGGTTAGTAAATATCGTATTCATGTTATTATTTTGATATTAGAAAGCACTTTTGAGATTTGGTTTTCTGATCAGAATCATCATGGTGTTTGTAACACGTGGTTTTCAATGCATTAAGTACCATCATTGCTTCTGTTTCTTTCCCCTCTTCGAAAAGTACCTTTCAGGTTGAAAATGTCTGACAACCAAAATATACATGAAAACAACAGTGCAAAAAAGACAGCAAAGGTCAGCAAAAAATCGGAGATGTGTTTAGAATAAAATATACAAATTTCCCAATTTCAATAAAAAATATGCATTTTTCCCAACAAAAAACGGTAGAGGTAGTTTTGAAAAAAGACAACAATATCACTGTATATATTTTTGTTTTATGACCAGTAATCACATACCTTAAATGTTACACAGGTAAGCAATATTAATAACAGAACATTTACAAGCGAATATCAATATCATTATCATTAAAAAGTTATACACATATTGCAGGGGAATATCTCAAATATATCTGTGACACGGTCATGCTTATATAGACAATATGAATCCATGGTTATAAATAAATTCAAATTCAAAAAGGAGGAAGCTCTTACAAGTTGTACAGAATCATGCCATGACATACCTTCAATACTGAGTTTTGCTGTAGTTTTCTGATCTTCGACCTTTGCTGTAATTTCAGCAGCATCAGACAATGAGGCGTCTTTCAAACGAAGTGTGTGTACTGTAGCTTCAGTGATAATTTCAAACTTATCATCATCAGTGATTTCTTTGGCATCGGCAAACCATTTGACAGTGGCCCCCTCTTTGTTGACCTCACAAGTCAACTCTACAGTATCTCCTTCCAGAATAGTAGCATCTGATAATGGCTTAGTGAATTCAGGTGCCACTTCTGAAAGAACAATATTTTGTTACAAAAAAAAACCTTAATATTTTTTATTTGACAATGACAATTCTATATGGATTTTCCCATAACCTTTTGATTTTCAAGGTTCAAATGTAAGTTAGTACAAAATAAATTTCCAGAGATTCTTGTAATAGAGAGAAGTGTATAGAAACTTACCGTCAACATAGAGACCAGCGGTTGATTTCTTGTCACCAATGGTAACTGATATTTGACCTTCATCCTCAATGCTGACATTACTAATTACAGCTCTGTGATTCTTGCCGTCTTTAATGATTTTGACTTTATCACTTTCATGTAATGGTTTATTGTTCAGGAACCATTGTACATCATCTGATGGTATGGTCAACTCACAGACAAATTCAACTGTTGAGTTTTCAAGACCAGTGGCATCTTTAAGTGGCAAGGAGAAATCAGCAGCTACATCTGTAATTATTATAAGAGAATGAAAATCTGACATATCTAACAAAATACTCAGAAGTGTCTACTAAATGATTTTTTTGCTGAATATGAATGGAACAATATTGTTTGTTCTTTGACAATGAACATAAATGAAAGCTATTATTAAAGAGTGAAATTACAAAACAGAAATCAGAATTCAAATATTAACTGAATGTTAAATATTTCATACATTCAGTTAACATTTGAATTCTGATAAGTCATAATCATGAAATACAATATTGTCTGCTTACATCAGTTTCATTTAATTCTATTTTTTCTTTTGTTTTAGTGCTATTCTTAACAAATACATGTTGTAAGTTTTATTTTTTCTAATGAAACGTTTTTTGTCAATTTACCTTGGACAAAAAGTTTGGCTGAAGTTGATGTGTCACCAAACAATGCTGACACTTCACATGAATCACCAACATCAATATCCTTAATAGTCAGGGAATGTGTCACATCTTCATGTTTCACATCATATTTTGGTGAATCTGGTACCTCTTTGTTGTCAATCAACCAGTTGACCTCAACATCCTCTTTGTTGACACTGCATGTGAAGGTGGCATCTTGGCTTGGTTCAACCTTGGCATCCTCAAGCTTCAAGATGAACTCTGCTGGCACTTCTGTACAAACATTACATATATTTTAATCTATGATTTTTTACAATTAATATTATTTTATATCTTATTTGGATTAGGTAAATCAACATGAAAAAAAAATGGTTTCCTTTGATATCATTACATGAATCAGTTGTATACAACCCCTTCACCATTGTTTTTTTTAATTCTTGATGTTTATTGATCCTTTACATGGCTTGAATATTTTGACTTTTTAATTTAAAAAAAAAATTCAGAACCACCTTACTATTTTCTGAAGGTGAATTTATTTGAAATTTTTTTATCAGAGACTTACAGGAAATATTGCTGAAACAACCTACCTTCAACTGTCAATTTAGCCTTTGTCTGCAATTTTGCATAGGAGCAGGTTACCTCCCCTTTGTCTTGAGGTAGACATTTGGCAATGATGAGAGTATGTTTTGTCTTGTCAGATTTGATGATGTACTTTGGACTTTGTTCTATCACCTGATCGTTGACAGTCCAGGCAACAGAAACGTTTGAAATGTTTAATTCACATTCAAAGATGGCTTCTTCTGTTTCCTTGACGGTAGTGTCTTTGAGAGGAGTTATAAACTTCCACTGTAAAATTAATAAATCAAAAATAAACAGGCATTCTATTTACATTCCATTTCATGAATATGAAGTGTGTCATATATCAAATTAATATTTGAACTCAGAAATCATTTAAATATTTATAAAATAAATATAGAGACTACTAGTACTTACATCAGCCTTAGGTATTTTGAGTTGGAAGTCTTCAACTTCTTCAATCTCCTTTGGTTTAACACCTCTGACATATTTTTCTTTCTCCTTTTCTTTTTCTTTTTCAGGAGATTTCTCCTCAGGCTTGGGTTTTTCATAGGTCTCTAATTCTGGTTTTTCTCTCTTTGTCTTCTCTGGCTCTGATCGCTCTGGGATTTGAGCCAGCTAAAACAAATTTACTGAGTTATAATCAACTAACATATTTAATTTCTTTGCCATTCATCAGTACAAATGTTTAAACAATTTTCATTCTTACACGATTTTCTCACTGCATTGAAGACCCATTGGTGGCCTTCGGCTGTTGTCTGCTTTTTGGTCGGATTGTTGTCTCTTTGACATATTCCCCATTTCCATTCTCAATTTTATTACACACCATTTTACCCTTTTGTCTTTCAGTTTTAAAATACTGTAGTTAACTTCATTTGAAAAAAAATCTCTCATCAATAAACTCAAAACTACTGTTGTTCAAAATTGGAATGACATCAAACCTATTTTCTATGAATTAATTATCTGTAAGTGATCTGGAGATTTTAAAACAAACTTTCTTTAACATTTATCTTTAATTCTTTTGCATTCCAGAAAATATATAATTATCCTTTTATGGAATGTTTTTTTTTTATCTAATATACCTGAGATTCTCGTCTTTTCTTGAATATTTCAAAAGCCACAGGTTCATCGTGCTCCATGAATCCAGGGGAAAACTTCTTCTTGTCTTCAGGTGTAGGTTCTTCCTGCTCCACATGTTTAAGATTAGGAAGTACCAGTTCCTCTTCCTCAATCTGTCTCCTTTCAATTTCTCTGTAAAATTGATTGATTATTTGCTTAAATAACATATAATTTCTTAGTTGGTTAAATAATTCAATTATAACTAACAAATTAATGATAAAAATGTCATAAGTTTTAAACATTTCATATATATAAACCAGGCACCTAGAAATTACTGTGATCAGAAGATAAAGACGAAACGCACTTTAAACTTTGAACTCTCACCTGTGTTTGAGCATGTCTTTCCAATCTTGTACATCCTCAGGTTTGTCTGTTACAATAAGTGTTGCTGGTGCATCAGTTGTACCATGCTCGTTCTTAACCGTGACCAGGTATGTTCCAGCATCTTTTTTCTTGATGTCACCTATTTCTAGGACATTTTCACCTGTATTCTCATCCTTGTATACTTTGTATTTTCCACCATCTTTGATTTTATTCCATTTACCTTTGGACCAGAGAATTTCTGGAGCAGGTTCACCAGATACCAAACATCTGAACATTCCAGAGTCACCTATAAAGTAACATGAAATAACAGTCAAATATACTGTATGTAACTTTATTCTCTTTTTGTATGAAGACAACCATATAGAAGACATCGCCTACAGTGTTATCTAAGAAGTATTTGTCACCTACAATCTTTCTTTTTTTTTTAAATAATTACGTGAGGTCATTTCTGAATGGATTTAAAAATACCTTGATACCAAGAGAATAAAAATAGTCACAGGTTTATTTGATTTATTTTTGTCAACAGATACCTGTATGTTATTTGTAAGATGAGGATATGTAATACATTTTTGTTGTGTACTATATGTTATGTGTAAATCAGTATGTGAAATATATGGTTGATAAACAATAATCTCATTCTCACCTTCCAGTATGGTACATTTGAGTGGAGTTTCTTCAAACTTAGGAGCTTGACCTCTGACCTCTAGGTTAGCTGTCATTAGTTGTTCTCCCATGGCATTGGCAGCCACAGCTTTGAGAAGACCCTGCATCTCAGGTGTGGCATTGTCAATCTCCAGTGTGTAAGTACTTCTACGTCTGTCAAATCTAATGTGAACATCCTCTCCTTCTTCTATCTCCTTATCATTGATAAACCTACAAACACAATCTCAATCAAATGTATTTTAGGCACAATTTAAAGAGGGATGGCATCACTAATTTTGACAAAGGGAACTATCATATTCATGTGAATTTGTGCTCAGTTTTAAATAGAAACATATACAAAAGTACTGAATTTTAGCTTATACAAGTTTGGTTCCTTCATTATAAAAATATTATTCTTCAATTGAGTTTTATTATCTTGTAAATACTACTAAACTTCTGTTAACCTTTTTTTTATATACAGTTTTCAATATATTTTTACATTCATAACAGAACTGTGTTGTTTATTTGAGTTTGTATACTACTTTACCAACTTTTGACTATCTGAAGGCTTAATCTACTGAGCTACTGACCATTTAACATTAGGTAGAGGAAGTCCTTCAACTTGACATTCAAATTTGGCAGGAGCATTTTCTGGAAGTAATGTGTCTGCCATTTTGGTTACAATGGAAGGTCTTCTAGCAGCTGGAATATTGAAAAAAAAATATATATACAGTTACATTTATTGTCAACAGAATTTAAGAATGAAAATAAATCTACACTGAAATGTAAACAGCTGATAATTATTGTTTATAAACAAATATAAATTCCAATTGTGAATTTTGGTCTTGCTGTTATTTCCACTCCATTCACATATATAACTTAAACTCCATGCAACAAAATAAAAAATAATGACTGGTTTTATTTTATCTCAAACATTTGAATGTGAACTTACGTTGTATCTTGACTCTGCCATTACAAGACACCTGACCAGCTGGGTTGCTGGCACGTGCTGTGTACAGGGCCTCATCAGATTTCTTGGTATCATTGATAGTCAGTCTGTGGATGTTACCTTCGACCTCTATCTTTGTTCTGTCTGTGTCAGGGATTTCTTTGTCCATTGTCAACCTACAATACACAATACACTTTACATTTCTTGAATATACCTGATAATGCCACAAAATAATTAAGACATTTTCATTTTAGTTTTATTCTAATTTTATAATTGTAATAATGTCATTCTTTAATACATAATTTTGAGGATATTTTCCCTTTAATGTACAAATTATTTTGAGAATATTATTCCATTTATGCACAAATCATTTTGAGGATATTTTCCCAACTATGTACTAATCATTTTGAGGATATTTCCCCTTTTATCAACAAAATCCTTCCTATATATCAAAGATAGATTGTGCATTTACATATGGAGTAGAAAGATAACAGCCTTACCATGTGACATGCGGTTTTGGTTTTCCTGTTACTTCCACCTCTAGGATGGCGGTGTCATTCTCCACAACATTCACAGTGTCCAGTTTTCTTACAAACTTAGGAGCTTCTTTCTTCTCTGTTAATAGAGGAATGAAGACAATGTTATAATATACTTACTTTTAAAAATATAAAATTATGAGTATCATTAACACAAAATAGGTCAAAAGAAAACAAATATTGTTAACTACTTTTATCATATCTATGCAAAAACATGTCAACAAATACACCATACAATATATGTTGCTTAATACATCCACATAATTTGGTCTGATGGATAGGGGTCTCATTGGCAATCATACCACATCTTCTTATTTTTATATAAATAAAGTTTGGCAATTTACTCTAATAATAAAGAGATGAAAAAGTCAGAAATACTGTATATTGGAATATTTTCCTTTAAGTTAATGTCCTATTTTTCTCTATGGTCGCAGAAAAAATTATAAAATCTGATGCTAAAATAATCTGATATACAGTACTTTATTTTATACTGAAAATGAGAAATCTAAAAACTAGAAATCAATATAAGGTCTACTATCAAATGCTATTCATAATCCACCTAACAATCACCCCATGATCCACAATATGTTTCGCTTAAATTTAAAATAAAAATATCCTTATAAACTATGTATTGCAATTTCAAACATTAAGGATGTTCGTTCCTCTGGGTTTTTGAATTTTTGTCAGATGTTCGGAATCCTCTGGTTTTATCTATGTAGTGCCATTAAAAAATTTTGCCGATTAACCCCTACTTTTCTTTCCATAATTTGATTACATATAGTTTAAAATGTCATCTTAGAAAATCTTATAAAATCCTTGTTATTTTTTCATCATTTTTGAAAGAAAAAAGGTGCCAATGATAAATGTATGAAAAATCTAGAAAGAATTATTTCATGCCAAATTTTCAATGGCTTATATCTCGAAAACAAGCACACGGACCTTTCATCTTTTTCTGCTATTTTAGTTTCTTTATTTATATACTATCAATTTAAATCAGCCTTTTAAAAAGCTTGTTATTTTGAAACAGAGTAGCGTACATCCTTAAATTGAAACATGAGCTTAACTAATATTACACTAAAAACTTCTGTTATATCATGAAGTATTGAATTCTGATAAACGAAATCTTTTAGCCTGCAATTTTTTTAATTTGAAAATTTTTAATATGTGCTACACTTAAGAATTTTCAACGTACTCTGCAGTGCTTATTTGATTGAAGAGAGAAGATCATGTGACATAATAAATGTTACACTATACCTTCTACAAGAAGTTTGGCAATGGTAACAGCCTCTCCTGCTTTGTTCTTAGCAATGGCTTTCACTTCTCCAGCATCTTCAATCTCAGTCTTATCAATACTGAGACTGTAGATAGTGTCAGAGAAACTCTTACGGACATCTGTGTGGAAGCGTACACCTTCTACGGGCTTGTCATTCAGAAACCATGTAATCTCAGGTGCAGGGATACCCTTGGCAGAACATTCAAATTTAACAGGTCTGCCTTCTTTGACATCACGGTTGTTAAGTTTACGTGTGAATTCTGGTTTTTCTGTTTTACCCTCAATAGTGACTGGTGCTGTTACATCAGCCATACCTGCTGGATTTTCAGCAATAACTTTGTATTCCCCTTCATGGTCCATGATGTTGGTTTTCTTTATTTTAAGTGTACATTTATCATCATCGTATGACATTTTAACATTTGGAGACTGAGCGATCTCCTTGTTATCCTTCAGCCATGTGATTTCAGGACGTGGAAGTCCAGTTACTCTGCATGTTAACTCTAAAGGCTTGTCTTCCATTACAGTAACAGCCTCAAAGATCTCGGTGAATTCTGGTGCTTGTGATGTGTCTTGGTGACGGAGGACTAGCGGGGATTCCGATAGTCTCTTCTCACGATCAATCTCATTGACAATCAAGGGGATGTCAACAGTTACCTCCCCTTCTTCATTAGTAGCAACACAGGTGTAAACACCAGCATCAACTACATCACTGTCCTTCACCTCAAAACAGTATTGGTCCTCATACTTGTCAAATTGATAGAGCTCTTTATCTTCCAATACCATGTTGTCCTTCTTCCATACAACTGGAAAAGAAAATATAATGAGAAACTGTAAACAAACTTATTTTAGTGAATACTTTTTACTGCATAAACCGTTCTATGCCATTGCATGACAATTTATTTTTCGATTTTCTAACTTTGTTGATGTATCCATATAAGACAACATCCAAGTTTGACATATTTGCAACAATTTTTATTTGTTTCATTTTCCACTCTAAAAAGTAGCATGAATAAATCATTCACAAAAATTAGTTGGTTTACAGCATCTATTTAATTAAGTCTAATTCAAATATATGCTAAAAAACATATAACAATTTGACATGTACTTTTACTAAACTCTTAAGATACTCACACTCTGTTTAATATTTCAGAAAATTAGGGAAAAAATGAATTCAACAAATGTAAGTAAAGAATATGCCTGTACACAAATGTATATACATAATTTTAAATATTTTCTTACCTTTAGGTTTAGGTGTTCCAATGACCTTGACCATGAATTGAGCTGTATCATGTTGCCTAGCAGAAACTTTTTCTGGTACTCTAATGAACTCTGGAGCTGAGGGTTTATCCTCTCTGACTTCTACAATTGAAATGTGTAATTTATGATTTAGCAATTTACTATCTATTCTCTTATGTCTTTCATATGTATTTGTAAATTAAAGGCATTATAAACACATTTGTTTAAGTAGAAGAGTAATATTTGTAACAGTAGTAGCTTTTCAAGATTGCTGTCTTCTGAATTACAGTACAAAAATTTGAGTTAAACGTGCATTTATAATATGCATTTCGTACAATGTGAAAACTTTATGAAGACTTAAGCTTAGGATTCGCTCACTATGATGAAAACCATAATATCCAAATTTGTAAGGAAATTTACCTTCAACAAAGAGTTCAGCTTTACATTTAGTACTACCAGCTGTATTCTTGGCTTCTACTGAGTATGTTCCATCATGTTCAGGTAATACATCAACAATAAGAAGAGTTTCCTCCCCTTCCTCATCACCATACTGTATACTAAATCTGTTGTCATCCTTAGTAATCTCTTTGTCATTTTTGAACCACAGAATTTGTGGTTTGGGTTGTCCTTTAGCTTTGCAGGTAAATTTAGCTGTTTCTCCGATTGTAGCTTCGAATGTCTGTATCTCAACAATGAACTTAGGAGCTATGAGTTCCTGTGTAATTTCTTCTGGTTGTGCTGTAAAATTAAATCATGTTGACATTAAAGTTTCAATTGGTGAAAACATAAATGTAAAAACTAACAATTTTTAGGGTAAAATTGTTATATCTTTTAACAACCATACTTAAGTATACATTTCTGCTACAAGTTTTGAATTCAAAGTCTTGTAGATGATATGCTCTTCAGTTATGTTTCATTATTATACTCAATGTTGTATTCATTGAAATCATTGGGAAACATAGAGAAATGCAAGTGCAAAAGTCATTTGTTCAACAACAGAACACTAAATGAAAATATGTATATATAGACCATATGTTGACCTCTAGATGTTTTTAATTAGATGTTTGGTGTCATTGGGTCCTATCTCATTGACATATACCCCAATTCTTCTTCATATTTAAAGGTCACCATACTGCAGTAAATGCTGAAAAAGTGTTAAAACTGTAGGTGTAAATGAATTGTGAATGTATAGTAATAAGGTGTATTCAACCTTTTTTAACAAGGATTGTCAGTTTTCCTGCCAAAGTTCTATCTTGGAATTCTCGTCTTCCCCCACCAATAAAACTAGCTGCCATAATATAGCCAACAGCACAGCACCAACAAACAAACAAACAAACTACTATTGATACTTACTTTTGACCACCAATTCAGCACTACACGTGGCAGTACCATAATCATTGGTAGCCTCAACTGAGTATGTTCCTCTAACATCTTCATCAATGTCATACACTTGCAGGTGGGATAAATTGTTCTCATCGAATATAGCATGACGTTTGTCTGGTATGATCTCAATACCATTGTACAACCAATGGATTTCTGGTCGTGGTGTTCCTAAAACTTCTACGTTGAAATCAGCAAGTTCACCTTGTTCAACCTATAAATGGATAAAAATAAATGTGGACTAAACAATTATTTTCTATTATTTCATTTCTAAGATCAGATAGAATGTGGTAAATTTTTCACTGATCCGTGTGTTCATGCAATCTCTTCGTGTGACTACTTATCCGACATTTGTGATGAATTCTAATGCGAGTTACTTTGTATAAACCCGATCACCTTCACTGCTTTTGTTGGTTCCTTAGCTGATGAAGATTTCTGTTATCTGTTACTGTCATGCGAAACTGAATTTGAACTAGACTGTGAGCAGAAAAAACGTTTTCAATTTTTATGCGTCACCTATGTTTACATATTTTGCAAAACATTTTCTCTCTACTAATTGACAATGTCATCTACGTTTACAAATTTTACAAAACATATTTTCTCTCCTAATTGACAATGTGAAATACACTGTGCGTTTAAAATAACTTCTCTTTTTCATCTGTTCAAACTTGTATATTGTGTTATTTATTAATATTTTATTTGTATCACTATCTCTCCTAACAGAAGCTAAATAAAGATATATATATATATATATATATATATTACAATATCATTTAATATTCAGTTAAAAAGTTTGACCTCAAACTGGAGTTTGTAATAGTCTACAAAAATGAATATATGCTACACAGATTTATGATATATTTGAGATTAGGCCAGGTTTGAAATATTTTATCTGATGTCAGTAAAGCTGGTCCTCTTGATTTTCCGAGAGGATCCTAGAAATTTCTTTTGATGAACATTACATTTTCTTTAATCTTATTTTCAATACACTTACAGTCTCTGTTTGTATCTTGAGTAGAAATTCTGGTGCTTTGCCTTCAGTGACAATAACAGCAGTGTCCTCCCCTTTCACGGCCTCTTCTGTGCCTGTAATTGAAAACAGTTCAATCATAAAACAATTGAAGAAATCCATTCAAATCAGATCAAAAATGTAAATTCTTGATTCAATCTTAAAGCACAATTGTAGCTATTTAGGCCACTATAGAACCCTAAATTATCTAACCATTGCCACTCAGCAGTTTCTATATCAGAAACAATCTCATAACGGTATTCAACAGAAGTTACTACCGTTAAACACTAAGTATTTTCAATCTCTTTTACCTCAGTTGAAGCTTGCATTTTACTCAAAAGATTTTCCTCCCAAGACATTTGAAAAAAATGTATGCATTGCATTAATTGTTCTTTTTTCTAATAACTTAGTGGTATGTTGTATTCTGCAATCAACTTGCTTAAATTTTTAATGAACAAAAAATATAATCTAAGGAAAAAACTGAAAAGTACATGTAAGAAATTAACATTTCTTTCTATTTCTATTTATTTGAACCTAGTGAACTTTATAGAGATTGAGATTTAGAGAGATTTAAGATTATGGAATCTAAATCTCCAAAGCCCAAAAATCTAAATTCTCTGTGCACAAAGGTAACGCGTCTTAAGTCTATAGATTAACGATTTAACACCAATGTACTATACTTTTAAGGTAAAAACATAAAAACAAAAACAATAAAATGATCTCCCCTTATTCAACTCACCTGTGTTTAAATAAGCTAGAGTCAATGTTTCAATTTTCAGACTACTTATAATAGTAATATAAGTATACCCCACAGTCATTTTAGCAGACTGAACAAATATCGCACCATGCGAGAAGACACTGCAGAAATTTCCTAGAATGTCTCAATATTGCACATTTTAATTTTTTTTTAATCTACAAAGCCTAATTCACATCTTGGCTTAAAATCTTTAAATTGAATCCATTTTTTCCTTAGAATCAATATGTTAGCTTGTATTCACTTTCAAAATCCAGGATCTTTTTCCAATGAAATTCATAATTTATTCATACCCAGGGAAGTTTTCTATTTCACTACTGCTGCTGTTATAACACATTTTCTGATTAAGAATCCATCAATAAGAATAAGACACTGAAATTCCATCTTTCCATTTCATAGTTTGCTTATATTTTCAGTTTTAAGTTAATCCAGGCCATTATAAAAATTACATTGCAATTTTTTAATTATAGATTTTTTCTTCTTAATATGTTGTATAAGTAAAAAATTCCATGTTTGCAACACATGTCAAATATCAATTATTTTCTATTTATAGTAAGTACAAAAATGATCACTTCAAGTTGAAAGCTTAAAAAACCACTTTCTTCATATCAGTGTTTTGATTAACTTTACAAACAAGGCCAAAATGTCACAACTTGACATAAAAAATTAATGCACTGTTAATTTCTTTCAATCTTTAAAATCCTTTCTTTTGTTTTTCACACACTTCATTTAATAGGTCTGACATATTCACAATAATCCACATATCTATTACAATGAAATTATTTGGTTTCAGTATTTTATTTCAGAATTAAAAGTAATGTCATATAAAACCAAATCTCAGCATATCTAAAATTTATTGTCTATATTCCAAACATTAAGGTCATACATTTAGATAATTTCTATTTCCCCGTTTATCTTTTACCTTCATTAACCTTTCTGTAAAAAGCACTTTAACATCCTCCACAAAGTTTCAATTTATTTTTTATTTCTTTTGCCACTGGCTAAATAGTCGATATTTGTAAAAGTTTATAAGAATTTAAAATTACATCCAAATACATCAAATAAAAACATGAAAAAACTCCAAATCTTCCTGTTTACCTAGATCTAGCATAAATTAGTTTTTTATTCACATTAATTAATCATTTGATGGTTTTGTTCTATATCAATTAGAAGTTCACTGCCTATGATACAAATTATTGACACAAATGTCATTTTTATATCCTCATTCCATATTCATTGGTACATTTTTTCGTTTGTCACTTATAAAATGAACGTTATCCAGTGAACTAATGTTTTTACAATATGTATATCTCTATAGAATATCTACACCTGATCAAATGATCATCTTCATGTTTACACATTAATTAATAGGATCCTATAACTTCTTTAGTACAGAGATAAACACCAATCAACCTTTCTGTCAAGAATTAATGCCTCCATATGTTAATTATAAACTTTTTTGAAGATAATTCCATAATGAATTCCTCCTGTGACAGAAGCCCACAAGGAAATTATAATAATTTATCTCAATATTTTTTATGTAAAGCTGTTAACTAATTTCTTCTTCACTGAATTTTCATTAAAATTTACAAACATTTCAGTTTCAATTTTTTCACATTAGTCTCCCGTTACTTAACTAAATCATGTCTGCACTGCAAAAATATTCATGCAGAACTGCTACCTATTCCTGTTTACTAACTTCAGCCAAAACTAATTATGTGGTCACTTAATTACTTGACCACTGATAATCGGTCATTACCTCAAAAATGTATAAATCCTAAGCTGATAATATGTCTTATGAATGATAATTTTTTTATTCTGCTCATTAATCTTATGTGCTCAGTATTTTAAATGCAATTTCAAATTTCACAAAAAAATATTCAACAAGTTTGAATTTGAAACATGAAATTTAAGTTCAGATTTTAATATGTTTAAATTTTAAGATCAACTTATTGTTGTGAAATTTGTTTTGTGTCAACATATTTATATATAATTGTTTCCAATATTTATGAGTATCATGTATTTTATGTGTTACTCTTATGTAAAAAGAGACAGGATTGTATTGTCAATGGGAGATAACTCTATCTTTTTTATAATTACTTTATGATAAAGACAAACATGTCAAAAGTTTTGTTTACTTTCATGTCAACTTTAACATGGAGAATGATTAGAAATGACCCATGTTGATGAATAAAACAACAAGCAATACATTGCTTCATTATCTCTTATCACGTTTCATGAGGTATAACAGGGGGTCAGACTCTTTTGACACTCAAACCTGCTTGTTATATTAAATAACACCTCTTGAACCCAAAATGGATTAGCAATAATCTCAGACTAAATAAGTTATGCTGTTAATTCTTACTACTGGATTAAATGAGATTTTACAGCATTAACATTTAACAAGTATTTGTATGTACCTATAAATACATTACAGGCAGCAATATTTCAACTGGTGCATTTTGTGTGCCCTTCAATATTTCAATTGAATGCAGGCTGCATTTTTAAGTAAATTGCTCCGAGGACTAACATTAAAATAAACATGGTTTTTGGGATTCTATTTTCATATAAATAGAATTTACTTACTAGGAACTTTTTCTGGTGATTCTCTTGTTTCTGGTGAAATTTCTACAAAAGAATCAGAAGGTATTATTCTACCATTGTTTCATGAACAAAATTTTTGTTTTGAATTCCAATTATAATAATCATCAAATGTTTCCTTATAAGAATTATTTAAGATTGATGCAGAATAATAAAATTCAAAGAGCAAATATTTTAAAGTGAATTACAAATAAAACACTTGATTCATAAATAATAAAAACATTATAATATATTTTCTTTATATAACAAAAAAATTAGTTCACAAAAAAAGTTATGAAAGATTACAATATTTCAAAAATTATAAATGTACTGATGTTTCATACCAGATACCAGTACCCCTAGGTGAAAGTTATATAATATAGTGAGCGAAACCAACACATTACTATTTTACTAAAGGAAAAACAGGAACCACATGCCAAATTAAACTGCCTTCTTTAATTGTTTCTCTGTTAATTGAAAGTTGTCTATTTTTACTACAGAAGCTTAATGGTACTTGTATCAAATTTATTAAGTTAAAATTGATTAAAAAAAATATGACTTCTTTTTTAATCTATGGTGATAGATGTCTTAAGGTACCTTTTCATTCTTTATACCCTTTTTGCTAACAGGCACTTTTTGAATAGTATGTTAAGATATTACACCTTTTTCCATATACTTCTTTATAACTCACTCATATAAAGCCTCAAAAAGTTATACAAAACCATATATGACTAACAATAAATAATAGGGTTGAATTGCAAATTACCGGGGTTTAAAGTGTCTAATTCAATATCACTAAATACTGTTGTACATTACATGAAGCATTTTATTGAAAGGAAAAGAATAACTTCTGTCAACAAATATTTTTATAATTCAAATTTTAACTGTTACAACAAAGGCTCTGCTAGTCCGCTTACCCACGAAATTCAATACCAGCTTAGCTTTACATTATGATTTCTTTTTTTTTATAGTTTAAAGGTCAAAAATAGAAAGTGAAAATAACTCAATAATTTGTTACATGTTTAAATACTTATCAAAAAGCTCAATCTTTAAATGTATTTCCATTCAATGTATTTATTTTTTTTTGTTAATAATTGAAAAACTTTCAACACAACCTTGTATTTCATGATTACGTACTACAAGAGACACCCTTACAATCACTGAAATTACATTACCAAAAAAAATATGAATAAACTCAGATACACATCACTAATGAAATATGAAACCTAATGCTACATATCAAAATTCCTTTATCATTTTATGAATTAAAAATTGTTAATAAGAAAAATTCACATATTGGTACTCACATGCAAGATTATTTTCAAAAGTTGTTATTTTAATTTTATAAAATGACAAAATCCTGACTTTACTTGTATTTTTATATATCATATATTTGTATTTTATATGTAAAAAATCTTTCAAAGAACAAATTTCTTCCTCAAGTTTTAGCTGTACTAACTTCAGCATGCATCTGTAAATTTAATTCCACGGGTGAGTGGACACACTAAACACGCTTACTTATGATATTCATGCATTGAAACATAATTGAAACCACAAACATTCTAATCACATGCATTTAATATTATATTATATATTCAAGATAAACCCACTTCATTCACATGCAAATCACTACTTTGGTGACAAATCTCTTACATTTTGTCAAACCCTCTCCTGTAGACCCTCACACCTTTGATAATGACACATGAGTTGACCCTTCAGGTATAACATGCAGTGTCTGATGCAGGAAATGGAAGATTAGATTTTACAGGTGTGTCAATAGGTGAGATCAGGTAACTTACAGGTAAAAACTCTCAAAATATGTAGATAAAACAAAGCAGATCAAAGGATCAATCTGTCAATATAACCACTGAACCAGATAATTACAGATCAAAGATCTATTGGTTTTGTTTCAGACACACTTATGGGAACTTTAACAACAAAGACCTGTATTTATACTTTGTCAGCATGACTAGAAACCAGTAGACTTTCAATATACTATTTCCAGCATCTTACTTTTCTTTTTTTCTATATTTAAATATTTGAGGAAGTAATAGTTATTTTGTAAAAATATCCCCATAAAAATAACCAATTAAAATTCATTTGTGAAAGTGTTAATATTCAATAGAATATAAGCAGGTCTTTCTTCTCTTTCATCCTACAGTGGTTCACACATTTCAATTGTAACTGGTTTGAGATCAAAGTATTTCAAAAGACAACAAGGTACATGAATAAAATGGCCTTTTTTCTTTAGGTTCCCTAACCATATATGAAAAGTTTGGTACTAACCCTCACCTACATCCCAATTTAACCATAAAACTACTTCAAACAAATTCCTAACCTTAAGTAAAGCCTACATTAAAAAGGACTAGGACTACAAAATAAAACTGTGGTTATAAATTGACATGTAAATAGCCCATAGAAAACAGGAAGATATCATGCTTCTATGTTGTTTATAAAATGTTTGACATTGGTCTGATGTCAGGTAATCTGGAAGGGTTAGACGTTCCAGAATTCACTGTTTTGTATGTTGGTATATATAAGCTACCATCAAACCTCATAGTTTTCTCTCTGTATTCCAAAAGTTTGTAAGTTTTCTACCAAATAATGGAAACGTCCCTCACAACTAAAGACAACACAGAAACTTTATTGGTATTGCGTAGTGTTCACAAAACAGATATCCAACTTTATTGAAAATTGCTACCGCTAACATATCTCAACTTCCTTGGTCAGCCTGAACAATAATGTGTGTCCAATAAATAAACCTGATCTCATTGAAGCATGACAAGAGTAGAACCAGATCTCGTCGGAGCATGACAAGAGTAGAACCTGATCTCGTTGGAGCATGACAAGAGTTTAACTAACAAGGATTGCCTGTTTTCCTGCCAAACGTTGGTAGTTCTCTCTGGGAACTCTGACTTCCTCCTCCGAAAACTGGTCCTCATGATAGAGCCAAGCGTGCAAAGTGGTGTTAAACACCAACAATCAATCAATCAAAACTACATTAACAGGAGAAATTGAAGGAGAGTGACAACCTGTACCCACCATTGTAAAATTTCTAGGTTACTTATGTATGACAGAGAGAGAGATGGTTGGTTCAACCTGCAAGAAGCTGTATAAATTTATTTCCTGGATTACCAAACACCCATAATCACAAAGCTATCACAAACAGTTGCTGCTACAGTGTATTGCATTTACTATTAAGTAGCAATACCTAAGTCTCACACTCAATAATCTTCAATCACAACACAATGACAAGGCAAACGATAGCAAAATGCAAAACAAAACTACAACATTCAAGCTGGGTCAAAAACATTTAAACTAACATGTCACCATAACAAATTAAATCCCAAATTTCCTTCAAAATTTACAGAAAAAGTAAGCATATTCTGTCAATTTCTTCCTTTTTAAAAATTTATGCACAATTTAAAAAGCCAGATATTCCCCAGAAATTACCATTGTTTTTGTGAAAATCTTGAACTTAATTTGTTATGTTAGTTTATAATGTTAAATAAAACACAAAATATGGTGTTGTTTCAACTTATTTATTTTTAGAATATTTGTTTACATAACTAAGATCAGTTCCAACATATATATATATATTATATCTATACATATCATTTTCTTTTACACTTTCAATTCATTTATTTTTCGATCTCCAAATATTTACAACCACAATAAATATAAACTTTAGTACACGATTTACATATTAATAGAATATTTTTTAATATAAAATTTAGTCTCTAAGAGTATGGAATGATTTACTACATTAAAAAGAATTTTGTTCTGATCTTTATGCTGTGCATATTTATGAAATAAATAAAGCAATGGAATGGTAAATTTGGAATGTGATTTTAAAATCTTTATTGATAGAGAAAATGGAATAAAATTAAACAATCATACAATTTTCCTTGTTCTTTTTTTGATATTTCACCTTCTTATCTTCTTTGAAGAATAAAGAAATATATCATATGTAGAAAGACAAGAAATAATACTGCAGAGAAAAGCAGAGACAGCTTTTGAAGTTATACATAGAAGAACATAAGTTATATGAAGCTACCTAGGGGAGACAATTTGAAACATTTCCTTTCATCATAAGGATTAACTCCCCTTGATAACAAATTAAATTGAGCCTATATTTCTCTTTATTTATATTGTCATTATATCCTTTCTCTATTTCAGTCTCCTTTAAATCCTGTATACAATATTATATAAAAGTTATTTACATTTATCAGATGATGCTACTTCATAATTTTCATTTATTTTTTTATAACTTATCATATAGATATCAATTGTGATTTATTAAAAAAAAAAAATGATACATGTATTATAAAGGGACATGAAGAAAAATAATTTTACTCATATATCTTCAAATATTTTTTTTGGTTGCCATGCAACAATAACAAAAATAGCATGCACATTTTGTTCTTACGAGCACACACATTTATATCACATGCTGAAACAGAAAATTATACAAAACAACAGAAAACGGAAATGTTGTAAAAAATGGTTGTTTAATAACAAAATTAATGTTTACAAATTTTGTTGTCACAAATTGGATATCCATTATTTTGTGTTAAATTCTTTCATGACACAGTTGTTTATTATAAAATTGATAGAAATAAGTAAAAATTTGGAATAATGATGAAGTATAAAATCAATCATATGTTAACATTGTATTTGATGAAATAAAAATAACTTTAATTTTTTTTTCTTATCTAATAATTGGATATGTAAGTTTTACTAGGGAGTCTTAAATACTTGATTAGAACAAAGTACATTGTGATAAATTGCAATGGAACAATTCTGTTGTTCACTTGATACTTAAACATTTATAACAAACTTTCAATACAAAAACTTAACTTTACTAATTACAAAATATACAAAATTTGTAGAAATATTTTGATATTCTATTAACTAAGTGTATTAATTTGATCTATGTTACATATAGGACTATGAGTTATAACAATAAATGCAGATTCAAAATGAAAAAATGAGTAAAAATGAAATAATCCAGTTTTCATCAACATTGTCACATGAAAATAAACTGTTCATTGCAAACATTCAATGATAAATCCTCAAGATCTGCATACTTTTAATCACATGCGGGAAAAGATTCATGAAAAACAAATTATAGAAATGCAGTTGTTATACAAATTGTAGATATCTGTCTATGTTAATTGTTCATGAAGAGTTACTGCCCTTTAATAAATAAGCAATCCAGTCACAAAGGCTTTAAACTGTCACTTTTTATACAAATGATAAATACTTCAAATGTTGAACAGAAAATTTGTAAGGCAATTTTTCTAATGGAACAAGTGACTTTGAAAAAGTTTTGAAAACGGTCATAAAAAGGTTCCTTAAAACCCAAAAACGATGGCAAACAAGTCTTCTATTAATCAGATAATTTACATTTGCACCGACTTTGGAACTGCTAATTATTTCAAGGCAGTGTGCAGATTCACTGAAGCATTCTGGGATATATGTAATAACATAATATAACAGTTATAAAAGAATACCTTGTGTCTCAACATTTGCCGAACATATGATTTCTCCAGCAGCGTTTTCTGCACGGCAAGAGTAAACAATGTCCGAGTCCTCTAATGAAACGTCATGAATTTCCAACACTGCATGATGACCTTCTTGTTTAATATGATACTTGGCACTTTCCTCAATAACTGAATCATTGGCCAACCATGTGACTTTAGGTGTTGGTTTACCATGAACAGTACATTCAAGAACAGCAGTGTCTAAATATTGTGCACTAACATCTTTCAATGTATCAGTGAATTTTGGTGCCTCTAATTGGATGAGTACTTCAGCACTACTTGTGGCGACACCTTTGTCATTTATTGCTTTAATGGTATATTCGCCCTCATCTTCTGGAATTGTGTCTAAAATTGTTAGTTTGGCAGTCTCCTCTGTGACATCAGATCTATAAGAAATCAATTTTTAAAAATTACTACGATTCCCCAAACATTTTATATTGCTTTATGAAGAATTTTTTTGACAGAGTTTTAGAATGTGAAAATTTCATATGTAGTCATCAAAGTAACCAATAAATCTATTTTTGATCAAGAAGCATATTTCTCTCCATTGACCAAGATGTACATCACGAGTCTACTAACCAAAACACAGAACTAGTTGATCTAAATAACTCACATAAATCTGTCTCCTATGATTTCTTCTCCGTCTTTAAGCCAGGATACTCTTGGTTTTGGATGTCCTCTGATTTGGCATTCAAGGACAATTGGAGCTCCAACCTCGATCTCCTTGTCGTCGATTCTGGAGATGAATGTTGGTGCTTCACCTATTAATATAAGTGAGTATCATGTTCATTAGATATATCAGATTGCTGTATTATTTAATATGTACAATTGCAATATTCTGTGAAGCTGATAGACATAAAATTTAGCTATGCTCACAATCCTCTAAAATGCTACTAAATATTTTCCAAATCAAAGTAATATACAAGATAAGTGAATCTTAATTTTCAATGTGGTTCTATTTTCTTTAAGTTAAGACAGATAAACAACCTTCACCCAAACCTCGACAAAATAAAAATAAAGAAAACAAAAACAAAAAAAATGGTGACAGCAAACAAACAGTACATTATATAATCAATTTAACCACTAAATCGTCCCTATATAGTACTCTATATTGCTATACTGGACTGTATTTATCCCATGACCAGAATTTCATTATATAATAGTAAAAAATGTAAATTAAATTACAGTACTGTCAGAATTTTGATCATTTTCCTCTTGAAAACACACTTCTGTAAATAAATTGTAAATTCTTGCATTTTTTTGTGTATTGAAATTCTCATGCACAGTGTATTCACAAACTAAAAGATCCAAACCGTGTGTTTTGCTCACCATAAATATATATTACTGACAAAATCTGTAAAATCATTTTCCAGTGGTAGGTAGCCACACATAATAATTTTTAAACTTGCATCTCTTGTAATGATTCAGGCAAACATTAGTTTAACTTTAGATAGCTTTTTCAGAGAGGAGGATTTTTGCACTTTCCAGTAAGTAACCACAAGAAATTACCAATCAGAGGGGCTTGTGATGTATTTTATTGGATGTAAAATTTGAAAATTTTAAGATATACTCTTTCAAAAAGTTATATAAGTCATATCAATATTTTTTATTTATAGTGATGGTGGCCAAAAAGATTGCACAATTTGATTCATCAGGCACAATTTGAAAGGGAATCATTAAAAGACTTGCAAGTATCTGCAATTTCTGGTCTAAGAAAATGATAAACATTGTTGCTTTATCTCCATAATCCTTACATATACATATAACTTACAGAAGCAATGGTTCGATATAATATAAATGGGTAATAAATCTTTGAAATTAAGACATTTATAAAATGCTTCTGGCTTAAGTTTTGCTTAAATCGACCAAAGTAGATCCAGAGGGGATGACAAGTTTACCACTGATGGATGATAGCTAGACTAGGGATACCATTAGTGATGAGAAAACCTCAAAGTTGGCACTATTAACAGGTGACCGAAAAACCAACAAAATTTCCCGTATGTTTAAAATAAAATCCCTGTCAACAATCACTGTGTGCATACCAGACTGAAACTTAAGGTGAATACCAGTGTGTTCAGTGAAAATAAGTTTTACCTTTCCTTGAAGTTCCCATGTTTCTAAATACGCAAAGAATTATTAAATGTTAACAGTAGAACCACTTTTGTTAGGACAAACAGACAGATTTTTGTTAACACTACACCTGCTGTCAAGATATCCATTATCACACAAAGTTTACCTTTACACATGCATATAAACTTCTCAACAAAACATCAGATTCCAAAATCAAGATTCTTTTGTCCTGTTTTGTCCGTCATCAAATTTTGTCTTGTTATGTCCGTCATCAAAGCTTGTCCTGATTTTATCATATGAATTATTTGGTTTTACTCATATTTTCAGTATCAAAATTCTCAAAACATTGTATTTTATGTTTCCAATTAATCTCTAATTCATAGTATCTTACCAATTGGATTAACAAAGAGCTGTCCTACACTGGAAGTTGTACCAGCTTCATTGGTTGCCTTGACAGTATATTCTGCATCATCATCAGGCATAACATCTTTCAAAATTAGAGAAGCAAAGTTACCTCTGACCTCAACTTTGTAATGATCACCTGATTCAATTAGTTTACCATCTTTGTACCTGGACAATGAGAACAGAACAATTAATTATTTTGGAAGCAAATAGTACAAATTTTACAATAAATAGTTCTAAATGAAACATATTTTAAGCAAGTAAAAATATTCATCCAAATCTTCTTCAAATAGTTAATTAACTCTATGTATGTTTAAAAAATCTAATAAAATACAATTCTGATACAAGCCCTTACCATGAGATTTCTGGGAAGGGAGATCCTGCCAATTGTACAATGAAGGTCACTGTGTCACCTTCTGTCACTTCCTGGTCTGATAAATCCCTGAGGAATTGTGGGATTGTAACCTTCTCAGAAACATCAGCTGTAAATGTCTCTGTCACCTTTGAAATAAAAATAAACATATTTTTTTAAATAGTAGAAATATCATCTCAATATACAAAAGCACCTAATGTATTTTTAAAATTATTTGTTTTAAAACTTTGAATCTTTTGCTTCTGAATCAGTTTTAACAGTGCATTGAGTGTGGATTTACAAAATGCTAATAACATCTGAATGCAGTAAGGGAAAATTTGGATAAATCTACCATCAATACATTATGATGAGAGGATGGAATGTATAGTCAGGATAAAATCTAAATCCTACGGAATCGGTTAAATATTGGTAAAAGTGGAATGTAAGGGAGTCAAATTATCAATTCCAATCATGCATTACTCAAGTGTCGCAACCTATCACCATTGTGCAAGTTCATGTAAGGCCTCTTGATGCACCTTCTGGTATCTATCGTGAGCAGTAAATATTCTGTGCTTCACCTCCATCAGTGTTGCCCAAGCCAATATATAGATTTAGATGAGAGTATATTTATGAGCATGAATGTTATATAGATATATAGTCATGATGAATATAGTCATATGACAATTCTACAATATTTCTCTTGATTAGTACTTACAATAAATATGTTTGGTAGCAGGAAGTATTATACAATGAAACTTATTTAAACCAAACTTGTCATAGACAGGAATCCTTTCTAAAATGAGCTTTTCACTTATGTACCATATTCAATAAAAAAAATTACCAGTATAAACAACACATCTATCTAATCCGAACGAAAATAGTTTACCCTGAAAGCATTTGGTTTAGACAGTTTTCACTGTATATGTCTTTTCAAAAATATTATTTTACTATATTTTTCTTTTAAGATATTGTTTCTTTATTTATTTAAATGATTGAATGACTATATTTGTTGTTTGTTACATAAAGAATCTTGTTCTATGACCATATGAATTACTAACGAACAAAAACAAACTGGCAATTTCTATCTTTCCTAAAGGATCTAATTATATATATGGATCTGACCTGAAATGAGCAATATTTCATACAAGATAAAAATTTTGTTAATTTCATTGGAGGTCTATTTAGCATAGATATGTACATTTAAGCTCTAGGACGCTTTTTCACATGCTTTATCTACAACACCGAATTCCTACTCTTCAAAATCACTAACTTTATAATTTGTACAACATTCATGCTACTTGCTTGGCCATTTCTACCCTGACCTTAAATCTTTATAACATCCATGCTCCTCAATGAACCTTATTGAACCCTGACCTTTAACCTTTTTCTGTATTATTGTACCTGTGATATATCAATTGATTCCTCAATATCTTTGTCTTGGATCACAGCTCTCATGATCACTTTCTCCACAGCAATATCTTCACCTGTTGGTCCCTCAGGTTGATCGTCTACAGAGAAGCTAGCATCCTGGGAGGAATTGTAAGAGTCTTCCTCAGGAACAGTCTCAAGATAATCAATAGTGTGTGTTATAAATCCAATGTTTTCAGGTTGTTCTTGATCTTCATAAATAATCATTTCATCTGCCTCATAATCTTCATGTTCTTCAGTAATATCTTGTTTCCTTTCCTCAGATATATCTTCGTCTTCAATATCAACAGGATATTCTTCTTCCCTAACAACCCTTTCAGGGGCAGTAATTTCTTTTTCCTGAATTCTTCCTCTGTATTTCTCATCGGATAGTAAAGTAGGTTGTTCTATAACATCTGGTTTCCATGCTTGAGATATTTGTCCTCCAGTAATATCCACAGGTTGTTCTTCATAAAGAGGTTTCACAGGAGCAGTTATCTCCCCCTCCTCTGTCTTACCTATGAATTTTACATCAGAAGGAGTTGGTTTTTCTGGAATGTCAATTTGTTCAGTGATGTCTTTTGTTAGGAACTCAGGCTGTTCTTCTTCAGGTAAGATGATCTCTTCCTCAACTTCCCCATGAATTTGTTTGCCCTTTTCTTCTTCACCAAGAACAAACTCAAATTCTCTACTTGGTTTTTTAGTATCTTCTGGGATTGGGATATCGTCAAGGATAACCCTTTCAGGAGCTTTAGGTTTAAATGCCTTTGAAGAAATATCTTCTTTTTTCTGGTCCTTTTCCTTGGGAACGATATCAGGCATTAATACTTCATATCCCTTTTCTTCTATTTCTTCCTCAGATGTTGCAGAAGAAACAGTTATATCCTCCTCGATATCTTCTTCTGAAACTTCATCACTTGAAATAGATACATCTTCATCAGTTTTCGGTTTAATTTGTCTATCAGTCAGTATAGGTTTCTCCTCTTCAAATGAACTTGTAGATCCACCTGAGTAGGGTTTGACATCTTTATCATCATCAGAGGCAGTCTTGGGAAGGTCTAGAGAAGGAATTTCTTCTTTTGTTATGATAGTGAATTCCTCTTCCGTTGGTTTTTCAGGAATATTTTCCTCCGATACCATGACGTAACCTTCTTGTTGTTCTGGTATATGTTCCTCAGCAAACTTCCTCTCAGTCTCAATATCTTTTGGCTGAGTAGTCATAGGTTCTTCTATAGACATGTCGGCTGAAACAGTATAATCTTCTTCAAAGGAGGCTTCATAGCTGACATCCTCTGGGATTGACCTCTCCGATGATTCTTCCTCCTCTGTCTCAGGTTGTATTATAACCTCCTCCTTTAAAAGAGTTTGGGAAAGCTGATCAGGATAAGGTGAGGACATAAGGGTCCATGTGTAACTATGTGTAGGCGTGCGGTCAACAGGTGAGTCAAGCTGTGCAGGAAGCAGAACAAAAAAAGACAGGGTTAACAAGCGAGCATGCTCACAACAAAACAACAACATACATGCCAATTCACTTGTTTTAAACTTTGACGGTATAGAGACAATATCAGACATTTTTTTCTGTTTCCCTAAAATAACTGACTTGTTTGATTCTACTTTGATCTTTTAACTAGTCTAATTTCACTGTAAAACATTAATTGTAAACTGCAGACAGGTTATGAATTTGAGTCAGTATTGATATTCCTAATTTGCTCTTTTATAACATTTTCTTTTATTATTATGTCCCATTTATAACTTGCCAATTCAGGTTATTGATTTTCATTTCTTACTCTTAACCCTCCCCCTCCCCCTCCTCCTATTCAAATGCATATAAAAGATAAAGTTTTATAATGAAATAACTTGTATTTGAGAACTCATATGACATCACAATCATCAATGATCATTAGAATATGATAATAATTGTCAAGAAAATAATCACTGATGAAAGAAATAAGTTTTTCACATAAACTTCCAGCAAATTTGTACGCCTCTAATCAATTTCCTTTAATAACAATATTACGGTTAAAGAAATTAATCAGAAGATTCTTAGACCTCTTTTAAAACCTTCAAAATGTAACAGGAAAGTTTTCAGTTTTCAACCATGAGTAAATTTTGAAACTTATCTATAACTGATTTTACTAATCTATTTGAGTAGATTACTGAGCATCTGATCCATATTCGTCGTGATGATGGTGGTGCCATAGACTGTTATTATTGAGAAGGACTATTATTTGTATATATCAATATTCTTAAAACAATAATTGTTTCCTGTTGTATAATTTAGACTAGTGGTCTCAAAAATGCCACTATATACAAAGTGACCTTTTGTTCACCTTTAAATAATAGAAAATTGATACATTACAGATAACAGTACTTTCATAATATTATTTAGATTAGATAATCAGTGACAATCTGTATCCTGTGTGGCAAAGTAAGAAACAAATCATGTGATAAAACATTTATCTTCCTTTCTCCATTACAGAGCAAGTCAGTGATGAATTTGGTTCAATGTTAAATCTAAAGACATTTCTAGTTTAAAAATAATGATTGTTGTCATTTCAAACACAAACATTCAAGAATATTTTGAAGGAATTATAATGAATACCTTTCCCTACAGTTCAACAGTTGTCACTTGTAAACATAGCTAAAGTCAAAATGGGGTTCAAATTAGTGTAGGTCTGAAGTCCAAGACCTGTCCTTTCTATGAAGGAACCTTTGATTTTTCAATAAAAAGTAAAGGTGCAGGACCTCCCATCCTTTACATTGATGTTACATACAATAACTTTTTTTTAACAAGAATCATTAACTTGTAAATGCAAATGGTCCTGGACCTTTAAATCTTTAAAGCTAATTTGAACCCCTGAAACAAGAACAGAACAGATGTTCTACACAGTTTAACTCTCATTTTACTGTACTAAAATATAAAAAAAAACTTTAAAATTGTTCATGAATATGAAAATCTGTTATCCATTTTCATTAAACTCCTTTGATTCAAATCAAATTTGAAGGATTAGAAAAATGAGAGAAGTGCATAGTATATATGTAGGACTCAAATCTATGGTGGGTTCCAGATCTATGGCAGATTCCTAATCTATGGTAAATATGACGTCATGCCATCCCCAATCTATGGCAGATTTTTTAAAATCCTAATCTATGGCAAGTTTTGTAATTTCCAAATCTATGGCGGATTTTTGTTGTTTCCAAATCTATGGCAGATTTTGTGCAAATGTAGAGCAAGGCAGTACATATACAATCACTGACTTGTCTTAAATAAGTTGAAATGTACGACAACGGGAGCATGTCTATAAACATTTGTGAAATAAAAATTCCATAATGGTCAATCAAATCGTGATGTCAACCATAAAAAAAGTGTAGAAGTGATATACCATAATACAGAAATCGGGATTAAAATTATCTTCCTCGGAAAAATAAGCATTTCCTAATCTGTGCATAGTACCTGTTTAATCCATTAATTAAAACAACTAGAAAAATGGAAGTCTCTTTACAAACAAGAAAGCAGTTTTAAAAAAAAAAAAACAATTTAAACAGTTTGACTTTTCACATAATATTTATTTCAGCGTTAATCAATCTTTTTTAACTGGTGACGATTTAAGTCAAGGTGGTATCCTGTAATTTCATTTTCTCACTTTAAATACTTTGCCAGCCGTAGACGCTAAAATATTTACTATATCTCCATTCCCAAAATATCCATTACTAAAACAGCCTTTCTTGATCGCGGGATTCGGACGGTACAATAATTGGTGATAAAAGATCACATCTTCATTTAAACCATCGGCAAATTGTTCTACAGGGAAAGCGGAAAGTGTTTTCCTGCGTATTTTAAACACAGGACTTCAGGAAAGTTTGGAGAGCCAACAACTTTACTGTCGGCGATGACTTACATGGCGTTATTTTATTGTGAAGTTTTGTGTTACTCTTTTTCCCGGAAAATTACGTAATTCCTAAATCTGCCATAGATTTGATTTGTTTGGCGTTTGTAACGTCATATTTGCCATAGATTAGGAATCTGCCATAGATTTGGAACCCGCCATAGATTTGAGTCCTACATATATATTAAAAATCTTATCCACAAACTTAGCATCAATATCTGTAAACAACTAACCAGTTTTAGAAATTCATTCTTTCTTGAGGGAAATCAGTATTACTTTCCTTTTAATTACAAATGATTTTTGGACACAAAATAAAAAAATATATATAAATATAAAGAGATTTGTTAATCCTTGTGATGCTTTATTTGTGTAATTCATCATATCAAGAGAGAACAACATTCCCAATTCAACTTTTCAGAATATAATGCATTCTGGGTAATATTTTCAAAAGTGTACACCAAAACGTTTTATTTGCCATCAACGTCCTCAACAATGGAAATATACCAAATGACGTGATATCATTTTTGTTTTTGGGTATGAACAATAAAAATACCCAAAGTTCTTTAGATTCTGAAACGGCGAATTTGTATCCAAGAAGATGTGTTCTTGATCAACATTTTAACAAATAACAAATGTTAGCTCAACAACAGCAAAGCTTTGCCATAAAATAGAAAATATAAAAACAAAAATAATGTAGTGTCCTGAAGACAACAATAATAAATCAAAAATATCAAAACAATAATCCTTGAAATAACATGAGGCTCCTTGAGCCTATATTGCCCACTTCCCTAATGAATTATGGCCTACTATGTGCTATATTAAGACTATAAATGGTTGTCCAATTATATTTCCCTTTAATTTTGAAAATATTTTGCATTATTGTTTTAGAAGAGAAGACATATGAAACTGGCAAATAAAGTTTAGTTCGAATTGACCAAGTAGTTTCACAGAATAAAATGAAAATGTGATTTCCAATAGGATGCTATGAGAAACTTTGTGCTGCCAAGTATGTCAAATTATTAGAATTTTTGTAGTCTCAAAATTATCTTTCCAAAAAGTTTGAAATAACTTTGCAAAGTTTATTTAAACGAAAAAATGTTAGCAGTGACCAATCAGAATCAATAACTGCAGATGTCTTTCATCCATTTTGGGAAAAAGAGATATAACATAAAAAACATACACTTCTCCTCACAAAAAGCCAAATAATTTCAGAAAAGGTGCAAATATGGTGTTCATTTTAGCCTGCTAAGTGCTTATATTTCTTGAAATAAAAAAAAACTATTTCATTGTAATAAAGCATTTATATATAGATTTTAAAGATTTATTAAAATATAAATTCCCCCTCATTCCTCTCTCTATTGTAATCTCTCTTACCTCAATATCTTTTGGTTGTTCTTTCTCCTCAGATATTTGGACTGTGATCTCAGCCTCAGTTTCCTCTTTTGGTTTGATTTCAAATGAGGTAACTTCCTCTTTTTCTTCTTCTTCCTCAGGTTGGGGTGACTCAGCCTCAATAAGTTCTACAACAAAATCTTTAGTATTAATTTGGTTTACATTTCTTAAACTGAGCTTCAGAAAACATTGAATATTGATCAGATTTTCCTTATCAACCTCTTTCCCATAGAGGGTTAATGTCCTGTTTAATGTTCAAAAGAAATGAACTGTAAGCAACATACTTAAAGTATTTCTGGGTAAAGAACAGCAATGCAAATGCTGTCTTCTGCTTTGTTTGGTATTTGCCTAGAATAAGAGGCTTAAGGTTTTGTTCAAACATAATTAAACACACACATCCAAAGAAGACTGACTAAAATATTTTCTGTGCATGGATTCATCTGAGTGAAAGTTTGAGGATGTAATCAACCACTGAAGTCTTATCAAATTTCAAGAGACAAACTGTTTGTTTGTGGTAGGAAAAATGAGTGACTTACCATTAACTGTAAGTAATGCTGTAGCTTCTGTTTGGCCAGCTTCATTAATGGCCTTCACTGTGTATACACCACTGTCTTCTGGGAAAGCTTCAGAAAGTACCAGAGTACTCTCCCCTTCTTCACCAGGAATCACCTGATAGATATCATCTGTTTTGATTGGTACATTGTTGACAAACCATTGGATCTCTGGAGCTGGTTGACCTTTGGCCTTGACTGTAAATTTAGTAGATTCACCTTCCTGAATCTTCATGTCACCAATACTGACTACAAACTCTGGTGCAACAAGATCATCTGGTTGTTTCTGATGTATAAAAGGAAAATAATTTATTTGAAAGGACAAAACTGTTATTGAATCTGTGATAATATATTGAAAGGAAATTCTTTCAGCTGTTAAAGCTTAAATGACGTTAAGCCATGTAGCATCCTCTTGTTAAGTTATCTTAAAATGCTTTAAACACATAATCTTTTAAGATGAAAAGGGGAGATTTGGGGTAAACATCAATAGAACAGCAATCCCAATGACAAAAATAAACAAAAAATATCCGGAAGGCAAAATATGGTAAAATCACCAAAAATTTTCAAATTAGAAAAAACATTTTAGTACAGCACTTAGAATCATTGAGCCAACTCTGATCACAAACTGCGAAGTTGTTTCAACTTCAGTCTTTGATTTTGAATTAAGAAATGAGACATGTTTCTTAATTCTAAATGCAATTATTTTGTATCAATGGTTCTGATTGGATCACAATCAGCATATCATTCTCCATCTTCCTGTCTGTAACTAAGGGAAGCTGACATTTTGAATTCTGGAATGTAGCGACATGTAACTTCTCCACTAAGCAAAAAACTCACATTTTGCACCAGAAATCTCCTTTTTATACAATTTTATTACATTCTGAAGTAGAGAAGAAGTCAGAACACCTTGTGTTTATGTTTGACAATGGAAACATACCTATGACGTCACCTACTTACGCGAAAGTTTTGTTTGATGAAAATTTACACAGAAATAATGATGAAAATTAAATGATTTGTTTATTTTGCATTAGAATAGAGATAACTGTATTGTATTTGAAGCTTTGCGGACGTCCATCAGTAGTTTTACTGTCACAAATAAATATGCAACAGTTAAACTACCGATGGACGTTAGCAAAGTTTCAAATACAATACAGTTATCTCTTAATTATAAATGGTCATTTATCACATGGCTTACCTTTTGAAGAACATCTCTGTAGTCAACTTGTTCAGCTTCCTGTATTGTTACTGTTGTTTCAACACCTGTAACATCTTCATCAAATTTCCTAAAAACATACAAATTAAACAAATGTTCATTCTCTGGATTGAGATGATTAACATAATGATAGTTTATTAAATATATTATTCAGTGATTCCGAGGCAATAGTTCAACACAACTTTGTTTTTATGTTTCTGTAGTCATGAAGTGTTTGAAAACATTAGCAATAAATTTCAGAGTAAATAACTAACAATGCAATGTGCCTATTTTGCTTAAATCATGTTGATAAGTCAGTGTCTCATTGGCATATAGTTATGTTCTAAATTAACTTTGACAACAGTTATTCAACGAGGTTTTTAATTCACATAACTTCAGTAAGATAATATTACGGTACATGTAGAATGCATTAAAAATATGAAAATCTGGTTAAAAAAAAGACAATTCCAAGGGTGCAAACAAAAATTAAATTTTAGTTCTCATTTCATTCATATTAGATATTTGGTTTGACAATATGTTTTGAAACATTTAAACTTTAATAAATTAGGTCATTGGAATAGCGTGATTTAGGTGATCTTTTCAACTAAAAATTACAAAACTGTGTAGATTGTCTAAGATCAGGTTTCCATATTATTATCAATATTTCTCAATAAATCAACATGCACCATGCTACACTATGACTTTGTGTTAGTAACAATTATTACCTTGACTTCACAGTTGTAGATTTAAGTACTGTACGGAAATCCAACTGCTCATATGTATATTGCACACCAACTTTTGTTTTTCTAAACATGCAAGAGCAAGACAAACAAATAAAGATAGAAATGACAAAAGAGTTATGCAGGAAAACTTGCAATGAACATTTTGTTCTGAACTATGATGTCTTCAATTGTAATTTTTCTACTTGGTGTAAAATATCAACACTTACTACAAATAAAAAACAAAACATGGAACATGCCTAAATTGTATCTGCAGTTTATTTTATTTTAAAGGAATACCATGCAATGATTAATTATAATTAACAAATAATTAATGATTTTTTTCAAAAATTGTAACATACATTTTCATTCATTCAAAAATAAGTTCAAACACCATGCAAATAAAGCCAAAGATTTCCAGATTTCTTTCTTAATGACAAATAATGAGAAAAACATTTTTGAAAACATTCAAGCATTCTTTATTTGACACTGTCCCTACTTACACTTGAGATTTGAGAACATCCCTAAAGTCTAGTTGTTCAGCTTCTTGTTGTACAACTTCCACTTTCTTGATGACTTCTGGTTTTGGTGCTTCATCTACCTCTCCTGCATCCAATTCATCTTCTTCAGGAAAAACAAAGCAAAATTATTACTTAACTTTCACTAAGGATAAAATATCAATTCAGTTGTAATTTTGAAGAAAAGTCTTTTAAAATGATAAAAGCAATTGTTTAAAAAATGACAAATAACTCAATGAATTGAAAACTGAAAATTTTATATTTTCTATTTCCAAAAAGGTGACATTTACATACTATTTTCTTTGCTGCTTTATAACACAAATCTATCAAAAGAAACACCAACATTACAATATGCTTATTGTACTTTTAACCTACCAGTGATGACCTTGAGAACAGCTGAACATTCAGCTTTTCCTGCCTCATTTTCAGCTTGGACTGAGTATTTCCCAGAATCCTCTGGGAAGGCTTCAGGGAGTAGAAGAGTACTTTCACCTTCTTCACCAGGGATGACCTTGTAGATGTCATCAGATACAATGGTCTGGTCGTCATGGAACCAGGTTACTATTGGTTCAGGTTTACCTTTAACTTTGGTGACAAATTTGACCTCATCACCTTCAGGAATTTCCTGGTTTTTGATAGTCTTAACAAATTCAGGTGCTTCTGGTTTCTCAACCTGTTTTATCAGAATAAAAGAATATCAGTGAAATAACTTGTAAATTTTTTATACTCAGCCTTTTTGTATCAGTGCAGAAAACTTAGTTTAAATGCCTTCTGTCTTTACCACTCCATTTTCATTAATTCTGCTGTTATAGTGCTTTTTTATTTCTATATAGAATTTTAAATAGAATTTGTAAATCTTATTAAGATTTTTTCAATATTTCTTGGAAATAGCTTAAATTTTGTTTTCATGGGGAAGTTACATTAAGGTTGAAATCTGCAAAATCTGTGTTTGTAAATGATGAAGCAGAGAGTGAATATCTGAAATCTGATGATTAAATTCAGAAATTGTTTTGATTTTTGAAGAAAGAACAAAAATGAGAGATCAATTATTGGGATTTCAGGAAAAGCTGCTGAACAGATATATGTATCAGATATCAGAATGTGAGTTCTTGTTATTGCAATACTCAACCAATCACATTATTTGAATTAATAAAAACCTCGCAATAATTTCTGAATTTACAGCATTATACTCCTAGTATTACCTTCTTGAGAATGTCTCTGAAATCTTTCTGTTCTGCCGTTTGTTCTTCCGTTACTTCTTCCCCTGTAACATCTTCAGCAAATTTCCTGAGGTACAAATATATAAAGTAAACTTAATATTCACAGATTCCTTAAATGATGCATTCTAATCTTGACACAGAATAATGCAATAATGGAAAGGTCACTGGTTAACTGTTTTTTAAAGATAAGTTAGAACTTTCACCAGTACAACAATTTATAATTTTGAGATTAATGCCTATATAGAGAAAATTTGAAGGAGTCAAGAAATTATCCATATTTCAATGTAACAAAATATTCGTTAATTTTTTACTGCCTTTTCAATATACATGAAAAGCAGGCTATGGCAAACAGGATTTATGGAAGGAAGGTTGCCTGTCCTTTAGGTTTTTCACAGAGGAAATGGTTTAGTCCTTCATTTTCTGGAATAAAACAATCAGTTTCTAGATTATGGCTGTCTGTTTTTACATCTGGATAGTAACAAACTGGTCTTTGATCATTTAAAATTTCATTCTATCATGCAAACTGTCTTCCATGCAATGTTCTTTGGCAGGTAATGATTCAATTTCAACAGAGGAAACTTAAAAACTTACTTAGATTTGACTGTAGACTTTTGTAACAAGCTACGGAAGTCAACCTGCTCTGCTTTGATTTTGACGCCAACTTTGGTTTTCCTGCAGACACACAACATTTAATCATGCAACAACTGACTCTAATGATCCGACAGCATAAACCTCACATCTTTACTTGCAACAATTCATGCTTATGTTAATATTTTAATTCATTTTCATGCCTCTTTTTAACACTTAAAATTTTTTTTTTTTAATAGTCTAATTCAAAAAATAATTTGACATCATGCTTTTGTGTAAAATAAAAGACTTAATAATAACCTCATTCCAATATACTAATAATTAAGCTCATGCTACAAGTTTTATCAGCCCTAAAAAAATTCAAAAAAGAGCACTTATTTTCTATAAAATGTAACAAGAAACAATGCAAAATAAGAAAAGTTATCTAAATTCACTGCCTTTAGATATGTATTAGTCTGACAGAGCAGTCCTAAATATGTTCATGTTCATTGTTTCACTGTTCATTTATATGATACATTTGACTCTCATTATTTCTAATACAGATAATTAAAAACTTCTATAAATAAAAATTTGAGACATATTATCTAGTCTGTAAAAGTCAAATTTCTGATAGTTGAAAGAAATTATGACTGCTCACTTTGTATAGCAAGAATCAACTGTAACTGTATTCATTCTGATATTAATTAATGCCTTTACAGATGCCTCCTCCCTTTAATTCTTTACAGCATAAAATTGTTTTTGGCCTTCAAACCAAACACTTTTACTCTATGATTGTTTTTATAAGTTAGCAATTTTCTTCTCTTATTTTTAACTTAATCATATGTGAAATATTTTAAAATGGAATTCAAAAAGTAATTTACTCTCAATTAATGTCCAGTAAAGGGTAAACTTATAAACTTCAAGAACTTTTTTCTGGATGTTGTACATCTTGCTGTTCATTATATAACCTCAAGTCCCTTTTCAGATAATGCTTGCCACAGCGACTTATATCAGAATAAATACAGCATGTATTATAAGAACATAGAACAATTCTATTAACATGAACATATACAATTTAAGGGTTTGAAGTATGCAATGTAACTTTTTCCAGTGAATAAAAGTTACTGAATGAGATCAGTGACTAGGTACAAACTTACACTTGAGTCTGTAGTTTTTCTCTGAAGTCTGTTTGCTCTGGTCCAGAGGGTTCTGTAATAGATAAACATATTTTGAATTGTTTCACAATAAGATTGCTTTCATCTTCTTAGATTACAATATTATTGCTAATTGAGAAGGGAAAAATTGTTACAGCTTATTTACCAAGAGTTCATTGACATGTTTCCGTTTTCAATTTAGATCTTTTCATTTTCTTAAAGCCTGAAGTATACATACTTGAGGATTAATGCCACTTTGTTTATATAAGAATTTATTAGTGGTTAGTTATACTGTTTAAAAACTAGAGGCTTTAAAGAGCCTGTGTCGCTCACCTTGGTCTATGGGCATATTCAACAAAGGACATTCTCCAACATTGTAGACAAGAATAGAATTCATGACCAAAATCTATGTTTTGTTGATCATGTATTGCTGATCATTTAACCTGTTTAGTTTCTCTCTATCTTCTGTAGTTTTTGCTCAAAACACAAAAGATGGTAAAAAAACCCTCATTTAAAGGCATTCACTCCTATGAAGAGTGACAGTCTACTAACTATATCGGCAAAATTTGACTTGTTAGTAGATCTTGCCTTGCTGATCATTTTTGCGATTTAAAGTGTCTATTTATCTATTATAATTTTTATTATATAAGGCAAAACGCAAAAAAAATGGTAAAAATTGTCATTAAAGGGCAATAACTCTAATAAGAATGGTCATAGCACTTAAAAGTATTTCAAACATATTTAGCTATTATGTCACATTTCAGATAAGAAGTTTTTTTGCCTCTATTCCAATTTTTAAAACTAAAATCAAAATAGAGAAAAACAAGTGAAACTGCGAGTTACTGCTCACTGATGATACCCCCACGGCAACTGGATAATTTTAATAGTGTAAAAATATGTAAGAGTTCGGTAAACAGTAAGTTGTTGAGTGATGAATCTGAAAACGCATCACACAGTATAGCTGACTTATATAAACCCTGAAACCAAATTTCAGAAATCCTTATGATGTAGTTCCTGAGAATGATGCAACGAAAAATATTCATGGGACGGATGGACGGATTGACGGACAAACAGACAGAGGTAAAACAGTATACCCCCACTTTTTTAAAATGGGGGTATAATAATATTAAAAGACATTAGTCATTACAGACAGTTTTGGAATAGGACATTTAAACCAAAATATACTAAGTAACAAACTGTAGATATGACTAGTAAACACTTTGTACTTAAACATATACAAACACATGTATAGATCTTGATAGTCCTAAGACCAATAATATTTGACTTACTTTTGACTAGCAGTGATACAGAGACATTGGCCTCTCCATAGTCATTTTGAGCAGTCACTTTATAAGTTCCTGCATCTTCAGCCAAAACATCATTCAGCTGGATAGTGGTGTGGTACAAGTGGTCATCTTGTTTTGTCTCTATCTGTATTTTCTTGTCACTGGACAATAGAATATCATTCCTGGTCCAGTGGATCTGATAAAAATAAATCAATTTATTAAATAGACAATATTTACTTCATAAATTGTAAAAGAAATCATAACAATTAAAAGGAAATTACATAGTATATCATATTTCTACCTCAACTAAACAAACTATGTATAATGTACCTGTGGTCCTGGATTGGCTACAATTTTGGCTTCAAACATAACAGTTTGTCCAACATCAACAGTCTGGAATTTAGGTTTCTGTATAAAAGATGGAGCCAGCCATTCAGGTTCTTCTACTGTCTCTTCTGGAGCTACAAATAAATATATTTGATTAAAAATATCAAGGAACATATATTCTTGTTATCATTTATTGTAGTTTTTATAGCATTCAATTATTCAGTTGTTCATGCTAGGTACAGCGTGGAACGATAACTCCAGGAATCCTCAACCATACAATGTTTTATGGAATGTTTTTGCATATGTTGTTATGGGTTTTAAGGAATACTAAGTGGTAAAAGATATGGAATATTTTGGATACCAATGCTTAAAATAATCACAATTGGTTGTTGTTTTTTTATATCAAAGTTAAACTGTATGCTTTTGTCATATAAATTTAAATTACAAAATGTTGGTGAAGATGGTGAGTTGTTTACCTAAGACAGATAAATCACAAGTTGTCATAGCCGTTCCGACATCGTTTTTAGCCACAACTTTGTACTGTCCTGCATCTTCAGGGTAAACATCAGCAATGATTAGCGTACATTCGTCTTCTTCATAGGCTACTTTGAATTCCTCAGATGGGAAAATCATCTCCTCTCCCTTGTACCATGTGACTGATGGACGTGGAATGCCTGTGACTTTACAAACCAACTGTGCTTGGCCTCCATCTTGTGCAGAAATGTCTTGCAAATACTGGATTATTTCAGGGGCTTTAGTTATCTCTTTTTCTTCAACAGCTAAAAGCAGAATACAGTTTAACTTATCATGCATCTGGTATTGTTTTTATTTCTTTACTCCAACACTATACTTCTTATGAATTTTTTTTACAGGCATTAACTATTGAATATTCACCAACTTGAAGACTGCTCAGAAAACACAATTTTATAATTTTAAGTGTTTCCTACTTTTGTCTTTTAGGACCTATGTAATTTTGTATACAGCTTTGTCTTTATCTTGTCAATCAATGAGTGTAAAAATCTGTGGTATCAAAAGCTTTTACAAGAATGTCTAGTAATGTAATACCCCTTTGATAATGATATTTACACACCAGAGACAGTCAAGTTTTCAAAATTTAAAATGTGAGTCTTGAGACACAGTGGTAGAATCTGTTTCTCTACTGATTTAATGACAAAATCAGAGTATAATATTCAGAAAAAGATTTGGTGGTAACTCACACAGGAACCTGTTTAAATCCAGATAAGAAATATTTAACACTTACTGATAGTCACTGGAGATTCTGGTTTTTCTTCAATATGAGTGATTTCTTCTTCTATTTCTTCAGAGGAAACAGACAATGATCGTCTCTTTTCTTCATCTGAAATTATCTCTTTCTCTTCTTCTGGAAAAAATCCAAATATTTAATTCAAATGAACATAATATTTTTGTGTATTGTTGATTCAAGGTTACTTTTTAACATCCACAAGTCCTTTTCTCATGTTTACACTGAACATAAAAATAAAAGCAAGTTAAATTTCATAAAGTTTTGTTATTTGTTTTAAGCAAAAACACATATGGATAAACATGCAGCTAACAACTTTTTATACCTTACAAAATATAGAACGAACTATAAAAAAAAACTATCTGAGGTGTCACAAATCCTACCTGCAGTCAGTCTCTCCTTTTCTGACAAGGTTTCACCCAGTCTGAATTCAGCTTGTACATCCTGTCTATCTGAAACTGTTTCACTGAGTCTAAACTCAGCCTCAACATCTTCTCCTGAAATTAGAAAAAAAAAAATTAATAATTCTTTTCATTTTAAACAAAGCTTCCAAAATTTTTAAGCTAAATTAGAATATATGGGTCAAAATTTCCATCAATACACTCATTTACTAGCTATATGTAGGTGACTCTACTTTCTAAATAGGTAATCTTTCTTATGCAACATCATAAATCCTTTTAACATTTCAAAGCACTGAAATTATGTAAAATTTTATCATACTTATTTCTATAGTCAGAAATGATTCATCTATTCTACTGGATTCTTTGTAAAACATATACATTATGGCAATAATGTTTAACTGCAAACAATTTAATTAAGCTTCAACATTCCTTCCAACTATGCATTCAGCAGATTGATATAACATTAACCCTTTCTCAGGACAAACTGGCAAAGCATACTTTTGCTGAATGATAAACATTTCTGATTTTAATGACTAATTTTTTTTTTGTATAACCTAACTTAAACTGGCACACCATGCTACAACTTACCAATGAAAGGTTACTTTTTCTTTCACTTACATTTTTCAAGCAATATTTTCATAGAACAATACTGCATTGAAAAAGGACAGAAACATTCATGCTTAAATTACATGCACCTTCCCACCTTGTTTTCTAAAACCATCAAATCCCTTTTCCAAATTGATCAAATTTTATCCATCATAAAAATAAAGAATTAAGAAAAGAGATTTTTTTTTCTAAATTTTAGTTGTTAATGAAGATATAAAAATATTGCTCCAAAATGTTGCCAAAAATAGAGTGAAAGCTGTGCATTAGCATATGGTCAGTATTTAGCAAACACAGCTTGAAAAAAATGTCAGTTACACTTGACTATCAAAAACTTATCAGCATTCAGTATAGGAAACAATATTTGAAATGTTCATGTGAAATAAAATTTTGTGAAATGCTGACAAATCCAAACAGGCAAGTGCTTTGACTGAAATTTGTTTGATACCTGTAACAAATTCTTGCTTCATTTCAGGAAGGGTAGAAACCTCCAATGGAGAGATTTCAGTGTCAGAAATATCACTTAGCATTTTATCTTGATCAACCATATCACTAGGTATTAACACCCTCTGATTATCTCTTTCATCAGATTCTATACCTCCAGCTTCTTCAGTTTCAACTTCAACTTCTGAAACTTCCTTTTCAGGAATGATTTCAGGCATATAACCTTTTTCTGCTCTTACAGAATCTGTGCTTTCTTCTTCTGTTTTTATAACAGTTTCAACTTCTAACTCAGTAATTTCAGGTTTCTCTCTGTCCTGATCTATTTCAGTTATCTCTGGTGTTTCTTTTTCTGAGATAACTTCAGAAACTTCTGTTGTCTCAGCCTCTAAGATGACTTCTGTCTCCTCAGGTTTTTCAATCCTAGTTTCAATAGTAAATTCTGAAACGTTTGGTTTCTCTTTTTCTATAGTGATCGTGGTTATGTCTGGTTTTTCTTCAGTTACAATTTCAGTAACTACAGTTTCTTCTGATTTGAAAGTAACTTCAGCTTCCTCAGGTTTTTCTACCTCAGTTTCAATGGTGATTTCTGAAGCTCCTGGTTTCTCCTTTTCGACAGTGATCTCAGTGATTTCTGGTTTTTCTTCAGTCACAATTTCAGTAACTACAGTTTCTTCTGACTCAACAGTAACTTCATCTTCCTCAGGTTTTTCTACCTCAGTTTCAATGGTGATTTCTGAAGCTCCTGGTTTATCCTTTTCTACTAAGATCTTGGAGATTTCTGGTTTTTCTTCAGTCACAATTTCAGTAACTACAGTTTCTTCTGACTTGAAAGTAACTTCATCTTCCTCAGGTTTTTCTACCTTAGTTTCAATAGTGATTTCTGAAAGTCCTGGTTTATCCTTTTCTACTACGATCTTAGAGATTTCTGGTTTTTCTTCAGTCACAATTTCTGTTACTTCAGTTTCTTCTGACTCAACAGTAACTTCATCTTCCTCAGGTTTTTCTACCTTAGTTTCAATAGTAATTTCTGAAAGTCCTGATTTATCCTTTTCTACTAAGATCTTGGAGATTTCTGGTTTTTCTTCAGTCACAATTTCAGTAACTACAGTTTCTTCTGACTTGAAAGTAACTTCATCTTCCTCAGGTTTTTCTACCTTAGTTTCAATAGTGATTTCTGAAAGTCCTGGTTTATCCTTTTTTACTAGGATCTTGGAGATTTCTGGTTTTTCTTCAGTCACAATTTCTGTTACTTCAGTTTCTTCTGACTCAACAGTAACTTCATCTTCCTCAGGTTTTTCTACCTTTTTTTCAATAGTAATTTCTGAAACTCCTGGTTTCTCCTTTTCTACAGTTATCTTGGTGATTTCTGGTTTCTCTTCAGTAATGACTTCAGAAACTATAGCTTTTTCAGCCTCAACACTAACTTCTGAAACTTCCTTTTCAGGAATGATTTCAGGCATATAACCTTTTTCTGCTCTTACAGAATCTGTGCTTTCTTCTTCTGTTTTTATAACAGTTTCAACTTCTAACTCAGTAATTTCAGGTTTCTCTCTGTCCTGATCTATTTCAGTTATCTCTGGTGTTTCTTTTTCTGAGATAACTTCAGAAACTTCTGTTGTCTCAGCCTCTAAGATGACTTCTGTCTCCTCAGGTTTTTCAATCCTAGTTTCAATAGTAAATTCTGAAACGTCTAGTTTCTCTTTTTCTATAGTGATCGTGGTTATGTCTGGTTTTTCTTCAGTCACAATTTCAGTAACTACAGTTTCTTCTGACTCAACAGTAACTTCATCTTCTTCAGGTTTTTCTACCTTAGTTTCAATGGTGATTTCTGAAACTCCTGGTTTATCCTTTTCTACTAAGATCTTGGAGATTTCTAGTTTTTTTTCAGTCACAATTTCAGTAACTACAGTTTCTTCTGACTTTAAAGTAACTTCTTCTTCCTCAGGTTTTTCTACCTTAGTTTCAATGGTTATTTCTGAAACTCCTGGTTTCTCCTTTTCTACAGAGATCTCAGTGATTTCTGGTTTTTCTTCAGTCACAATTTCTGTTACTTCAGTTTCTTCTGACTTGAAAATAACTTCATCTTCCTCAGGTTTTTCTACCTTAGTTTCAATGATGATTTCTGAAACTCCTGGTTTCTCCTTTTCTACAGTGATCTTAGAGATTTCTGGTTTTTCTTCAGTCACAATTTCTGTTACTTCAGTTTCTTCTGACTGAACAGTAACTTCATCTTCCTCAGGTTTTTCTACCTTTGTTTCAATAGTAATTTCTGAAACTCCTGGTTTCTCCTTTTCTACAGTTATCTTGGTGATTTCTGGTTTCTCTTCAGTAATGACTTCAGAAACTATAGCTTTTTCAGCCTCAACACTAACTTCTGAAACTTCCTTTTCAGGAATGATTTCAGGCATATAACCTTTTTCTGCTCTTACAGAATCTGTGCTTTCTTCTTCTGTTTTTATAACAGTTTCAACTTCTAACTCAGTAATTTCAGGTTTCTCTCTGTCCTGATCTATTTCAGTTATCTCTGGTGTTTCTTTCTCTGAGATAACTTCAGAAACTTCTGTTGTCTCAGCCTCTAAGATGACTTCTGTCTCCTCAGGTTTTTCAATCCTAGTTTCAATAGTAAATTCTGAAACGTTTGGTTTCTCTTTTTCTATAGTGATCGTGGTTATGTCTGGTTTTTCTTCAGTTACAATTTCAGTAACTACAGTTTCTTCTGATTTGAAAGTAACTTCAGCTTCCTCAGGTTTTTCTACCTCAGTTTCAATGGTGATTTCTGAAGCTCCTGGTTTCTCCTTTTCGACAGTGATCTCAGTGATTTCTGGTTTTTCTTCAGTCACAATTTCAGTAACTACAGTTTCTTCTGACCCAACAGTAACTTCATCTTCCTCAGGTTTCTCTACCTCAGTTTCAATGGTGATTTCTGAAGCTCCTGGTTTATCCTTTTCTACTAAGATCTTGGAGATTTCTGGTTTTTCTTCAGTCACAATTTCAGTAACTACAGTTTCTTCTGACTTGAAAGTAACTTCATCTTCCTCAGGTTTTTCTACCTTAGTTTCAATAGTGATTTCTGAAAGTCCTGGTTTATCCTTTTCTACTACGATCTTAGAGATTTCTGGTTTTTCTTCAGTCACAATTTCTGTTACTTCAGTTTCTTCTGACTTGAAAATAACTTCATCTTCCTCAGGTTTTTCTACCTTAGTTTCAATAGTGATTTCTGAAAGTCCTGGTTTATCCTTTTCTACTACGATCTTAGAGATTTCTGGTTTTTCTTCAGTCACAATTTCTGTTACTTCAGTTTCTTCTGACTTGAAAATAACTTCATCTTCCTCAGGTTTTTCTACCTTAGTTTCAATGGTGATTTCTGAAACTCCTGGTTTCTCCTTTTCTACAGTGATCTTAGAGATTTCTGGTTTTTCTTCAGTCACAATTTCTGTTACTTCAGTTTCTTCTGACTGAACAGTAACTTCATCTTCCTCAGGTTTTTCTACCTTTGTTTCAATAGTAATTTCTGAAACTCCTGGTTTCTCCTTTTCTACAGTTATCTTGGTGATTTCTGGTTTCTCTTCAGTAATGACTTCAGAAACTATAGCTTTTTCAGCCTCAACACTAACTTCTGAAACTTCCTTTTCAGGAATGATTTCAGGCATATAACCTTTTTCTGCTCTTACAGAATCTGTGCTTTCTTCTTCTGTTTTTATAACAGTTTCAACTTCTAACTCAGTAATTTCAGGTTTCTCTCTGTCCTGATCTATTTCAGTTATCTCTGGTGTTTCTTTTTCTGAGATAACTTCAGAAACTTCTGTTGTCTCAGCCTCCAAGATGACTTCTGTCTCCTCAGGTTTTTCAATCCTAGTTTCAATAGTAAATTCTGAAAGGTTTGGTTTCTCTTTTTCTATAGTGATCGTGGTTATGTCTGGTTTTTCTTCAGTTACAATTTCAGTAACTACAGTTTCTTCTGATTTGAAAGTAACTTCAGCTTCCTCAGGTTTTTCTACCTCAGTTTCAATGGTGATTTCTGAAGCTCCTGGTTTCTCCTTTTCTACAGTGATCTCAGTGATTTCTGGTTTTTCTTCAGTCACATTTTCATTAACTACAGTTTCTTCTGACTCAACAGTAACTTCATCTTCCTCAGGTTTTTCTACCTTAGTTTCAATGGTGATTTCTGAAACTCCTGGTTTATCCTTTTCTACTAAGATCTTGGAGATTTCTGGTTTTTCTTCAGTCACAATTTCAGTAACTACAGTTTCTTCTGACTTGAAAGTAACTTCATCTTCCTCAGGTTTTTCTACCTTAGTTTCAATAGTGATTTCTGAAAGTCCTGGTTTATCCTTTTCTACTACGATCTTAGAGATTTCTGGTTTTTCTTCAGTCACAATTTCTGTTACTTCAGTTTCTTCTGACTCAACAGTAACTTCATCTTCCTCAGGTTTTTCTACCTTAGTTTCAATGGTGATTTCTGAAACTCCTGGTTTATCCTTTTCTACTAAGATCTTGGAGATTTCTGGTTTTTCTTCAGTCACAATTTCAGTTACTACAGTTTCTTCTGACTTGAAAGTAACTTCATCTTCCTCAGGTTTTTCTACCTTAGTTTCAATGGTTATTTCTGAAACTCCTGGTTTCTCCTTTTCTACAGAGATCTCAGTGATTTCTGGTTTTTCTTCAGTCACAATTTCTGTTACTTCAGTTTCTTCTGACTTGAAAATAACTTCATCTTCCTCAGGTTTTTCTACCTTAGTTTCAATGGTGATTTCTGAAACTCCTGGTTTCTCCTTTTCTACAGTGATCTTAGAGATTTCTGGTTTTTCTTCAGTCACAATTTCTGTTACTTCAGTTTCTTCTGACTGAACAGTAACTTCATCTTCCTCAGGTTTTTCTACCTTTGTTTCAATAGTAATTTCTGAAACTCCTGGTTTCTCCTTTTCTACAGTTATCTTGGTGATTTCTGGTTTCTCTTCAGTAATGACTTCAGAAACTATAGCTTTTTCAGCCTCAACACTAACTTCTGAAACTTCCTTTTCAGGAATGATTTCAGGCATATAACCTTTTTCTGCTCTTACAGAATCTGTGCTTTCTTCTTCTGTTTTTATAACAGTTTCAACTTCTAACTCAGTAATTTCAGGTTTCTCTCTGTCCTGATCTATTTCAGTTATCTCTGGTGTTTCTTTTTCTGAGATAACTTCAGAAACTTCTGTTGTCTCAGCCTCCAAGATGACTTCTGTCTCCTCAGGTTTTTCAATCCTAGTTTCAATAGTAAATTCTGAAAGGTTTGGTTTCTCTTTTTCTATAGTGATCGTGGTTATGTCTGGTTTTTCTTCAGTTACAATTTCAGTAACTACAGTTTCTTCTGATTTGAAAGTAACTTCAGCTTCCTCAGGTTTTTCTACCTCAGTTTCAATGGTGATTTCTGAAGCTCCTGGTTTCTCCTTTTCTACAGTGATCTCAGTGATTTCTGGTTTTTCTTCAGTCACATTTTCATTAACTACAGTTTCTTCTGACTCAACAGTAACTTCATCTTCCTCAGGTTTTTCTACCTTAGTTTCAATGGTGATTTCTGAAACTCCTGGTTTATCCTTTTCTACTAAGATCTTGGAGATTTCTGGTTTTTCTTCAGTCACAATTTCAGTAACTACAGTTTCTTCTGACTTGAAAGTAACTTCATCTTCCTCAGGTTTTTCTACCTTAGTTTCAATAGTGATTTCTGAAAGTCCTGGTTTATCCTTTTCTACTACGATCTTAGAGATTTCTGGTTTTTCTTCAGTCACAATTTCTGTTACTTCAGTTTCTTCTGACTCAACAGTAACTTCATCTTCCTCAGGTTTTTCTACCTTAGTTTCAATGGTGATTTCTGAAACTCCTGGTTTATCCTTTTCTACTAAGATCTTGGAGATTTCTGGTTTTTCTTCAGTCACAATTTCAGTTACTACAGTTTCTTCTGACTTGAAAGTAACTTCATCTTCCTCAGGTTTTTCTACCTTAGTTTCAATGGTTATTTCTGAAACTCCTGGTTTCTCCTTTTCTACAGAGATCTCAGTGATTTCTGGTTTTTCTTCAGTCACAATTTCTGTTACTTCAGTTTCTTCTGACTTGAAAATAACTTCATCTTCCTCAGGTTTTTCTACCTTAGTTTCAATGGTGATTTCTGAAACTCCTGGTTTCTCCTTTTCTACTACAATCTTAGAGATTTCTGGTTTTTCTTCAGTCACAATTTCTGTTACTTCAGTTTCTTCTGACTGAACAGTAACTTCATCTTCCTCAGGTTTTTCTACCTTTGTTTCAATAGTAATTTCTGAAACTCCTGGTTTCTCCTTTTCTACAGTTATCTTAGTGATTTCTGGTTTCTCTTCAGTAATGACTTCAGAAACTATAGCTTTTTCAGCCTCAACACTAACTTCTGAAACTTCCTTTTCAGGAATGATTTCAGGCATATAACCTTTTTCTGCTCTTACAGAATCTGTGCTTTCTTCTTCTGTTTTTATAACAGTTTCAACTTCTAACTCAGTAATATCAGGTTTCTCTCTGTCCTGATCTATTTCAATTATCTCTGGTGTTTCTTTTTCTGAGATAACTTCAGAAACTTCTATTGTCTCAGCCTCTAAGATGACTTCTGTCTCCTCAGGTTTTTCAATCCTAGTTTCAATAGTAAATTCTGAAACGTCTGGTTTCTCTTTTTCTATAGTGATCGTGGTTATGTCTGGTTTTTCTTCAGTCACAATTTCAGTTACTTCAGTTTCTTCTGACTCAACAGTAACTTCATCTTCTTCAGGTTTTTCTACCTTAGTTTCAATGGTGATTTCTGAAACTCCTGGTTTATCCTTTTCTACTAAGATCTTGGAGATTTTTGGTTTTTCTTCAGTCACAATTTCAGTAACTACAGTTTCTTCTGACTTGAAAGTAACTTCATCTTCCTCAGGTTTTTCTACCTTAGTTTCAATGGTTATTTCTGAAACTCCTGGTTTCTCCTTTTCTACAGTGATCTCAGTGATATCTGGTATTTCTTCAGTCACAATTTCTGTAACTTCAGTTTCTTCTGACTCAACAGTAACTTCATCTTCCTCAGGTTTTTCTACATTAGTTTCAATCCTGATTTCTAAAAGTCCTGGTTTCTCCTTTTCTACTGTGATCTTAGAGATTTCTGGTTTTTCTTCAGTCACAATTTCAGTAACTACAGTTTCTTCTGACTTGAAAGTAACTTCATCTTCCTCAGGTTTTTCTACCTTAGTTTCAATGGTAATTTCTGAAACTCCTGGTTTCTCCTTTTCTACAGTGATCTCAGTGATTTCTGGTTTTTCTTCAGTCACAGTGTCTGTTACTTCAGTTTCTTCTGACTTGAAAATAACTTCATCTTCCTCAGGTTTTTCTACCTTAGTTTCAATGGTAATTTCTGAAACTCCTGGTTTCTCCTTTTCTACAGTGATCTCAGTGATTTCTGGTTTTTCTTCAGTCACAGTGTCTGTTACCTCAGTTTCTTCTGACTTGAAAATAACTTCATCTTCCTCAGGTTTTTCTACCTTAGTTTCAATTGTGATTTCTGAAACTCCTGGTTTCTCCTTTTCTACAGTTATCTTAGTGATTTCTGGTTTCTCTTCAGTAATGACTTCAGAAACTATAGCTTTTTCAGCCTCAACACTAACTTCTGAAACTTCCTTTTCAGGAATGATTTCAGGCATATAACCTTTTTCTGCTCTTACAGAATCTGTGCTTTCTTCTTCTGTTTTTATAACAGTTTCAACTTCTAACTCAGTAATTTCAGGTTTCTCTCTGTCCTGATCTATTTCAGTTATCTCTGGTGTTTCTTTTTCTGAGATAACTTCAGAAACTTCTGTTGTCTCAGCCTCTAAGATGACTTCTGTCTCCTCAGGTTTTTCAATCCTAGTTTCAATAGTAAATTCTGAAACGTCTGGTTTCTCTTTTTCTATAGTGATCGTGGTTATGTCTGGTTTTTCTTCAGTCACAATTTCAGTAACTACAGTTTCTTCTGACTTGAAAGTAACTTCAGCTTCCTCAGGTTTCTCTACCTCAGTTTCAATGGTGATTTCTGAAGCTCCTGGTTTCTCCTTTTCTACAGTGATCTCAGTGATTTTTGGTTTTTCTTCAGTCACAATTTCTGTAACTTCAGTTTCTTCTGACTCAACAGTAACTTCATCTTCCTCAGGTTTTTCTACCTTAGTTTCAATAGTGATTTCTGAAACTCCTGGTTTATCCTTTTCTTCTAAGATCTTGGAGATTTCTGGTTTTTCTTCAGTCACAATTTCAGTAACTACAGTTTCTTCTGACTTGAAAGTAACTTCATCTTCCTCAGGTTTTTCTACCTTAGTTTCAATGGTTATTTCTGAAACTCCTGGTTTCTCCTTTTCTACAGTTATCTTGGTGATTTCTGGTTTCTCTTCAGTAATGACTTCAGAAACTATAGCTTTTTCAGCCTCATCACTAACTTCTGAAACTTCCTTTTCAGGAATGATTTCAGGCATATAACCTTTTTCTGCTCTTACAGAATCTGTGCTTTCTTCTTCTGTTTTTATAACAGTTTCAACTTCTAACTCAGTAATTTCAGGTTTCTCTCTGTCCTGATTTATTTCAGTTATCTCTGATGTTTCTTTTTCTGAGATAACTTCAGAAACTTCTGTTGTCTCAGCCTCTAAGATGACTTCTGTCTCCTCAGGTTTTTCAATCCTAGTTTCAATAGTAAATTCTGAAACGTCTGGTTTCTCTTTTTCTATAGTGATCGTGGTTATGTCTGGTTTTTCTTCAGTCACAATTTCAGTAACTACAGTTTCTTCTGACTTGAAAGTAACTTCAGCTTCCTCAGGTTTCTCTACCTCAGTTTCAATGGTGATTTCTGAAGCTCCTGGTTTCTCCTTTTCTACAGTGATCTCAGTGATTTTTGGTTTTTCTTCAGTCACAATTTCTGTAACTTCAGTTTCTTCTGACTCAACAGTAACTTCATCTTCCTCAGGTTTTTCTACCTTAGTTTCAATAGTGATTTCTGAAAGTCCTGGTTTATCCTTTTCTACTACAATCTTAGAGATTTCTGGTTTTTCTTCAGTCACAATTTCTGTTACTTCAGTTTCTTCTGACTGAACAGTAACTTCATCTTCCTCAGGTTTTTCTACCTTTGTTTCAATAGTAATTTCTGAAAGTCCTGGTTTATCCTTTTCTACTAAGATCATGGAGATTTCTGGTTTTTCTTCAGTCACAATTTCAGTTACTACAGTTTCTTCTGACTTGAAAGTGACTTCATCTTCCTCAGGTTTTTCTACCTTAGTTTCAATGGTTATTTCTGAAACTCCTGGTTTCTCCTTTTCTACAGAGATCTCAGTGATTTCTGGTTTTTCTTCAGTCACAATTTCTGTTACTTCAGTTTCTTCTGACTTGAAAATAACTTCATCTTCCTCAGGTTTTTCTACCTTAGTTTCAATGGTGATTTCTGAAACTCCTGGTTTCTCCTTTTCTACATTGATCTTAGAGATTTCTGGTTTTTCTTCAGTCACAATTTCTGTTACTTCAGTTTCTTCTGACTCAACAGTAACTTCATCTTCCTCAGGTTTTTCTACCTTTGTTTCAATAGTAATTTCTGAAAGTCCTGGTTTATCGTTTTCTACTAAGATCTTGGAGATTTCTGGTTTTTCTTCAGTCACAATTTCAGTTACTACAGTTTCTTCTGACTTGAAAGTAACTTCATCTTCCTCAGGTTTTTCTACCTTAGTTTCAATGGTTATTTCTGAAACTCCTGGTTTCTCCTTTTCTACAGAGATCCCATTGATTTCTGGTTTTTCTTCAGTCACAATTTCTGTTACTTCAGTTTCTTCTGACTTGAAAATAACTTCATCTTCCTCAGGTTTTTCTACATTAGTTTCAATCCTGATTTCTAAAAGTCCTGGTTTCTCCTTTTTTACTGTGATCTTAGAGATTTCTGGTTTTTCTTCAGTCACAATTTCAGTAACTACAGTTTCTTCTGACTTGAAAGTAACTTCATCTTCCTCAGGTTTTTCTACCTTAGTTTCAATGGTAATTTCTGAAACTCCTGGTTTCTCCTTTTCTACAGTGATCTCGGTGATTTCTGGTTTTTCTTCAGTCACAATGTCTGTTACTTCAGTTTCTTCTGACTTGAAAATAACTTCATCTTCCTCAGGTTTTTCTACCTTAGTTTCAATTGTGATTTCTGAAACTCCTTGTTTCTCCTTTTCTACAGTTATCTTGGTGATTTCTGGTTTCTCTTCAGTAATGACTTCAGAAACTATAGCTTTTTCAGCCTCATCACTAACTTCTGAAACTTCCTTTTCAGGAATGATTTCAGGCATATAACCTTTTTCTGCTCTTACAGAATCTGTGCTTTCTTCTTCTGTTTTTATAACAGTTTCAACTTCTAACTCAGTAATTTCAGGTTTCTCTCTGTCCTGATTTATTTCAGTTATCTCTGATGTTTCTTTTTCTGAGATAACTTCAGAAACTTCTGTTGTCTCAGCCTCTAAGATGACTTCTGTCTCCTCAGGTTTTTCAATCCTAGTTTCAATAGTAAATTCTGAAACGTCTGGTTTCTCTTTTTCTATAGTGATCGTGGTTATGTCTGGTTTTTCTTCAGTCACAATTTCAGTAACTACAGTTTCTTCTGACTTGAAAATAACTTCAGCTTCCTCAGGTTTTTCTACCTCAGTTTCAATGGTGATTTCTGAAGCTCCTGGTTTCTCCTTTTCTACAGTGATCTCAGTGATTTTTGGTTTTTCTTCAGTCACAATTTCTGTAACTTCAGTTTCTTCTGACTCAACAGTAACTTCATCTTCCTCAGGTTTTTCTACCTTAGTTTCAATAGTGATTTCTGAAAGTCCTGGTTTATCCTTTTCTACTACAATCTTAGAGATTTCTGGTTTTCCTTCAGTCACAATTTCTGTTACTTCAGTTTCTTCTGACTGAACAGTAACTTCATCTTCCTCAGGTTTTTCTACCTTTGTTTCAATAGTAATTTCTGAAAGTCCTGGTTTATCGTTTTCTACTAAGATCTTGGAGATTTCTGGTTTTTCTTCAGTCACAATTTCAGTTACTACAGTTTCTTCTGACTTGAAAGTAACTTCATCTTCCTCAGGTTTTTCTACCTTAGTTTCAATGGTTATTTCTGAAACTCCTGGTTTCTCCTTTTCTACAGAGATCTCAGTGATTTCTGGTTTTTCTTCAGTAACAATTTCTGTTACTTCAGTTTCTTCTGACTTGAAAATAACTTCATCTTCCTCAGGTTTTTCTACCTTAGTTTCAATGGTGATTTCTGAAACTCCTGGTTTATCCTTTTCTACTAAGATCTTGGAGATTTCTGGTTTTTCTTCAGTCACAATTTCAGTTACTACAGTTTCTTCTGACTTGAAAGTAACTTCATCTTCCTCAGGTTTTTCTACCTTAGTTTCAATGGTGATTTCTGAAACTCCTGGTTTCTCCTTTTCTACAGTGATCTTAGAGATTTCTGGTTTTTCTTCAGTTACAATTTCTGAGACTGTAGTTTCTTCTGCATGAACAGAAATTTCAGCTTCCTCAGATTTTTCTACCTCAGTTTCAATGGTGATTTCTGAAACTCCTGGTTTCTCCTTTTCTACAGTAATCTTGATGATTTGAGCTTTCTCTTCAGTCATAATTTCAGAAACAACAGTTTCTTCTGCCTCAAGAGTAAATTCAGCTACCTCAGGTTTTTCAACCTTAGTTTCAATAGTGATTTCTGAAAGTCCTGGTTTATCCTTTTCTACTGAGATCTTAGAGATTTCTGGTTTTTCGTCAGTCACAATTTCAGTAACTACAGTTTCTTCTGATTTGAAAGTAACTTCATCTTCCTCAGGTTTTTCTACCTTAGTTTCAATGGTGATTTCTGAAACTCCTGGTTTCTCCTTTTCTACAGTGATCTCAGTGATATCTGGTTTTTCTTCAATCACAATTTCAGTAACTACAGTTTCTTCTGATTTGAAAGTAACTTCATCTTCCTCAGGTTTTTCTACCTTAGTTTCAATGGTGATTTCTGAAACTCCTGGTTTCTCCTTTTCTACAGTGATCTTAGTGATTTCTGGTTTTTCTTCAGTCACAATTTCTGTTACTTCAGTTTCTTCTGACTCAAAAGTAACATCATCTTCCTCAGGTTTTTCTTCCTTAGTTTCAGTAGTGATTTCTGAAACTATTGGTTTCTCCAATTCTACAGTGATCTCAGTGATATCTGGTACTTCTTCAGTCACAATTTCTGTAACTTCAGTTTCTTCTGACTCAACAGTAACTTCATCTTCCTCAGGTTTTTCTACCTTAGTTTCAATCATGATTTCTGAAACTCCTTGTTTCCCCTTTTCTACAGTGATCTTAGTGATTTCAGGTTTTTCTTCAGTCACAATTTCTGAGACTGTAGTTTCTTCTGCTAGGACAGAAATTTCAGTTTCCTCAGATTTTTCTACCTTAGTTTCAATGGTGATTTCTGAAACTCCTGGTTTCTCCTTTTCTACAGTCATCTTGGTGATTTCGAGTTTTTCTTCAGTCATTATTTCTGAAACAACAGTTTCTTCTGCCTCAAGAGTAAATTCAGCTTCCCCAGGTTTCTCAACCCTTGTTTCTATGACAATTTGTGATACTCCTGGTTTCTCCTTTTCTACAGTAATCTTGGTGATTTCTGGTTTCTCTTCAGTAATGACTTCAGAAACTATAGCTTTTTCAGCCTCATCACTAACTTCTGAAACTTCCTTTTCAGGAATGATTTCAGGCATATAACATTTTTCTGCTCTTACAGAATCTGTGCTTTCTTCTTCTGTTTTTATAACAGTTTCAACTTCTAACTCAGTAATTTCAGGTTTCTCTCTGTCCTGATCTATTTCAGTTATCTCTGGTGTTTCTTTTTCTGAGATAACTTCAGAAACTTCTGTTGTCTCAGCCTCTAAGATGACTTCTGTCTCCTCAGGTTTTTCAATCTTAGTTTCAATAGTAAATTCTGAAATGTCTGGTTTCTCCTTTTCTACAGTGATCCTTGTGATTTCTGGTTTTTCTTCAGTCACAATTTCTGTTACTTCAGTTTCTTCTGACTCAACAGTAACTTCATCTTCCTCAGGTTTTTCTACCTTGGTTTCAATCGTGATTTCTGAAAGTCCTGGTTTCTCCTTTTCTACAGTGATCTTAGTGAATTCTGGTTTTTCTTCAGTTACAATTTCTGAGACTTTAGTTTCTTCGGCAAGGATAGAAATTTCAGCTTCCTCTGAATTTTCTTCAACTGTCTTGCTAGGTTTTTCTTCTGGTTGTTCAACAATTATGTCTTCTTTTTCCTCTGATTTTTCAGTTATTTCAAGTGTTTCTGTCTCAGTGACAGTCAACTCACCCTTAGGTTTAACAAGTTCAAATTCTTCTACAGTTTCTGTATCTTGTTTAATCAGAGTTTTACTAACTTTTTCTTTTGTTATTGTTTCTCTTTCAATAATAATTATCTCTTGAGAAGGAGCCATCATCTCAGCTTCCCTCTCAATTGGTTTTTCTTCTGGTTGTTCAACAATAACTTCTTCTGTTTCCTCTGGTTTCTCACTGATTTCAAGTGTTTCTCTCTCAGTGGCAAAACCGTCTTCCTCAGGTCCAACAATTTCAACCTCTTCTACAGTTTCAGTTGTAGTTTCTGTAAATTTTGTCACCATTTTGGTTATTGTTTTGTCAACAGTAATATCTAGTTTGACCTCTTCAAAGTCTGGTTTCTTTTCAATTTCTATTGATTCCTTGAATATTTCTTCAGGGGCCTCTTCTTCTGGTTTTAGTTCTATATCTGTACTGAATTTTTCTTCAGGTGTCTCTTCAACCTTCTCGATTGGTTTTTCTTCTGATTGTTCAACAATAACTTCTTCTGTTTTCTCTGGTTTCTCACTGATTTCAAGTGTTTCTCTCTCAGTGACAATGACCTCTTCCTCAGGTCCAACAATTTCAACCTCTTCTACAGTTTCAGTTGTAGTTTCTGTAACCTTTGTCACAGTTTCGGTTATTGTTTTGTCAACAGTGATATCTAGTTTGACCTCTTCAAAGTATGGTTTCTTTTCAATTTCTATTGATTCCTTGAATATTTTTTCACGGGCCTCTTCTTCCGGTTTTTCTTCTATTTCTGTTCTGAATTTTTCTTCAGGTGTCTCTTCAACCTTCTCGATTGGTTTTTCTTCTGGTTGTTCAACAATTACTTCTTCTGTTTCCTCTGGTTTCTCACTGATTTCAAGTGTTTCTCTCTCAGTGACAATGACCTCTTCCTCAGGTCCAACAATTTCAACCTCTTCTACAGTTTCAGTTGTAGTTTCTGTAACCTTTGTCACAGTTTCGGTTATTGTTTTGTCAACAGTGATATCTAGTTTGACCTCTTCAAAGTCTGGTTTCTTTTCAATTTCTACTGATTCCTTGAATATTTCTTCAGGGGCCTCTTCTTCTGGTTTTAGTTCTATTTCTGTCCTGATTTTTTCTTCAGGTGTCTCTTCAACCTTTTCAATAGGTTGTTCTTCTGGTTGTTCAACAATAACTTCTTCTGTTTCCTCTGGTTTCTCACTGATTTCAAGTGTTTCTCTCTCAGTGACAGTGACCTCTTCCTCAGGTCCAACAATTTCAACCTCTTCTACAGTTTCAGTTGTAGTTTCTGTAACCTTTGTCACAGTTTCGGTTATTGTTTTGTCAACAGTGATATCTAGTTTGACCTCTTCAAAGTCTGGTTTCTTTTCAATTTCTACTGATTCCTTGAATATTTCTTCAGGGGCCTCTTCTTCTGGTTTTAGTTCTATTTCTGTCCTGAATTTTTCTTCAGGTGTCTTTTCAACCTTCTCGATAGGTTGTTCCTCTGGTTGTTCAACAATAACTTCTTCTGTTTCCTCTAGTTTTTCACTGATTTCAAGTGTTTCTCTCTCAGTGACAATGACCTCTTCCTCAGGTCCAACAATTTCAACCTCTTCTACAGTTTCAGTTGTAGTTTCTGTAACCTTTGTCACAGTTTCAGTTATTGTTTTGTCAACAGTGATATCTACTTTTACCTCTTGAAAGTCTGGTTTCTTTTTAATTTGTATTGATTCCTTGAATATTTCTTCAGGGGCCTCTTCTTCTGGTTTTTCTTCTATTTCTGTACTGAATTTTTCTTCAGGTGTCTCTTCAACCTTCTCGATTGGTTTTTCTTCTGGTTGTTCAGCAATAACTTCTTCTGTTTCCTCTGGTTTCTCACTGATTTCAAGTGTTTCTCTCTTAGTGACAATGACCTCTTCCTCAGGTCCAACAATTTCAACCTCTTCTACAGTTTTAGTTGTAGTTTCTGTAACCTTTGTCACAGTTTCAGTTATTGTTTTGTCAACAGTGATATCTAGTTTGACCTCTTCAAAGTCTGGTTTCTTTTCAATTTCTATTGATTCCTTGAATATTTCTTCAGGGGCTACTTCTTCTGGTTTTTGTTCTATTTCTGTCCTGAATTTTTCTTCAGGTGTCTCTTCAACCTTCTCAATTGGTTTTTCTTCTGGTTGTGTAACAATAACTTCATCTTTTTCCTCTAGTTTCTCACTGATTTCAAGTGTTTCTCTCTCAGTGGCAATACCTTCTTCCTCAGGTCCAACAATTTCAACCTCTTCTACAGTTTCAGTTGTAGTTTCTGTAACCTTTGTCACAGTTTCGGTTATTGTTTTGTCAACAGTGATATCTAGTTTGACCTCTTCAAAGTCTGGTTTCTTTTCAATTTCTATTGATTCCCTGAATATTTCTTCAGGGGCCTCTTCTTCTGGTTTTAGTTCTATTTCTGTCCTGAATTTTACTTCAGGTGTCTCCTCAATCTTTTCAATTGGTCTGTTAACTTCTTCTACAGTTTCTGTCAGTTTTTTACTAACTTTTTGTTTTGTTATTGTTTCTCTTTCAATGGTAAGTGTCTCTTGAGAAGGAGCCATTATTTCAACTTCCTTATCAACAGAAATCTCAAATATTGGTTTTTCCTCCAATTCTACTTCCTCTGATACAGATTCTTCTGATTCAAGAGTAAATTCAACTTCCTCAGGTTTTTCTACCTCAGTTTCAATTTCTGAAACTCCTGGTTTCTCCTTTTCTACAGTAATCTTAGTGATTTCTGGTTTTTCTTCAGTCACAATATCAGTTACTTCAGTTTCTTCTGACTCGAAAGTAACTTCAGCTTCGTCAGGTTTCTCAACCTTACTTTCAATGATGATTTCTGACAATTGTTGTTTCTCGGTAGTTAATACCTGTGATATGGATGTTTTACGATGAACAGAAATCTGACCCTGAATCATCTCCTTAAGAGATGTTGTCTGTTCAATCTCAGTTGCATCTGGGATATAAAGGGGAAAACATAAGGAAAAATGTATACAACATGGGTGTGGATTGTCACTGTGGAGGGGAAATTCATACCAAGATTCATTTTCACTACAGCTGGTCATTGAAGACTAATTATCATTCCTTCAGATATATAAATTTGAAAACTTATTATTAGATTTAAATGTTTATCTTAATCATATATCTTAAATTCTAAAAATAAGAAAATTAAATGACATGGAATTTTTGCGGTAATAGTTATCTTAAAAAGATTAACCTGCAGCATAAAACAGGAATAAAAAAAGATGTGAGTAATGTAAATCAGACAGCAACCCAAAGAAAAAATATACCAAAAGACAACTAGAGGAAAATGTTTCATAGCTTGATTCTCTAGTTGAAATCAAAATAAAAGGACCTATAAGGATCAGGGCAATTCATTTTTGGCACAAATTTTAAGGAAGATTAAACTGATTTAACCAAAGATACACTTTTGTCAAAAATTTACTTATTGTGAAAAATGAAAAATTATTCAGGAATAAAATGAGCTTCAATCATAAGAAAACATTGATGATGAAAAGACACCCTACAATAAAGATTAGAAGACCAAACTTTGCCTTTCTATAACTCTATAAGTTTAACCACAATTATCATGTAGAGAATTTGTCATTTGAGCCAGGAAGTATTGTACGAGACAAAGCTATCTTAAACTTACTTTCTTGTCGGATCCAAAATATATAGAAAACTGGTAATAATGTATTAATTTATGCTTTCTCAGTTCTTTTACAAAATCAGGTGGTTATCATGTCAGTAAATTTGGAAGCCATGAGTAGGATGACAGTTTGATAATACCCCTATCTATAGATGTTTTCATTTGGCATACATTTTATTTCAACCATAAAATCATATTTATTGTGTAATTTATTTCTCCTTTTCAAATGAATGATAATTATATTTTGTAAAGAAACAAAATTCAAGTTTGAATGTGAAGAACGGATAGTGTATTTTGCATGCAATTGACTACAAATCTATACCATACTATATAATAGTTCTCAACTCTATACCTAATGCTATGTGGAACAGGATTGAAAAATTTCAATACTACCAAACACTGGGAAAGGTTCAATCCATAACATAGGAATAAGGAAAAATAGGTTGACCATACACATGGTAAATAGTAAATGGAACTTATATATCATATTTATATATAAAAATAGTGACAAATCCTCCTACCTTCTGCTTTTTCTTGAAGATCAAACTTGAAATCAGCAGAAATCTCCTCCCTTTCTTCAACTGGCTGTGCTGCATCTTGAGCTGTAGAAAACATGTGATAGTAAACATTAAAACATTTCAATAAACCTGAAATTCATATAGATTGATTTGATAAATGCTAATATTACTTTGATCTTAATTGAAGACTTGGCCCATGTCTTGATATCTGCTTTTAACATTTCATTTGTTTTTTTTTCCGGTTATTTCATATGAACTTGAAAAGTCAGTTCAGTTTGCCTTTGTTAGTAGATCTTCATAATTTTTTTTACAAGCAAACACAACACACGAGGTATTGTTACACTAGTTATAAAATTGCCCTAATTATATCAACATATACAGAAATCTAAACGATTGCAAACTTGTAATTTTCATAGGAAACTATTTTTAAAAGGTAAATATTTTGATATTTATCCATTTAGGGAAAACTTAAATACAAAAAAAACTATAAAAAAAATAAAGTCTAATTCTTACTTAAAACTCCTAAAAGGGTGGTCATTTCACTGTTATAAATTTGACACTAGTTTGCTTGAAACAGTTTGAAACAACAATAGTTTACTTTAATGTAAAAATCATGCAAAACTCATGCACATTTCAAAAACTGGCTCTATTAAATTTGAAATTTTTAATTTTCAAACATTTTAAGCAGCCATTCAAGAATTTCAGTATCAAGTCAGAAAGAGAATTTTTAGGTTTAAAGACAGAATTTCAAGATTGAAATAAGAATTCGTGCATTTTCAAAGTAATCAATTATGTTATACATAAACACCTTACCTTTCAATTTTTAACATTCTAATTTTAGAAGATTCAAAATACAATACATTCCGTTAGTTGAGTGAACTTTAATTTTAAGAACATTGGAGGGGAAACACACAAATTGCAATGTAAATCTAGCATGAAAAGCTCTTCATGCATGATTGAGAGGGTGTGGATAAAAGAGTAACTTAATTGTGTCATTTTTTCTTCTTTATTTATGATAAAGACATTAATTAACCTATCCGCTCCCTCGATCACATTATTTCACAATGCAAAAGCGTGAAAATTTAGTCATGCTGCCTGCAACTCAGCACCTAATGTATTAATTGTAGCTGCAGACAAATACCTTCTTTTGTAGATGTGATAGTCTTTGCCTCTTTTTGTTCTTCAATAGTTACATCAATTTCTTGTAACTCAGTTTTTGGTTTGCTTAATTCAACTGCAGCCTCTTTAGAAGGGAGTTTGTCAATTTCAGTAGAAATTTCAGTAAGGGAACCAGTAGTTGAGATTTCTGGAAATTGTTCATCCTCTGGCCTTGCAATGACAACTTTTGTTTCTTCAATATGAGGTTTTTCCTCAGTTAAAACTTCTTCGACTGTTTGTTCCTCTTCTGGAATGATTTCTACTTTCTCTTCAACAACAAATTCAAGTTCTATTTCAGGTTTTTCATCTTCTTCTGTAGGCTTTCCTCCAAGGAAAATGGCAATCTCATCATTTTCATGGTCTTTCTCAATGAAAAGCTTTTCCATCTCAGGTTTTTCATCTACAAAAATGTCTAGTTTTTCCATTTCTGGTTTTTTGTCCACATGAATTTCTAGAGTATCCATTCCTAGTTTCTTGGGAACAACAATTTCTTCCTTTTCATAAATTTTTAGTCTTTCCTCAGGTATAATTTCACTGATCTCAATTGTCTCAGTCACTGAGGTTGTTTCTTCTTCTGTTGATTTCTCTTCCATTGTATCAACAGTAATTTCAGTAACTGTTGGCTTTTCTGTCTCAATTGAGATTTCAGATATTTCTGGTTTTTCCTGAGGTATAATTTCACTGGTCTCTATTGTCTCAGTCATTGAGGTTGTTTCTTCTTCTGTTGATTTCTCTTCCATTGTATCAACAGTAATTTCAGTAACTGTTGGCTTTTCTGTCTCAACTGTGATTTCAGATATATCTGGTTTTTCCTCAGGTATTATTTCACTGATCTCAATTGTCTCAGTCACTGAGGTTGTTTCTTCTTCTGTTGATTTCTCTTCCTTAGTATCAACAGTTATTTCAGTAACTGTTGGCTTTTCTGTCTCAATTGTGATTTCAGATATACCTGGTTTTTCCTCAGGTATTATTTCACTGATCTCAATTGTCTCAGTCACTGAGGTTGTTTCTTCTTCTGTTGATTTCTCTTCCTTTGTTTCAACAGTAATTTCAGAAACTGTTGGCTTTTCTGTTTCAATTGTGATTTCAGATATATCTGGTTTTTCCTCAGGTATAATTTCACTGATTTCAATTGTCTCAGTCACTGAGGTTGTTTCTTCTTCTGTTGATTTCTCTTCTTTTGTATCAACAGTAATTTCAGTAAATGTTGGCTTTTCTGCCTCAATTGCGAATCCAGATATTTCTGGTTTTTCCTCAGGTAGTCTTTCACTGATCTCAATTGTCTCAGTCACTGAGGTTGTTTCTTCTTCTGTTGATTTCTCTTCTTTTGTATCAACAGTAATTTCAGAAACTGTTGGCTTTTCTGTTTCAGTTGTGATTTCAGATATTTCTGGTTTTTCCTCAGGTATAATTTCACTGGTCTCAATTGTCTCAGTCACTGAGGTTGTTTCTTCTTCTGTTGATTTTTCTTCCTTTGCTTCAACAGTAATATCAGAAACTGTTGGCTTTTCTGTTTCAATTATGATTTCAGATATTTCTGGTTTTTCCTCAGGTATATTTTCAGTGATCTCAATTGTCTCAGTCACTGAGGTTGTTTCTTCTTCTGTTGATATCTCTTCTTTTGTATCAACAGTAATTTCAGTAACTGTTGGCTTTTCTGTTTCAGTTGTGATTTCAGATATTTCTGGTTTTTCCTCAGGTATAATTTCACTGGTCTCAATTGTCTCAGTCACTGAGATTGTTTCTTCTTCTGTTGATTTCTCTTCCTTTGCTTCAACAGTAATATCAGAAACTGTTGGCTTTTCTGTTTCAATTATGATTTCAGATATTTCTGGTTTTTCCTCAGGTATAATTTCACTGATTTCAATTGTCTCAGTCACTGAGGTTGTTTCTTCTTCTGTTGATTTCTCTTCTTTTGTATCAACAGTAATTTCAGTAACTGTTGGCTTTTCTGCATCAATTGTGATTTCAGATATTTCTGGTTTTTCCTCAGGGAGTCTTTCACTGATCTCAATTGTCTCAGTCACTGAGGTTGTTTCTTCTTCTGTTGATATCTCTTCTTTTGTATCAACAGTAATTTCAGAAACTGTTGGCTTTTCTGTTTCAATTGTGATTTCAGATATTTCTGTTTTTTCCTCGGGTAAAATTTCACTGATCTCAATTGTCTCAGTCACTGAGGTTGTTTCTTCTTCTGTTGATTTCTCTTCCTTAGTTTCAACAGTAATTTCAGAAACTGTTGGCTTTTCTGTCTCAATTGTGATTTCAGATATACCTGGTTTTTCCTCAGGTATCATTTCACTGATCTCAATTGTCTCAGTCACTGAGGTTGTTTCTTCTTCTGGGGATTTCTCTTCCTTTGTTTCAACAGTAATTTCAGAAACTGTTGGCTTTTCTGTTTCAATTGTGATTTCAGATATATCTGGTTTTTCCTCAGGTATAATTTCACTGATTTCAATTGTCTCAGTCATTGAGGTTGTTTCTTCTTCTGTTGATTTCTCTTCTTTTGTATCAACAGTAATTTCAGAAACTGTTGGCTTTTCTGTCTCAATTGTGATTTCAGATATTTCTGGTTTTTCCTCAGGTATTATTTCACTGATCTCAATTGTCTCAGTCACTGAGGTTGTTTCTTCTTCTGTTGATTTCTCTTCCTTTGTATCAACAGTTATTTCAGTAACTGTTGGCTTTTCTGTCTCAATTGTGATTTCAGATATTTCTGGTTTTTCTTCAGGTATTATTTCACTGATCTCAATTGTCTCAGTCACTGAGGTTGTTTCTTCTTCTGTTGATTTTTCTTCCTTTGCTTCAACAGTAATATCAGAAACTGTTGGCTTTTCTGTTTCAATTATGATTTCAGATATTTCTGGTTTTTCCTCAGGTATAATTTTAGTGATTTCAATTGTCTCAGTCACTGAGGTTGTTTTTTCTTCTGTTAATTTTTCTTCCTTTGTATCAACAGTAATTTCAGTAACTGTTGGCTTTTCTGTCTCAATTGTGATTTCAGATATTTCTGGTTTTTCCGCAGGTATAAATTCACTGATTTCAATTGTCTCAGTCACTGAGGTTGTTTCTTCTTCTGTTGATTTCTCTTCTTTTGTATCAACAGTAATTTCAGTAACTGTTGGCTTTTCTGCCTCAATTGTGATTTCAGATATTTCTGGTTTTTCCTGAGGTAGTCTTTCACTGATCTCAATTGTCTCAGTCACTGAGGTTGTTTCTTCTTCTGTTGATTTCTCTTCCTTTGTATCAACAGTTATTTCAGTAACTGTTGGCTTTTCTGTCTCAATTGTGATTTCAGATATTTCTGGTTTTTCCTCAGGTATTATTTCACTGATCTCAATTGTCTCAGTCACTGAGGTTGTTTCTTCTTCTGTTGATTTCTCTTCCTTTGTATCAACAGTTATTTCAGTAACTGTTGGCTTTTCTGTCTCAATTGTGATTTCAGATATTTCTGGTTTTTCCTCAGGTAGTCTTTCACTGATCTCAATTGTCTCAGTCACTGAGGTTGTTTCTTCTTCTGTTGATTTCTCTTTCTTTGTATCAACAGTTATTTCAGTAACTGTTGGCTTTTCTGTCTCAATTGTGATTTCAGATATTTCTGGTTTTTCCTCAGGTATTATTTCACTGATCTCAATTGTCTCAGTCACTGAGGTTGTTTCTTCTTCTGTTGATTTCTCTTCCTTTGTATCAACAGTTATTTCAGTAACTGTTGGCTTTTCTGTCTCAATTGTGATTTCAGATATTTCTGGTTTTTCTTCAGGTATTATTTCACTGATCTCAATTGTCTCAGTCACTGAGGTTGTTTCTTCTTCTGTTGATTTTTCTTCCTTTGCTTCAACAGTAATATCAGAAACTGTTGGCTTTTCTGTTTCAATTATGATTTCAGATATTTCTGGTTTTTCCTCAGGTATAATTTTAGTGATTTCAAT